AACCACCCTCCCGATCGAGTAACGATTGCTGAGATGGTGGGTTTCATAAAGATCTGACAGCGGAGACCGGTGGCTCCCCCTTCCTTCGTGTTTCTTTTTTGAAGGTCTCATGATCGCTTTCGCATCTGTTGGGAATTGAGACCGTCTATTTTCGACGATCCATTGCGCACCCCCATGCGGTTCGGACAGAAGGTGGATTGGATTGCGTTGCCTATTTTTGTGGAAACTATGCTGGTATCTACTTACTTCCATACCTGACCATTACCATCCCACATCCCCCATCCCCATAGTACAATATTCTGGATGCCTGAACTCTGCATAACAGTTGTCAGCACATCACAAAACATGTTGGGACGGATGCCTAAGTAAGCTGCGGCACCACCGCCAAGCATAGATCATATGCATGTATGCGGTGGTCAGGAATTATTCCCAATGGGATTGATATGCAACAGAGTTATCAAGCTGAGGATGGCTGGATTCGCGTCCCCTGGGCAGTGGATCATGGCCATGTCTTCCTAGTGTGTTCTTGGAATCCAATTCGATATCAATCTTCAAGAAGACTTATTACCTACATCGTACATAGTATGTGATCTCTCAAACAAGGGATGGATTGCCATGGCGTGGCGCAATCGGAGATACTAGGTACCACTAGCATCAGTCTGGCTAGTGTCTACAAATCAAGAATCCGATTCACCATTCCGCCACCCAACAGCGTCAATTGAAGATCAGCTTCCCGGTAAGCACCTTTTCCATACTGTGATTTCTCGATTATCCTTGCGCTGCCCAGCGGCAAAGGATGCACCCGGAACTGGAAGGGTTACGCACCCGTGACATCGCCCCCATCCCCCATCCTGCCCTGCGTGCGCACGGAGTCGACTCTATTCCTACTAGCAGGATGAGTTGACGATCCCGTCTACATAGTGCAATTGATGTAGTAGTATGTATGCCGTAATGTATGTATCTGTTGGCAGTGTTCTGTGATAATACGACAATTCAATTATCACTCTCATCCCGCGAACAGCGCTGCCCATCCCGCGGATGAACTGGACGTAGAACCGTAGGAATAGCCAACTCAACCTCGGGCAGATCGTACTTCGGAGTCGTAGGTAGTAGATAGCAGATACCTAGTCAGGTCGACGGCAAGGCGGAATTCCCGCAGAGAGTAAGCCGAAGCGCCCGGCAGGGTCACCAATGTGGGCGGGTAATTTGGGCGGGTTCCAGACCCATGGGGAAGACTGCCGCCCTCTGACTGGCCGAGCAGCCAGTCGATTACCACCGGTAACGACAACTGTAGTAGTACTCTACTAGCATGAGTTTCCCTATCCAGCACCGCATCCTCGATGGGTCGGTCATGCGAGAAAAAAGACCTGCTCATGTGAGCAGCAAAAAAAAAAATTAGGATTCGATTGAATTGTCTCGAAAATGGATTAATCAGGTTACTAGTCTAGGAGGGACTTACGACATCCTGAAGTATCTACTACCACCCCCAACAGCATACTCCGTCCGGTCCTTATTTATCCCAGTGCCCTCGCCCGGCTTCTCTCTCATCGTTTCCCTAGAGCATCATTACTATTATTCATTTCTTCCTCCGCCTCATTCTCCTTCCTCTCTTCCGTGTGTTGAACTGACTTCCGGTCCTCACTTCGCTTACCCAATCCACCTGCGATCTACAAGGTCATCTCAGGCATCTGGAGACTTCTCGCCAATCGACAGATCGTCCACCTGACAAGTTACTGTGAGTGCCACTGACAAATGAGAATCTCTTCTGCCTTGCGAATCTCCAGTTTTCCGGATGCACGAACATCAGTGGACTGACAGCTGCCAGCCTTGAGCATCCGACTTCCCCACTTTTCCCCGCCTTATCCGGACGCTTTTCCGATCCTACGCGCTATCCCCAGAATCACCATCTCCTTTGGTACTGCGAATCAACCCCAAAGCTTATGGAATGAGAACTGATGGACTAAAGCCGTTCGAAACCGACACCGTTCCAGATCGGTGAATATATATAAAGCCAAAAGCAATCGCTTTTCGGAGGACGAGCAGCCGCGATTTCTATTGTTGAGCCGTACTTCGTCCTACCCCACTCTCCAGACGGCTCGTGTTCCTACGCGTCCGCCAAACGTCATACTCGCCCGAATCCCCATTTTTTTAACTGCGATCAACCCCCAGATCTCCCTCCATAATGCAGAGTATGTTCCACACCTTTTTCTACAGGGTTTATTCCTGTTTTTTTGTTGCCCCAAACCTCTAGGCTTTGTGCCAGACCATGCAGTCCCAGATCCTGTTCCATGGCCGGCATGAAGTCAGATCTACTCCACAGTACCCGCCGATCAGATACTATCCGGTGCATGCGCTAACGCCCACCCATCAGCCAAACACTTCTTTTCGGACCCTACCCATTTGGTCCAGACCGCCCTACACTCCCTGACCCTCACAAACCCTTCTCTTGCATACGACCCCGAAAATAAGATCATCTTCCGTCGTCCCGATGCGGCATCGCAGTCCAAGGTTGCGATCATCTCGGGAGGAGGCTCTGGCCATGAGCCTGCCTTTGCAGGTCTGGTTGGCAAGGGTTTCTTAGATGCTTCGGCCGCTGGTACCATTTTCGCCTCTCCCTCTGCGGAGCAGATTCGCAAGGCCATCATGGACTGTGTCGACAATGAGAAGGGAGTTCTTGTTATCCCCATGAACTACACGGGTGATGTGCTCAACTTCGGTATGGCCACGGAGAAAGCCCGAGCCGCCGGTGTCAAGTCCGAATTCTTCGCCATCAACGATGACGTTGGTGTCGGCAAGAAGAAGGGCGGAAAAGTTGGCCGCCGTGGTATTGCTGGTGGTATTCTCATCTTGAAGATTGTCAGCGCGCTGGCCGAAGCTGGGTAAGTTGAATCCTTTTGGATAACACGGTCGTGGCTAATGAGACTGACTTGGCCAGTGGATCTCTCGAGGATGTTTACCGTACCGCTCAGTTGGCAAACAAGAACCTCGTCTCCGTTGGCTCTTCCCTGGAGCACGTTCATGTTCCCGGCAGAGCTCTACCAACTGACACGATACCGGATGGAGAAGTCGAAGTCGGAATGGGCATTCACAACGAGCCGGGCTCTCACCGGGTCAAGTTCACCTTGGTCGATCTGGTATCGACCATGCTCCTGCAACTGTTGGACCACAACGACCCCGACCGTGCCTGGGTCACCCGCAAACCCGAGGACGACTTCGTTCTACTCATCAACAACTTGGGTGGTGTGAGCACTCTCGAACTTGCGGGTATTACCGATGAGGTGCATCGCCAGCTGGAGAGGGATTACAACGTCAAGCCCATCCGGGTTATTCAGGGAACCTTCCTCACCAGTCTGAATGGCCTGGGTTTCAGCATTTCCTTGCTGAAGCTCGTGGACACTGGACTGGGTTCAGGAAAGTCCTTCTTGGAACTCCTCGACTCTCCCGCAGAGGCCGTTGGCTGGTCCGCTCCCATCCGCACTGAAACCTGGAAGCATCGGACTGATGCTCCTGTTGAGCTGAAGAGGACCAAGATGCCTGAGGACCAGCCCAGTAATGTGACATGTGAGTATTCTTGCCCCCAAGCATTTCCCATACCCTCTCTTCCTCCGCACTGCTTTCTTCCCGGCTATAGCTAACGTATGTATCAGTGGATGTCAGTGTCCTCAAGAAGGTTCTGGGCACTGCCCTCACGCGCGTCATTGCTGCTGAGCCCGAAGTCACCCGCTACGACACCATTGTCGGTGACGGAGATTGTGGTGTTGGGTTGAAGCGTGGCGCAGAGGCCGTCCTTCGGCTCCTTGAAGACCCATCCTCCAAGATCACCGACGATGTGGTGAATGCTGTGAACCGCATTGTCAGCGTCGTTGAGAACACCATGGATGGCACCTCCGGAGCCATCTATGCTATCTTCCTGAACGCGCTCGCCCACGGTCTCCGTGAACAGGACCGCGGCACAACCACACCCGCTACCGTTGAGGTTTGGGCTGCAGCGCTCTCATATTCGCTCTCGGCACTCTCACGGTACACCCCTGCCCAACCAGGCGACCGTACGCTGCTCGACGCCCTTGTTCCCTTCTGCACTCAGCTCCAGAAGGCCAAGGACGTGCATGTTGCAGCCCGTGCTGCCCAGCAAGGCACCGACTCGACCAAGAACATGAAGGCCAGCCTAGGACGCTCCGTCTACGTCGGTGGCGAGGAAGAATGGGTAGGCAAGGTGCCCGATCCCGGCGCTCACGGACTCAGCGTGTTCCTCAACGGTCTGTCCGAGGCTCTGTGAGGGGCGGTGTTAATTTCCAGGGTACATACATATATTGCATCAGCTGATGATATTCTTCTTCTAATATAATTATGATAATGATGATGACTTGGCTTCTTTGTTCGATCTGGTACCGTTTTGTAATTATCTACTTCGTACTCAGTACATCAAGTGTGACCAGTGTGTAGTAGGTAGCAGACTGTCCTCAACTTGGCATGTTTTAACGACTAGCACACTACTAGCTCAGTACTTAGAATAAGATACCTCTCTACTGTTGCATTGTTTTCAGATTTAAATATTAAGAATATTCATCGGGTACGTCCAACCGAACAGCCACTTGGGCTTCAGTGAAACATCCCCCGCATCTCATCTAGTAACCAGCTCTCGAGCAATAGATTCGATTCGATTCGATTCGATTCCCAACATAGTATCAGGAATGTGCGCTCATACATCAAACCGAGAGAATACTCCACACCATTCCATTTCACTCCACTGATGAGATTCCTTTTTCTAGCTTTTTGAAACAAAGGTCCGGAGAACGCCAAGTCTGCCCGCCGTAGATAGAGAACGGTAAATTGAGATCGAGAATAACATTGAAACACGAGAAAAGGAGCCATCCGCCCAGACCGTCCTTGGAAAGGTGAATGGGTGGGGTGGGAGGAGGGGGTATTCTACCATCCCCGATGATCGAACTTGGAGGACTTTTTGGAGGTAATGAGATCGCACGACTAAAAGGGTATCGTTCGTTCGTTGTCAACTATGAATCGTCTCCATCGGCTTCAACTCGATCACCAAGGGAAGAAGCTGGACCAGGCAAGGCCCGTCGAGAGATTGAGCGCGTCACGTGGACGGAGCTCAGCTGAGCAGGACGAGGATGACGGAGTCACCACGCAGGAACCTATGAGGGTGAGGGAGTTGTTAGGGATATGGTTGGGAAAGTGGCTGGGGGGATGGGGTGATCGCGACACTCACATCTTGCTGATGAACCGGTCCTTGTTGACACCCTTGCCCTTACCACCCTTGGGCTTCTCGGTCCACATCTCCTTGACGTTCTCCAGCACCATGTTGCAGTGGCGGTCAAAGGCCTTGACACGGGCCAGGAGCTTGCGGTTGTTCCGGCATGAGATCAGGACCTGGGTGTGTGTGCGCGTGGCGGTTTGGAGGAGCGACAGAGGACCGGCGGTGAGCTCATGTTCCTCGACGAGGGAGACCTCGTATTCACTGGATGGGGAGGCGATGTTAGCGCAAGGATGATGACGAGGATGGGTGGGAGGAAGATGGGGCGCGATGATAATCGGCGCAGCCGACAATGCCCGAGTATCGGGGGGTGTAGGGAGTGATTAGGATCAGGTGCAAGGTCGGGCATCATGTGATACGCAGCGCGGGATAGAAGCCTTGCTAGAAGACACTGCCCTCGAGGATCCGTGCGAGAATGGAGAAAGAGGGGGATGGACGTACGTGAGCTCGCTCTTAGGCTTGTTGAGCAGGTCTCTGGATTGGACAAGATGGTTAGCATAGGTCCGACAGGTTGGGGTGCGGATTACACCATGACGGGAGGCGATGAGTCATAGGGAGCAGAGGGGGACAGAAAAGAGGGGTAATTACTGGATCTTGGGATCGGTCGACATGGTGGGCGTAGGATATAAGTATGGGGGAAGCCGTGAAGTTGGAGACAGTATCAATCAGCTTCTGTCGGTCGTGAGCACTGGCTTGGCGCGGGTGCTGTCACGTGGCACGCGTGTTTGCCGTGTTTGAGCGCCGGGCTTTCCCGAGGGCGCGATTGGCTGGGCGTCACGTCGCGTCCGACACGCTCGGATGCGAGTCGTCCAAGCTTCACTCTTCTCGTCTCGTCTCCTCAAATGCAAGGCGTCTGCCTTTTTCCTCGACCCCCAACCTCCCTCCCTCTCTCCACCACCCCCTTCTTCTTTTCACCTCGCCGGCCTGTGATTGAAGAGGCAGCTCTCCAGCCTTCTTCGGATCTTTCTTCTCTCCTTCTTTCTCTCATGCCTCGGGTTTCTCACCGCATCCTCACCTGTCGTTGCTCCGTGTCCCGCGTTGGCATTCCACAAGCCCTTTCCCCGCGACCCCCGTTGCATACGTCCAGACCTCTGCATTCTCCCGGCTGACACTACCGCCAATCGGGCCTTTCTGAGTGGCCGATACGACAAGTTCCGCATATTGAGGAATATCGCTACTAGTTACCGAGCTTCCTTCTCGATCCCTATTCTTTTGGTTGCATTTCGACAATCCTTTTTCGAGCCTCCCTCCGAACGACCCGGGTGCAACCCTCCACCTCTCGCCGAAACCTTACATATCTTTCCCTCTACACCTTTGTACCCTGACCCGGCTTATGGTTGATACTCTTCGCTTGGTGGAATGGACTCTCAGGACGGTATCACCGTCCGACCTATGAGGCGTAAGTGAATTTTTCTGAGGTGTCATTTTTGCAAAATGGATACTAACCGTTTCCCGGGACCTGCAGTCAAGGTGCTCTACACATTCGATGATGCCAACAAAACGAATTGCCTGGCTCGCTGGCCCCATCTCCTCGAAATTCAGACAGCTTTCCTCGATGAGAAAACACAAATCGGTGTCATTGAACTGAAGACATGCATCCAAGCCATCGTCTCAGCAAGGTGAGTGCCCCTTTAATTGAGGGGGTCAATCGACACTACACGGATACTTATGGCCATTGTTTCATGTGACAGTCCGGAACTCGTTGCCAAGCTTGGACAAGATTATACGGTGTATGCCTATGATTACTCGGAATATGAGACGCCCCTCGTCGGACAGGGAATGCTGTCTTGGGTTTTGGCTTCCGCTTCTCCAACTCCGGACGCACCGGCACATCAATCGGAAACTATGGTCACCGGGCGGGTGTGCAAGAATGTTCTGGGATTATTCTCGAAGGGTGCCCAGGAGACATTGGAGGTTAAATTACGATTAGTCCCTGTTCCCACGGTCATGCAAAGCGAGTACCTGGACAGCATGCAGCGATACCGCGAACTGAGCAATGTCATCCCCCATGAATTCGACGCACAGGCCTGGACCAATTTTCTTCGCCAGAACCCCGGTCTGCTGGCCCCCCGCCTTCAACAACCCGACCGGACATCATCGCCCGTGGATCACGCTGGAATCGAACGCTTCCATCGATTGCTGAGTGAGGGGTCGACGCCAAGAGAGCTGCCCTCGTTTGCCGCTAATGGATCCATTCGCTCGGTATCGCCCTCACAGTCCATCTTGGGCCATGCAAGCCGAATGACTACCCCTGCAGCCTCGGGGCAGCAGCAGGAGCAAGCATTGCAGCTGCACCAGCCACAGGAACGATCCCACACAGATGTTATTCGCCCCTCATCGAGCGCCTCCATGCGCGAGTCCGACCTCCCCTCCCAGGCCAGATTTGCCAGCCGCCGAGGTTCCATGCAGTCCGGCTACGGTAGTGGTGACGAGTCCTCGGAGCAACAACCCCGAAAAAGAGCCAAGCTGTATCGTGCGGATTGGCCTGGCAAGTCCGATTTGAACATCGAAAGGCAACCCAGCTCTCTTCGTGTGGCCGCCAGCACGGCTGCCTCTGTCCGGATCCATCGCCCTACCCCCGTCAATCCTTCAATTGCCACTGCTCAGAGTTCGAATGAAGAGCCCGTTCGCCCGCCGACTCCGATCTCCCACGGAAGTGATCTTCCTCGCCGCGCACGGCCCCCGCCCAGCCTCTTGCGCGAGTCGGCGTCGACTCAGAGCCATGGGCAGTACATGTCACCCTACGCCATGAGCGATGATCAAGCTCCCGGGGACCACACCCAGTCGCCGGAGGAGTCCCGGTATCAAGGCCTCTTCGAGCCCTCGTTTAATATGCCGTCTTCCCCTCCCGTTCTGGACTGTGGATTCCCGAGCCGCTCCAGCCCGGTTCTCCCGCCGATGGCCACAGATCCGGACTCGGGTTTCATGAGCGGTGGTATGGATGATCTTCTGGACGAGGATATGGGGACCCCCTTGGATGATTGCACCAGATCGGCTTCCCACGATGCCGCTCGCGGCAAACGAAGCGTGCGTCCAGCTGCGCCAGCGAGCTCGCCTGTTGGACCCATGAACCATGACAACTACCCCGCCAGTGATGCGCCCGACCAGCCGGCTAAGGAGAAGGCGTCTGCGGTCCCTCGTGCTCCAGCCAGCGCGGCGGGGTCAAGGCCATCATCTCGTGCAGGTATCCGACAGGCACCCAAGCCACTGGCCCCTGCGCCCATGTCGCAGAGTGAGTTGGAACAGCTTATGAGTGTGATTCCAGCCAGCGACCCAGTGATGCCCTCCCATGTGCATATGCAGGGCACGCAGTCCTGGAATGGCCCAATGAGTGACTTTTCGGTTGCTGAAACGCCTGCTCCCCCGCCCCCCACGGAGGATGGCAAGGTTCGCAGTGGTGCCGGTGCGAGACGACTGCGGCAGGTTCAAGCGCGCCTTGATAAGTGTATCGAGAATGGACAGGTTCCGCCTTATTGTGAAAACTGTGGTGCGATTGAGACCCCTACCTGGCGTAGGGCTTGGTCCAAAGAGATTGACGGCAGCGAAGAGGAGGCCAATGAACTTGTCAAGGACCCCACGATGCTGTTCTGGCAGGCCGTGGACCGTAATGATGAAGAAAAAGTCACCAAATTCAAGATTTACAAGAAGAGCTTGGTGGATACGGACAAGGACTTTGTCCAGGTCCTTCTTTGCAACCGTAAGTGGTCCCCTCCAATTTATGCTTCCTCCGCTAATGTCCATCCAGCCTGTGGTCTGTGGCTTCACAAGTTCAAGGCCATGCGGCCCGAGAACAAGTGGAACAAGTCTAGCAACAACAAGCGCAAGCGCCCTCCGAGGAACCGCAAGGGCGGCGGTCCGCTCTCGAGTAACACCGCGTCGGCGAGAAGCCGTGCCCGGGCCGATTCCAGCAAACCTGATGGCTCATCGCCTGGGGCGTCCGACGCATCCTCGCCTCCGGTGGATGATGGTACCACGCCCCGGGGTGAAACGGAGAACAACGAGAACGAGCCGACCACTGTACCGGAAAATGACGAAGTTCAGGAGCTGCCAGCCAAGCGACGCCGTGCCAACAGCCTGGAGCCGCGCAAGTCATCCGATACGGCGGGAAGTCGTTGGCAGGAGCAAGATCCGGTGGAGGCCCTCCGTGCGGCGATCCAGTCGAGCCCAGCTCGGAATCTTGAACACCGCAATGCTTCGGCTGCGGGTGAGAATGCTCTGACTCCCAAGTCCGTGAGAAGAGTGCTTTTTCCCAATTCGGGTAATGAGGGCGGGCCTTTGCGAACCTTGGGTGAAGCCACTTTGAACAGCCCTCGTCGCAGCCCTCGGGCCTCTCGTGGATCCGACAAGCAACCGGACGACAAGGAAAATCAGACTTCTGCCGAGCTAGACGGGCTTTTCGAGAGTCCTGACTTTGACTTTGACCTGCCGACGAGTCCCACGCCGCGGCGTCGCAACCCCCGCGCGAACATTCTGGGCGAAAAACGACTGTCGCTTCCCAGCAATTCGCCGTCGCGAAGCCGGAAGACGATCAGCTCGGACGCGACCCCGACCCGAATCACCGCGCAACGACTCCAACGGATCCAGAGCAGCCCGGGGCCGGCGCGCAACAGCAAGACGCCCAAGCAGTCGCGCTCGCAAGGGCTTGGACTTCCTGCTTTGGCGGAAGATGCGTTCAGCACGGATGCCTTTGAGGGTATGGACAACATGATCGTGGATATCTTCTCAGACGCCCCGTCTGCGCATACGGACGCACTATTTGCTTTGGATTCGAATAAAGGCAACTGGCCCGACTGGATTCCTTCAGATTATGTCTCTCCTACGGGAACCGACGGCGAGCCTACGAGTGGCGAGCCTGCTGAGGACACGGGGGATCTCATCAATGCGCTGCTGTCTGACCCGGACCTCCAAAAAGACCCCCAGTTTGATATCTTCGGTTATGTTGATACGACCGTGCTGGACTCGGGGTTTTTCAGCTCGGATGCGCTCAACGCGGACAGCGTGGCGTTGAGCGTGAAAGACAAGGGTGAATCTCTTAAGGAGAAACAACCGCAACCTACCACTGACGCTTAATGAGTTTCTTTCTGTTATGTGACGATGCCGACTTTCTTTTGATTTCCTTGTGTGTTTAGCGATGGCGTTGGATGGATGTCCGGCTATGCCGACCTTGTTTTTATTTGTCATACAAAAGGTATGCTCATTCCAAAGGAATTGAGAGTTTGTAAATGGGATGGATGGTTGGATTGACAGGATGGGATGGGATAGGATGGGAATGGGAATCAGAGAACGGAATTGGGAGGATAAGAAATACTATTAGATACCAGCACTGGCTGCGTGAATTAGATAAAATAAATACATGATAATATTGATAATATTGCAGTAATAGTCATAATTTATTCATGTAGCACAATTTGCAGACATTCATACGCAAATAGTCACAGGAAGACGCATGGTCATCTAGTCAAATAAAATAATATTCAGATAATATAATTAATAGCCCAAACGCCCGAACATCTCATCATCTAGTCAATCCACTCTCCTGCACCGAACCATGTCCTGCCCCTTCCTCTACCAGGAATACAGTCCAGACAACAATACCCATCTGCAGACATCTCAGGCCAGATCCCATAAAACAAGCACAGCACAGCAACCCGAGAACATTTCGCATTCCCTGGCTACCTACCTAGCTCGCAAGATAATATCCTCAACCACAAACCACCAAAAGCCCATTTTATCCCCCCCAATCACAATCACAATCAACCCACCGAAAAAAGGGTACCTCATTCATCGTAAAAGATAGGCTTAAGCCGATGCGTAGCATTCACGACCTGTTCGTAGATTTTGTAATCTGCAGATAATCATAAAGAATATTAGCTTCTTCCCTCATAGCTCACGAGATCTCATACTACTGCTATGCTATGTATTATACTATACCATAGCATACCATAGCATAGCAATCAAACAACCCCAAAATCTCAATCGAGAAAAAGAAAGGAGAAAAGACATACCACAATCAGCCGGATTACCCCAATCCATCGAACCCAGGACACGAATTCCAACGCCCTATTAAGTCATCATTGTTAGCAATTACCTCTTCATACCCCCTCCCCCATCCCCTTTCCCCAAAACAAAGAAAAGGGATAAACCCACCCCACCCTCCAAATCCGCCACCTTGCCCACAATCTCGACCAACTTTCCCATCTGCAAATGCGAATCCGGTTTCAGAATGAGGGTAACATCGCCATGATTCCCACATGTGATTGAGGCGGTATCGCCACGAAGAGCCGTTACGGTGCCGAGGATACGAACGGTATGGGTGGATCGGGGGCCGGAGGTGGATGAGGAGTGGAAGGCGTGGAGGTGGGAGGGGAGGATGCGGGGGGTTTGGAGGGACATTTTTATTGGGTTCTTTCTTTCTTTCGTGGGAGGGAGTAGTTGTAGTTGGTGTTGGGGTGTGTTGTCACGTGGTGTTGCGCTGAGGTAGTTTGAGGAGGGTGATAAGTGATTGATTAGATGTAAGAGGGGTACTGTGGTGTGTTGATGAGTTGGGATGTGTCGTGGGGGTGGTGATGCGATAGATTATTGATAGTAGAACTAGTGAGTGATAGGCGCGGCGCGCGTGACGCGTGATCACGTGGTGGACGGTAGCTGCTAGCAGGATGATTCTAATCAGTCGGTTGGTCGGTCGCTGGTCTGGGCGGAGATACCTCCGGCCAAGCTAATAATTCTTTTCTGTCAACGCCACGCGCGCATTCATTCTAATCGAACCACTACAGATAACCCCTGCATGTGCTTGAACATTTCTTATTCTATATCGACTTGACATATACTTGCAGCCAACATGCCACCTCCCCTCCCCTCCCAACATCGCGGCATGACCGCAAACCCCCTCAAACCTAGCAGATACCGACCCGGAAAAGCCATCGCCGAGGAGCCCTCGTCGTCCGAGGAAGAAGATGAGGATGACGAGGCCGAGAAGATCAGAGAGCAGGAACGGCGCAGACTCGAACAGCAGAGGCGACAGGCTCCTAAGGCGAGCTCGTTTCCTGCAGCGGCCGCGGCCGCGGGGAAAATTGCCAAGGGGGTCAAGGATGTGAAGATTGAGGAAGAGGAAGAAGATGAGGAGGGTTTTGTGACCGAGGATGAGGACGAGGATGAGGAAGATGCCCGGCCTTCGGAGGCGGCTCCCCCTGTTGCTGGCGATAGGGTGGCTGCTGCGCCGGCGCAGACTGCTGCAGATGGGGAATCGGAGGAGGAAGAGGAAGAAGAAGAGGAAGAGAGTTCGGAAGAAGAGAGCAGCTCCGAAGACGAGGCCCCCCGCAGGGTGCTCTTACGACCTACGTTCATCAAAAAAGGCAAGCGCAACAATACCGGTCAACCACAGGACAGCGGAGCGGGCACTACGGTTGATTCAGCAGCCGACACAGAGGCCCGTCGGGCACAGCGACAGGAAAAGGCAGACACTTTGATCCGGGAGCAGCTGGAGAAAGACGCCATTGCGCGGAGTGAGGCCAACCGGGCCTGGGATGACGACGAATTAGAGGTGGGCGACGAGGAGGCGATTGACGACAAAGACGGAAAGGACCCAGAGGCCGAGTACGCGGCTTGGAAGCTCCGAGAGCTGAAGCGCATCAAGCGTGAGCGTGAGGCGATCGAGGTTGCAGAAAAGGAGCGCGAGGAGATCGAGCGGCGCAGGGGATTGACGGCCGAGGAGCGCGAGCGCGAAGACCGCGAATTCATCGCCAAGCAGGAGGAAGAGAAGGAGGCGAATCGTGGCCAGGCAGGATACATGCAGCGCTACTTTCACAAGGGTGCCTTTTTCAACGAAGACATGGAGCGGGAGGGACTCGCGCAGAGAAATCTCATGGGGGCGAAATTCGTGGATGATGTCTCCCGGGAAACTCTACCTCAGTACATGCAGATCCGTGATATGTCGAAGCTGGGCAAGAAGGGACGCACGCGTTATAGGGATCTAAAATCCGAGGACACCGGTCGTTTTGGCGATGGGTTCAACAACCGTCGGCATCGCGATGGGCCTCCGATAGGCATCACCGACGAAAGATTCCTGCCTGACCGGGGCGATGACAGACCTAGAGGTCCCACGGGGGCCAATGCTTCTGCCGTGCGCGAGCGACGGAGATCTAGAACTCGATCACGTTCCCCGCGGCGAGACCGCAGTCGCGATCGTTCGGCAGACCGGTATAGGCCTGATACAAGCAGCCGCAGGAAGCGCAGTCCCTCGCCTTATGAAGATCGAGAGAAGCGGAGGCGCGTGAGTGTTTCGCAAGAACGCTAAACGAGAACATGCAACAAAATCATTTTATTTCTATCGGCGTTGTTGGGTATCTTGAGATCAAGGATGGATCAGGGCGATGCATTGGGAACCGTTGTTCCTTTCTCTTGCATTTGATGTGGCTTCAAAAGATGAATATACCTGCACGTTCGGTCGATGGACTGCAACGTAAATAAATCAGACATCTTGCTTGCATATACAAGAATCATAGATGTCCGCGCGAAGTCTTCGCGTTACCTTCTACCTCCTTCCATCTCGCATCAACGGTAATATCTCGCGCTAAGGACCTCATTAGATCGGATCCTTTCAAGCAATCAAATGGCCTGGCCCATAACACCGCGCGAGGCCCAGAGCGTGAACCCGTTCGCATCTAGTATACTGAAAGAAAATCGCTGCATAAGAACAATCGCCGACCATACCGTAAAGAACCGCTGCACGTCGATAACGTATCCATTAAGCGTCGGGACTATTTCACTCCGGCCCGTTCCAGCACTTTCTCTCGTTCCATAACGCTCTCACCAAAGCGCAATAGGAAGATCGTCCGACCAGGCCACATTTCCGTGGGCTGATTATGGGCCGTAACCTTGGCCTCAAAACCGCATCCGTCACAGACCCCCTCAATAATGCCGGCCACGAACGCAGCGCAATTGAGCATGCTCATCTCCTTGGGCACACTAATATATGTATTGACGAGGGGGTCATTATCCGTAATCATATATTCGTTGGGAGTCTCAGGAGACACCGAGTGTTCCAGAGCATCGGCGGGGCGGTTAAAGAGGAGTCGCCAAAGGGGACCGTGGATGAGATGAAGGAGGGGAAGGATGCGAAGGGGTCTATTCGGGGGCGACGCTGAAGTAGAGGAGCTGGATAAAGAAGAGGAAGTAGAACTAGACATGGTGCGGTAAAACAGAAGGTCAAGCAATCGGAGACCCAGGGGGTAGCCTTGCTCATTCAATCTGAACGATATCAGCCGGAGGGGATAGGAACACTGTCGAAGACCAAGCCATACCGTCGTTCTAAATCTTGAATTCCGGTTACTCGTCTTTGGGCATATGTCACCATCTCTGCAAATAGAAAGGCGAAACTGGCCCGGCTCAGTTCCGCACTGCGGCTCCGATTCAGATGTCTGTCATAGATGGTCTTGCGATTCGACGGCACGCGCAGACCCTGGCTCGACTGGGATTGGGTGTGGAGGTGTTGTGCTGATTGCTGTTTATCCACTGCCACCGGGGCATTTGGGCCGCTATTGCTAATGGATAGCATCGCGGCGTGTCGTGCAGGTTGCGTCATGTTGAATGTGTATGTGTGAGGGTGATCGGGATCGGGATCGAGATCAGGATGTGGGCGACAGCTGGACAAGATCTAATCCACGTTGAGATAATCGGACATGCTGATTGGGATTCAGTTGAAAGTATCAGGCGGAATGATCATGCTGGTTCATGGTTTCACTGAATTGGGGAAGATGGAGTGAGCGAAGCTGTGGATGTCCCTCGCAAGTGGGCGGCATGGGGATGTACGGGGGGGCACAGGCTCAGGAATGCAGTTTTGGCGATAGCCTCAGATCCATACATAAATCTCACATTCGAGACATGCCATTCTTGCAATTGCTTAGGAAGGTGCTACTTGGATTGCTTGCCCCAAAGACAAAAATCTATTACTTACAGGGGGCTCTACAGATTGTACTACAGTGTATATTTTGGAATAAAAGTCCTCGTTCAAAAGATGTGCATTGCAAAATATATCTAACGACTAACGACCCTGACATTCGAGACCAAACCTCCAGCGAATTCAAATCTCTCCTGCCAAACCCGTGTCAAAATATCGTCCAGAGCTCTAAAAGCTAGAATGAATCTGCACTAAACAAGCAAATTAGCACATGCTTGCGATATAGCAATGATAAACGAATCATATGAATATGACCAAGTCAGACATCCAAGGAAGTAATACGCACAGTGCCGTCTATGATGGGTTCAAGCGACGGCTAGCGTGGAAACTGCGAATGTAGGAAAGTTTTCATCATAAAAACCCGAAGGCTTTTGGTCGGTTGAAGCAAAAAAAATGAAAAAAATCGTAGAACTTACCAATTCAGTCGCAAACACTTGGAAGAGAAGATCAACTCAATTAATTGTCTCCAGTTCCAAGTGCTCTAATATTCGATAGGAATCATCATAAAATTCCTGTCGGCGAAAATGTCGACGTGGAAAGAGTTTTAACTCTTATTGAGGGAGCATGGAAAGAAAGAAAAAAATTTCGGTGCGGGAAGACCATTTATAGTCGGCCTCAGGCTGCCCGGGTAACGGCCGACCCATACGAAGCTTCTAGAGGAGAGCGAAAATTCATCACCAACCTCCACTACGCAGGAAACCCAAGGTTCGATTCGGTTGGCATTTCTCATCGAAATTGTCGCCAAGCTCGTCATATTGTGTCGGAGCTAGTTAATATACAACGCCACTATATGGTTCTATTTTAGAACGTTTAGGCAATAACTGTGGGAATGTGGAATTGATCCCCTATATCGGACAGTAAAACGCACAGAGTACGGAGTACTCATCCTGACATGCAAGTTCGTTTATTTACCGCCCTTTTCCTCGTCGACTGGTTCGAGGCTCTTCGGTCGCTGTCTAGAGTTCCAATTCAGTGTTTTCGAGATACTGTGTACCCAATCATCCCCACGTCGACCCCGGGGTAAAACATTTGCAAACGGGTATCGCGATGCAGAAACAGTCACATAGTCACCCGGGTGTAGCTCAATCCTGTTCCAAGTTAGCCATTGTATCCCTGTATATACATGCAACCACCGAATGCACTTACCTCTCCCGGCCGTCAAAGCTGGCCCACGAACTTGTCCGAGCATCGTATGGTACTCCCATGCGGAGAACAATCGTATCTGGCAGAATGATTGGCCGGAACGAGAGTGTATGGGCACAAATTGCAGTGACGAGAATGACAGGGTTATCCGGATGAGACAGCGACCCTCCAGCCGCAAGATTATACGCAGTTGAGCCAGTAGGTGTCGCTATGCAGACTCCATCGGCAAGAAGTGTAGTAAAATGTTCATCGTCACCAAACAACTCGATCGAGGACATTGCTGCACAGGACTAGTCAGCAATCTTTACACAATCAAGATAGGTCAAGTCGAGACATACTAGGATTCGGCCCTCTATCAAGGACAACATCGTTCAATATCTGAAGGACCTTATCCGGCCTATGAGTCAATGTATCAATGCATTCTTCACCGATCAGCTCTTCCACGAGATCCCGTTTCCCTCCAGCACACGAAGACCCTTCAGGGAGTGGCTTGCTCCGCATGATCGTGCACTCGAACCGTAATCGTAGATTGACGGAGACGCCATCTCTAAAGGCAGCAGTGAGCGTCTTCTGGTAGTCATTAAAGTCAAACTTGGTCAAGAACCCCAGAGATCCCAGCGAGAACGAAAGCACCGGTGGCACCACATGCTGGAACAGCCAACTCGTGAACAGAACAGTTCCATCACCCCCAAGCGTGACAACGAAATCAAACAAATGAGCTCTCTCAACCGCAAGCTCATGATCCCAGTACTTCAGACGAGACTTCGCAGACGGTTCCTCCCGCAATATCTGCGCAGCACCAAACTCCGGGTCCGTTTCCAGACGTTTTTCCACATACACATTGTACAGAGTAGCGCGGTCCTTGGACAAAAGCCACCTGGCGACCTCTCTCGTTGAACCGATAACGGACTGATCCCCGGCCTTGGTCACCAAGAAAACCGTCTTGACCGTAAGTCTGAGCTTGATGCTGTCCAGTTTCTTCGACAGTTTGCGCACATTCCAAGCCATATCAGACAACTGTTTCTTGGTCAAATGTCGCGACTGCACCATGGCCTTCTCGATCGTCGAGGCATGGCTATCGGATTCTTCATCGCCAGTTGCCTCTTCCTCATCCTCATCCTTCGACCCTCTCAAGACCCCCTCCAGCTCCTTGATTTTATGTTTCGGGTCCCCCCATTCTCCCGCAATCAGCGAGTGCACAAAGCACGCTGTCGTTTGATCCGGATGCGAGAGATCGGGTCTGGTCACCGGGTCATCCGCCATGACCAGGGAAGACTTGCGGCGATGATTGCATTCCGGGTAAAGCACGACCTAGAAGATACTCACGCATATATCAGCAAGCTATTCCTGGCCTGGCTCATCAACAATACCTCTAGTTGGTTGTGAGTGTCGGAATCCTCTGTCCCTCCGCGGCTCTTCGGCCAAGTCAGCTTTGGCATTATACTGATCAGCTCGGCAACCTACGGAGCCGTCACGATATGGTTCTTCGTCCATGATGTAGACTAGGACCGCTTCTATAGACTCACAACCGGTCGTGATGCCACTATTGCGTGGTCATGGTGTGTCGATAGCTAGGTTGGTGGACGTTCTGGAATGGAGGTCGCAACGGGTCTGGATGAAAGCGGCTATGACGTCGGTCGACCGTTCGGGTGGTCATTGTACGTCTGGCAGCTGAGGCCATTGTCAACGGTCATGACGAGAGATTGATGCTTGGGAGAATTGATTTGGAGGGATGTAAGGATTGATTATCTGGGACGTCAGGGGAGCAGGATTATTTGGTTGGTGCGGTGCCTTGGTTGGGTTTGGTATTTCGTTATCATGATTATTTATTCACCTACGGCGGCGATATATATTTCTGGATAACGGGTAATGAACTACGACATTTTCTCAGAACATCGCTCTAGTTCTCGTAGTAGAACCGGAGAACATAATCCCAAGTAACCATATATTCCCAAAGGGTTCAAAGGGGAGTATGTAGTATGCCGTGACTGGATGGTTGGTTTACTGTATACTTCGACATTGTATACAACCTCCTGACAAGCCTCATTGGCCGGCCTCACTATCGCCCAGGACTGCTTATGCGGTGATACGAACATCCCAGCATGCTCATACATGTCCTTCCAATCCAATAAACAAAGGCTATCCCAGCGAATGATTCATCGGAAGCTCCCAACATTACACATGTCACTTCAAAGAACTATGGTCACCACTACGCCGTACATCCGAGACAACTGCCAACACCGTTGTCCTACATGTGACAAGGAAGCTGAGACCATTACATAGCCTGGGCAGTTGCTCTTCTGGAAGGTCTACAAATAGACAGGTTTATTATTAGAAATCAACCGACAAAGGTCTCGGGGAGTTTTGCATCTGGGTACTATACAAAAATGGAAACGGAGTCGGCTGGTCGAGATTGACCGACCCAGGGTGAGTTGGATCGGTATTCAGTAGGCAGTAAAGTTCTGGGGCAGGAAACACCCCGGACCGCTGACACCAAGTGACACATCCAAGAAAACGGCAAAGGAAACGTCCTCACTCCCTCACCGTAGCCCGGACGGTGCGAAGATGTCATGAGGCGGCCAGGTTGGCGGGCGCAGAGGATGCGTGGCACATGAGACAAAGCTGACAACAGACTTTCTTAGCTGGCCTTGGGCTGGGGGCAATCTGTCTAGGTTCAATAATTCATCTCCCAAGCCCAGTTCGATCTAGGCGCGTTAGCAGCGGTCCATTAGGGACTCCATAGCCATGGACAGAGGCCGAGGCTAAATTAGGAGCATTAGGAGCAATTAAGAGAGAGGGATCAGCCATCGACACCGGCAACGTGCCATGCCTGCCAGCCACCGAATAACCCGGGCTCCACTACCCTATAATAATCACCACCACCGCCCGACAATCCCGCGGCTCCCGTTTGTGCCCCTCATCTATTTACAGTTTGCGAGGGAAGAAAAGGAAGGCCCTTCGATGGGCACCCAAAACTTGTTTTGCACACTCGCCCGCCCGCACACGGTGGCAGTCCCAGGACGGCAAGGGGACTTTGCGTTTGCAGCCGGGGCGTCCATGGAGTTCCAGCCTCGACCCCGAGCCGGAGGGTGGCTTGCATCATCGGTTGTACCCCTACCCCAGATGATGATGAAGGGGAACAAAGTACCGAGAAGGTATCGACTATTGAAGCGGGACGAATAGTCAGCCATGTGGCTTTCCGAACTCCATCCAGTCCTGGTGACTGACTGGTGAAAGCAAGCAACAGAACTTACTCCGTAGGCCGCTAACCACATTAACAATTTAACTCGGCCGAGCTTCGAAACCGCCTACGTAAAATGTTAATCGGAACCAGAGAATAATAGTTTTGGGTTCTCGAGTCTCGACGTCGCCCATTATTATTGCGGGCGGTCCCAACGCGTGACTGATTGACTCCATCCGGACGGAGGACCATCGCCAACACTTTACCTTTTGAGGGAGGCCAACCTGCATACCGCCACGACACTTGCAACTAGTTTGAGGCATGATGAGACCAAGCCCCCGAGCAGGATCCTTTACAGATCCATAGGATGGTAGCGTCTGCTTGACAGAATCCTGGGCGCGTTATTTGCTCGCTGGAATGCACTAGGTTGACCCACCAACGGTCAGACATCATCGACATTCTTCATTGGTGGTTGCTGTGCTGCTGGATTGTGGTAAATTGAAAATACCCGCTGGTTGCCGATTAGCCTCATGCACAGAGTGGGTTAGGGGCGACGACGAAGAAGAAGAAGGGGGAAGTCCGGAATGGGGTCGGGTCACTCGGGTGGGATGGGATGGATCATCAATCATCATCATGGGTGGGATGCGCGCGCGCAACTGGACAAGGAAAATTCGGCGACCAGCTAAAATGGCTAATTTCCCTCGTCGGGGCAAATTTGGCTGCGGTAATCGGGTACGTACCCCACTATGGATCTGCCGTGACAGTGCAGCAGAACCAGCAGAGCCAGCAGAGCCAGCAGAGCCAAACAGCCATTGCAAAGACGGAGAGACAGCCTCTCAGCCACCGCTGATGAATAATCCCCAATATTGGGACCTGGCAAGTCTTGGTTGCCGGTTCCAGTCATCCATCAGTGGACCGTCGACTATCATTGACCGCAACTGGGGCACGGTGCGTCGGGCCTGGTGCGATTTACAGCCGATCTTCTAATAGTCAGTCTGTCAACGGGGGATCGGTTCTGGTCGGCCCCTCTCTTATTACTTATTAGTTCTTTGCTTTGCTTCGGTCTGTGTTTCACTGTAGCATTCTCCCGTTCGGTGGATTTCCTCAGCCGGCAAGAGGTGGAGGAGGAGGAGGGCGATGCTGCCTGGATCGGACTGCCAGGGGTAATGAAACGATCCAAGGCGCTTCGTATCCCGAGGCCAGCGCAGGCATTGCGCCCTCATTTGCGGAGACCCTTCGAGGGGCGCCGATGAGGAGGATGATTGATGGTCCGGAGCACGGTACTATTATGTACAAGCCCCTCTCGTAGCGTCATAGGCTGAAGCAGCCGCGGCAAACCTCACCAGAACCTACCTAGGTAGTACCTATCTAGTCCCTACATAGGTATGTGATGAGAGTAGCCGTCCTTCAGTCAGGTGGTTCCATTGCCTCTGCGAGATGCAAGTGTGTCGCCCGCAGAGTAATATCAAATCCAGATGCATGCCTGACCCCGTCACACTGTGGTGGCCTGACGGCTAGACCTGATTGGTGCCGTATCATGTATGGTATGGTATCCCGGCGCCCCGACTGTTCCGTATAGTACACCTTCTTGGGGGAATGGCGGTGGTGGCATGAGGCACCGAACTCCCGTTGCTCATACTGCGACTCCTATTAGTCAGGAGCAGTAGCGTTCCAGACCCAGTAGATAGTACTAGATAGGCACTAGGTATCTAGATGGCTTGTATACTTCCAGGATTCTTGGGCCATGCCTTTTACTGGTTGGATGACATGTTAGACAAACCTAAGCACAGGCCACATTCTGTGTGATACCTTAAGATCTGAACAATGCAAGAGTCCAGAATGCTGCAGTATCTGAGTGCCGACTTGTCTGTGATGGCAGCTGAAGATAGGTGCCTACCTTGCATCGGCCCAGCCAGCATGTCTGCCTACAGCAGATCATGCATGCCCCTTCGTGTTATTTGGAGAGATCTGGTTGTTGTGGATGGTGTACCCGCCTCTGCCCAGCCAGACTCCACCTCACAGCAATACACTGCCAAGTGGTAATTGTCGGACTCTGTGCGCGGAGACGAAAGATTGAGCCCGATCGCGGCCCATGATTGGCTGGAAGGACAGCACCCTATTTTGGTTCCCATGCATGCATGCATGGGCCTAGGTACAGTACTGGCGGTATATGTATGTACGCCATTTGACTCATGGCCACCTGCAGATGCCTTCCGTAGTAGCCTGGAGCCTTGATTAGTAGGGACCTTCGCAGCTGACGGTCTGCTCAACGCAGTAATCAGCCTGGATGAGCCCGGCTTACGACCACCTCCAACATCAACCAGGCTCATCGCCTAGACTGTCCATGCCACGGACGGCTCCGTATCATGTCGCACCTGGCGAGTCCATTCCCGTCACCAAATGGCAGATGCAGCTGGTGGATGACCCACTCTGGGGGTGGTTTTGGGCGCTCTCCTTCATGCTCCCTACGTAACCGAGCGGTCCTTACGGAGTACGGAGTACCCTGCCGCGCGATCTGCTTGGGAGCTCAGACGTTGTGGCGTCGGTCAGGGCACGCGGGCAATCACTTTCTGGTAGTAACTTTACCGTTACAATGCTTCTCAGTTTTATCAGAGGAGGAGAAGCTTCGCAAGACCCATACCAACAGTGCCATAATGGGTTGGGTTGGGTTGAGCCTGGGCAATCAGGACCATCATCAGAGCAAGGCGAGCGGTATCTGGAATGCCGTGTCACATCCACCCTGCGCCGATGGCTTGATTTCACGATCGGTTGCAGCCTGGCGCTCCAGCTCCAGCTCCAGCTCCAGCTCCAGCTCCAGTTCTAAACCTGGCGAAGTAAGGTGTGGGTGAGATTCCATCAGGAAGCATGGTTCGATGACGATGACATGAATGAGGCTTGGACGTTGAACTGAACCTGCCCCTGATAGATAACTAGCACCGCAACGCATGTAAGCACTTTTCCCGGTGACCAATGAGGATCGGGCGCTGCTGCCATACGCAGTACGATAGTAATATCGAAGTCAGCTTCTTTTACGGAGCACTATGTACGGAGTAGGTACCACGGGGCCATAAGTAGGGGCTGGTGAATGATGACATGCCACTAAAGTAAGCCAAATTAATTTAGCGTCCAAGGTTTCCATTGTTTACCTAGCTCCTAGCCTCCTAGATAGAACTTAGGCCACTGAGCGCTCGGGCCTAACCATGGTCTGATGACACGTTAATCCTCAGGAAGTAGGTACTAGGAGGAATGCGGCGCCGAGGCAGAAGCCGAGACGACGGCTTACATATTGGAGGAAAGTGGACTCGGAAACGGAATCTAAGATTTGAAGGCGTGAGTTGATCACTGGCGTGGGCCAAAGCAGCAGTTGGTTGATCCCTACATGGTTGACTTTCTCCGAAGCGCAGTGTTTAGGCCTGTCTCGGACGGCGACCGCCATTTCGCTGACTCGGTTGCTGGATCGAGCGGGATACATCAGCTAGGCGGCGGGATTCTGATGGGGAAAGCCAGGGTGCCATGCAGGCGCAACCATGTCCCTGAGGATGGCCCGGGGCCATTGTCCATAATTTAGTCGATTAATTATTATTATTTGAGTATCGATAATTATTCGGTATGGATGGTCCCGTTGTTTTCACTATATTGTCAACATTGCTTTTTGGCACAACACCAACAACGAAGGGGCCAGATTACCAGTTATTCCGTCGTACGTATGGAGTAGATGGATTCAATAAAGCAACTCTAACTCAAATTGACTAGGGGGCAGTGAGACAGGTTAGCTGGAGCTTGTGCCATGCTAAAATCCTTAGGCCTCTCACATCACGAGCCGGAGCCTTTGGTTCATATAGCATCACTCTGCCTAAACCCTTTGTAATCGATCCGTGGCGCAATGGTACCGGGGAAAAACTAAAAATCTTAGGTACTATATTCAGTTAATATCTCAAGGTTGCGCGGGTCCCGCCGGGAGGGTACATCACTGCGTGATCTTTTAGCCTTTCGTTCACCATTAGCTAATGACATCTTAGGCTCTTAGCTGAACCTTCGACCTTGCCGTCCAGGGTCATATCAGTGGCCACCACGGCACGAGGAGTCAAGGGACAATTCGGGTAGAGCCTGTGTGATGATCAACCCGAAAGAGAGGTGGCTGAACTTCCCTGTAGAGTAGAGAGCAAATGGACGAGTCCAAAGACCCCGGGTCTAGTACATTCATTGTAGAGCCCACAGGATACCACTGTGAGAGATCACCACCAACCCCTGGTGCGATAATTGGTTATACTCCAAACAGCAGGTCTAAATCAAACCGGGTACTCCGTACTCCGTACAGGTTTATTGATGCGTCGTGGTTTGCAACTCATCAGATCAGCACCCAAGGTTTTGATTGGTTCTCGAGCGATGCCGTTTGCGAGCCTCTGTCGACTGGAGGGCGTGTAGAACACCACTTACAGCAGGCGACCGGGTAGTAGAGTACTATGAGCACTGAGCAGGCCGAGTGGTTACCGTAGTACCATACGGAGCTAGCTGGTAGCTCACCTTACTTACCTGCTCCCTGGTAGAATCCCTGTTCGACTCTTGGTGACTCCGTAATCCCGTAGATACGGACTACGGAGATATGGGAGCCTGACCCACTTGGTCTGGCCTCTTTGGTTTTTTTTTTTTTTTCTTTTTCCTTTTTCTCTTTTCTCCCTGCCCTCTCCCTTTTTTTTTTTTTTTTTTTTTCGCCTCCCCTTCCCCTTCGCATGCCCAATCGAGTGCTGACTTGGCCCCTGGCCTTCTGGAATTTTGTTCTTCTCGCTCGCTCCTTCCAGTCCCCTGCCGTCAGGTGGGCCTGCACATGCGTTCCGATGGTTCCCCTCCTGTAATCTCCGGCTTCTGATTTGTAGGGCAACCAGACGATGATCTCAACTGTCTGATTAGTCGCTTTTGCGATGATGCATCTTGATTAGGCGTCGGCACGGAGGTTTTTTGAAGGTCGTTTCCCTTTGGATCTGGTCTGCAACGCCTTTGGTGCTGTTCGAGGCTTCGAGTACAATGGAAGGCTATCCGCTCCCCGATTAGCCGGGTTCTCAACAGGGACAAGCATCGTCCTTCCCCAAACGACAGCCTATCACCTCGATCCGTGGGTATGTCGGCTGGGCCAGAACGGCGTGACGGATGCAGTGCCACAACTCCGATCACCAGGCTGTCATAGTCTCATAGTTAGATAGACTGGGTGGCCGGAGCACGGTGGCCATGATTGCTCATAGTACCTATCTAGTAACTACTACTCCGTGCATCTGTTGTATTTGCGCCCCTTCTTTGGCCCTATGCAGTATGCAGGTTTAGGACCAAATTCAAGGCGGGCGAGCAGGAAGAGGAGAAAGTGACACTAAAAGTGACTTTCTCTCAGCCTTCAGGTACGGGGACTAACCGGAGGCAGTAGGGCTCTGCTCTAGTCGGTCCTCCTCCGGCCGCATCCCTGGTTCTGGAAATGGTCCCCATGTCAATGGAATAATCCTCCGCCCCGGTTTCCTTTGTCGATTACATCGGATGGGGCTGTGGTGCTGTACCTATTCTGGTGCAGCTGGACTCGTCATAAAACATTATTGGTACCCGCTCAGCCCATCCCGGATAAGCTACTACTGTTAAAGAGCCAGCCTAACCGGTGGAGTCGCATACTACTGACTACTGAGAGTCTGAGATGTGTGTGTTGCTCCCGCAAATAATGTGTCTGGCGACTTACTTGCGACTTGCGACTTGCGTAGTGCACACCACCCCACTCTCTCTCCGGTCTTGAGCAAATTCTGCTTCTATGGGCCCCGTATAACGCCTCCGATCCTTGAACCCAGACCAAGTGTTGTCATCTCTAGCCGAACTTTCCGTTCTCTCCACCCTCCATCCCCTACACCGAGAGATGGCCCGTACGGCAGTAGGCTTTCACCATTCAGCCACCTAGCCATCTGATCTAAGCCGTCTCGTCACACGTAAGTAAGGTCTGACTATGAAACATGTGATCCACCACGAATAGATTAACCGGCACCGCATATCGATAAGCCAGAATAATGATTGATATGGCGGATATACCTACTGACGGAGTCGGTAGGATGTGAGGTCGGAGCAGTAGTACTGGTATAACCTATCTTGGGGTCCAGATGAAAAGGCAATTTGGGTTTCTTGTACACATCCCGACGCATGGAGTAACACGACTCGCTGGCCAATGAATTGCGAATAGCAATCAATGATCATCAACCCAGCGCTTCACGAGACAACTGATCACCGAGTCAGGGCCCTGTCGGCAGTCCGGTTTGGTCTAGGTTAGTCTCAGAGGTTGCAAGTGTGCAATAACGGTGATGCCTCCAACCCGAGCGCGGTTGGACAGGAATAGAAGCATCCAGGGAATCAAAAGGATGGCCGGATGGGTCATTGGATACGCGCCCGGGGATGCCGAAGGATGATGACGATGACAAGGAATGGGCGGAAGGCAGTTGTTGTTCAACCTTCAGCATGCTTCTGCCCTGCCCTTGTTCGATCCATCGCAAGTTTAGGGAGGGGGAGGGGTGGTATACGATACGACTGCTACCAGATAAGTGTTGCTTGCTAGATATGTGGGCGTAAGTATGTGTGCCTCTTAGCGTTGGCCCAGACTGCTCCCCCCCGCTGTCTGTCTGTATGTATCTAGCATGTATGTACTCCGTACTCCGGACAAGGGAAGCAATCAAGTAGCAGTCTGCCCTTGAAAACTTTCCGCATTATTGTAACCCTTGCGTAACGGGCGTTGTGACGCGTTGGAAACGGTGAACTTGTGGGGACCACACTGGACTCGAAGGGGTTACTTAACGAGGGAGGAGAAGAGGGGGGGAGGGGGGCAATGTGTAGGTAATACGGAGGAAGAATGATTGACTGGAACACTGGCTGACCTGGACAGTTGGTCGCAGGGTTGACGATCGGGTTGGATCGTGGGTCATTCAATACTTACATAGTACAATAATACCTGACCTGACCTGTTCACCGCGCCGCGGGCATTCCCATCATGACTAAGACCGTCAGTGTATCATGATTTGGATCCATCCATGGACGGGCACCCGCGACAAAAGGAGCAGGTACCTACGGAGTACGTAAGTAGTCACGCCTGGGCGGTGCTGTACCTAGTAGACACTACCTACCTTTCCGAGATATACCCCTGGTCATTAAGAGATAAGTACTATGTAGTAGTATCAAGGAATCCCCTCCCAGGTACCGCACGCATGTCGCCATAGGCTGGCTGCGTCATCGAGTTGGGAGGGGAATACTCCGTAGTTAATTTAATAATGTGCCAGTGCTACCTTTTCTTGCTTTTGCTGAGCACTATGGAGTCAGTCTCGTCTCCATGTAGGTAGAAGAGGACCTCGCCAATGTAACCGATCACCCGTACCTATCTCGTACATCAATACGGAAGTGGTATCTATTCGACAGGGAGGGCAATGCAGCCGCGGGCGGAACCTTCCTGGTACGGTATGGTAATGATGATGCAGTAGTAGTTCCCAGTTTAGCCCCAGACTTCCCATGGGGCTCTCTCAAGTCTCTCACACGGGCCTTACGCTGCGTATCTAACTAGGTATCTAGTGGAAAGTTTAGCGTGGTTTAGTTTCGGCATGTCCCAGGCAGTCAGGCAGGTCCGTCTTTTCTGGTTCCTTCTTTAACTTCCATCCATGATCTCTGCTGCCTTTCCCTGGCTGGAGCTCCGATTGCAGTTTCCCATCCAATCATTCACCCCCATTCCCCATCTCCCTCGTTTTCCCTTTCCCTCTTTTTCACCTTTTCACCCTCGAAGTGGAGTGCATTAATTCACTTGCCAATGGGTCTGATCATCCCCACCATCAACATTATTCATTCTGCTCCCCACCCTCCCTCCTTTCTCCCCCCATCGTCACCCGCCGTTAACCACTAATCAGCCCCAATAATCCCATGGGCCCAGGGCAATCCAGAGTGTTGTTGCCAGAAGAGTCCGACTGTCCGAGACAGGATTGCTGCTCCCAAGTTCTTTGGGTGGAGCAGCATCGTGTGGCATGGGCTCGTCTGAATCATCACCACCTTCCTGGGTCCCTTCCTTCCTGGCTCCTGCCCCTACTCCAGTGCTCCTAGTCTCCTGGAGTTCCCACCTTTACTAGTCTGTTTTCGTTAGTGTCAACGTCGTGTCATCCCAAATCCCAACATGTGCCCGCTACCACTAGACCACTAGCGTTCTCACTTACAGTAATGGATCGTGGAACTGGGGCGGATGGTAGATCAAGAAATGCCCATGTACATACGTTCCACATCTCCGTGTATCACCCTCATGTAGGGCGGCTAGAGCCTTCCCTTTTTTAATAATTTATTCTCTTTTTATTTTATTTCCTTTTCTTTTCTTGTCTAATCCATTTCTGCCTCCCCTTTTTTAGAGTTCCTCTTACTTTCCCGAATAATCTACTCATCTAAACCCATCTGGGTCCATTACTACTTTAGACGCACGTACTTGCTTCCCGTACCTTGCCTCCACGCCTTGTGACCCTCACGCCCCCTGTGTCATCTTTAGATGATAAGTCTCGAACCCCAGTCTTCGGAGATCCTTTACATATTCCTGCAGTCATCATCCATGGGTCCTATCCGTGCTTGATGCTCCATATATACCGTTGACACCCTATCCAATCCTTCCGTCTTACCCTAGCCTCCCAGCTACTACTATGTATGTTTATATCGCCCACCCTCCTTCTCTTACTTTCAATTGACCATCCCTCTCCTCTCAGTCCATTCAATCTATACCAACCCTCTTCTCTCAACATCACTCTTCTCAATGGCCGACTGCTGGCAACCCCAACCGGCCTTTGCCAACCCGTCTTGGGTTCAAGGCAACCAGTCCTGCTGGCGCACGTCGACATTTCGGGACTTGATTCAGGCTTTCCCTAGACCGAAGCATACCGGTCGAGTGACGAAACCTCGCAGTGCTGGGAACAGTCCTTCGTCTGCTGGCAGACGGCGGACAGCAACCATCCCTTACAGTTCGCCGATGTACCAGGGTTATCAAGCTCCCGTCAATCCTGCCCTTGTGGCCTCTGCACTAGCCAGAACTAGTCGAACCCGTCCGACAAGTTGGCACCCAGCATTGGAGTCCGTCAACTATTCGACTGCTCAGTATCTCCCCGCCACTACCGCATTGGACAACTTCGCCGCTCTTGGCGTATGCCCTCAGCCACTGCCTACTGCCTCCGCCACATACGAGGACACTTCTATGTTGCCATCATATGCTCCATTGGACATGGGGCTCCATGCTCTTCCCGGCGGACAACAACAGATGCCGCTCCAACAATCTTCCTTTCTCCAGATGAACGAATCACAGAGTGAGCTAGTCTCTTGGGACACCAATGGTTCGACCTTGCCCACAATGGCCGAGCCGATGTCTGATTGCTGGTCCTTCGACATGTCATCCATGCACAACAATATTCCTTCGACATATGTCACTGCCTCGGGCTACGAAAGTGCTCCATCATCCGGCTATCTGACTGGGCCTTCTACGCCGGACTTTCTTCCCATTCAGCGGCCCGACGATGACCTCAATTCGCAGATTGGGTCACTGTCAGAGAAGCCCAAGGCCGAGGATGAGCTGGTCGGAATGGGACTTTACAGCAACCCGGAAGCTTCACTGGAGACCTCTCTCCTAGGGCTATCCGGAAAAGGGCTGAAATTGGAGGAGACTTTCACCCCATCTTCGGACAACGAAGCGGAAGACCGGGATGACAACGACAATGAAGACGATGATGACGACCAGTCGGAGGAGGATGAGGTCGACCACAATGGGCCCGACTCGAACCAGAAGCAGCCGGAGCAAAAGACCTTCCAGCAACCGGTCAAAGCACCTGGTAGCATGATGCAACGATCTTTTTTCTTCGAGGACGATGAACTCGAGCAGCATGCCGTGGTCGAGCCTCAGCCTTTTGTGAACATGGCCAGCCAACCTTGTATGAGTTATGGCTACGGATGGATCTGATTCCACACGATCACTTGATTACTTTTTATTGCCTTTTTTCGGGTTACAGCATCGCATAGCATGGAGTTATCGTTTTCGGGAGGCGTTATCACTAGCATACACAGGATACCCAGGGAGGATGCTTGAACTTCCAACGCATGTATTAAGAGAACGGAATGTAACAATGACGAAGAATATTCGATGAGGATATTGAAACAGGAGTACTTGTAATTTTACGTAGCCAGCAGTAACAGCAGCAACTGAAACATAGTAACCAGACGGAGTATTGAACCTAAAGGGGAAATGTCATCGGCCGGAACAACTGTAATCCGGGGAACAAAATCACTGCAACGAGATGTACATTCACCCCAACCGGTACACGGAGAGAAAACATAGCAGTTGGAACTGCTAGAGCACTCGATCCAACATGGCCAAGGTCATTTTCACCCCCTGGAAGGAGCACTCCTCATTACTCGCGGTGCGGGGACAATTCTACCCTGCGCCATTCTACGATGGGCCAGACATGCGCTCCAAGGCCTGCGCCACGGTATGCGAAATCTGCCTTGGAAGTTATCCCGACTGACGCTAACATGGATTATAGGTTGGGGCCTGGAAACTACGAGGAAATCTGCCCCATCCGGTCGAGGCCACGGCCTTGCTAACGGATGCCATTCTTCATGATGATGCGCAGAAAAATTCCATATTCTCTATTAGAGCCACGTATTCGGCTGCGTTTTGTCGGTATGCATAGCCTTTAGTGTATCCCTCTTTTCTGGTTCTGCTTGTTTGATGTACACAGCGTATACTAATGATATACAGATTCGTGACTGGCCTCGTTGACTCTAAGCTCAACGGCCAACGAAAGACCATGTTCCAGAGAGCCATTGACCTTGGATTACCGGCCTCGTTCGTGGAACTGCGCCACGAGGCCACGCATCGTGAGCTGCCTTCATTGACAGTGTTGCGGAATGCTACGCAGCGGTCTCTTGAATGGCTCTGGGATTACTACTGGGCCAAGACCGATCTGAGTGCCGATATGGTGCCTGGAGTGTCTGAACCTGGGATGTTTGATGGGGCTGATGATGATGTCGAGCCCATCAAGGCGGCTGCCAGGGATAGCTTGGAGCAGTTGCTGGTAGAGGAAGAGTCGTCAGAACCGCCCCGGAAGAAGAGGCGGTTTCAACAGAATGTGTCTTTTGCGTCTACGCATTTGGTCTCGATATGCAAGTCCTCTAGCTACGGGGCGTCTACGCTGGCGAATGTTATTGTGGAAGACTCGATATTGGTTCCTGCAGGACGGAAGTGAGTATTTCGTTTCTCCGTTCTGGTGTCCATGGTGTTGAGCTAACTCGGTATTAGGATTGGTGATTCCATGACGGAAACATTCTCCAAATGGGATCCGTTACTGCAGATGCTCGCAGAGGGCCATGCTCCGGTCCTGGCAGCGCTGGCAGAGGAATTGGTGAACGTACTCGCCTTTTCAGACTCGAGGAACCTGAAGAATGACCCCCATCTCGAAGGAACATACATGTGGCTGGACCATATCCTTCGTTCGCCGGAATGGGAGTCTCGAGGGCGACTACTCTCCCACGCGTACATTCTCGCTGTTTGCGAGCAGAGTTCCAACCACTGGACGGCGCTTCTGGGAGAGACCATACAGGAGAAGAGTGGTCAAACCGCTGGAAAGGTATCAGCGTCAAGTCAGTCCAAGACCGAGTCTGGACTCAAGCGGACCGAAGACGCTGAAGACCTGAAGGAGCTGAAGAAATTCGGATGGGAAACCGTAGATACATGGGATACGCGGCCGTTAGGGATAGTCTAGACTGGAGTACTCCGTAAAAGATCATGAATATGACCACTGTGCCACAGCTGAGCCACGCAGCGAGCCTGAGGAGGGAGTGTCAACGACCGTAACAGGCCTAGCGTAACCGCCACACGTGGCTGAGCACCGGCAACGGGCCTATGAGGTAATCGCCTATCAACGCTTATGGCTCCAGCATAGCTCCAGCAGCTGTTGCAACCACCCCGCATTCGTCAGCAGGTTCAGCATTCACAAACCCTTATGTCCATGTGCCTTACCAGAGCTGTCTGGTCATCCGTGAGGTTTCAACCCGTGAGAGCAAGAGTGCCAGCGCCAGCGCGACAAATCAGAGCCATGCATGTGCAGTCGATCCCGATGTGTATGTTCCAACATAAGAATTACCCCAAGGTACTTGTTTTCCTCTTCCTTGCTGACCCCGCCAGGGACCGGGAAGGGCAACAACTATGCCTACCTGGTGACGGACGAGCCGACCAAGCAGTCTGTCATTATCGACCCGGCCAATCCGCCCGAGTACTTTTATCTCAGAGGGTCATGAAAATGAGCTAACTGTGTGCAGAGTGGCCCCGAAGCTGCAACCTAAGATCGACGCGGGGGAGATTACACTCACGGCTATTGTCAGCACACATCAGTATGTACTGCTTCTGCTCCTCTTGGAGATAATGCTAACCGGACCAGTCACTGGGATCATGCCGGCGGAAACAATGAAATGGTACGCTACATGAACAAGCATGGTTGATCGTCAAACTGACACGAGAAGCTGAAAACCTTTGGCCAACTACCCGTCATTGGAGGCAAGGACTGCCAGGCTGTCACCAAGACCCCGGCCCATGGTGAAGTGTTCAAGATTGGAGAGCGCATCTCTGTCAAGGCTCTGCACACGCCCTGCCATACGCAGGACAGTATCTGCTACTTTATGCAGGATGGTGATGAGAAGGTTGTCTTTACTGGAGATACCTTGTTCATTGGAGGTGAGCTCAATTTGCATGGTGTGCGGGCCTAGCTAAGGATGCAGGATGTGGTCGGTTCTTCGAGGGCACTGCCCCGGAAATGCACAAGGCGTTGAACGAGACGCTGGCAGCGTTGCCAGATGATACCAAGGTTTATGTGAGTTACCCAGGTTGCTCGGCTTTCTCGGGATTTGCTGGTGTACTGACTGTCCAGCCTGGCCATGAATACACCAAGGGAAATGTCCAGTTCTGTCTGGCTGTGTCGCAGTCGGAGCCTATTAAGAAGCTGGAGGCTTTTGCAAATGAGAACAAGGAGACGCAGGGAAAGTTTACTATTGGCGATGAGAAGGTAGGTCTGCTCCTTGTTCTATAGACAGGTCTAACTATCTGCAGCTTCATAACGTGTTCATGCGTGTCAATGTAAGTACTTCATATGGAGATAGAGAACTAAGCTAATACTGTTAGGACCCTGAGATCCAGAAGAAGACGGGCAAGACGGACCCGGTTGAGGTGATGGCAGCGCTGAGAGAGATGAAGAACAGTATGTAATATTCTGAACATGACGAAGAGCGAATATACCTAGGGCACAAATCAAAGCCAAACCAACTCTCCAACTGTAGAAAATCATAGCTCCATCCTAACAATGAATCCTACATCCATCACCTACAAACCCAGTCATCGTGACGTCAGCCACAACCATCTGTATATCAACAACCACCACCACCACATCACCAAATAATCCATACCCCTCATCCCACTCATACCCAATCCCCAACCCCAAATCCCAAACCATCAAGCAACAACAATGTCCACCGACACCGAAACAGAACACAACCTCCCCGGCACCTGCAAAACGACCAAAAGCACCATCCTCGAGACCGGCGCCAAAGCCATCCAAGACTTCAAACCCGTGAACAACATCTGCGCACACCTGAATGCCTTTCACGTTTACGCCTCGGATAAATCTCGTTGTGTGGAGGCTAACCACTACTGTTCACATATCACGGAGGGTGTGTATCCTTGCCTTCCCCCTCCTATTCCTCTTCCCTATCAACTCCCCCGCCCCAAATCCCAAACTAAACAAAAGATAGACATAAGACAATGCCTAATCTACGCCCACCCCACCCCCAACTCCCCCCTAATCGGAATCGAATACATGATAACACCCAAACTCTTCTCCACACTTCCCGAATCCGAGAAAGCGCTCTGGCACACGCACATCTACGAAGTAAGTAGTGGGATGCTCATAATGCCCAAACCCACCTCATCCCTAGTCCCCGACGCAGCCTGGAACGCAGCCGAAACGTCCGAAATGCGGGATATACTGCCTTTGTATGGGAAAACGTATCATTTCTGGCAGGTGGATCGGGGGGATAAAGTGCCGTTGGGGGGGCCGGAGTTGATGGCGAGTTTTTTGGATGAGGAGGGGGTGAGGAGGGTTGTGAAGGGGGAGGGAGGGGGATTGGGGGAGTTGGTGGGAGAGAGGGATGGGAGGTTTGGGGTGGATTTTAGAGAGAAGAGGGAGTTGAGGAGGGGGATGGTGGAGGAGGGTTTGGGGGGGATTGAGAAGGAGGGGGGGATGGTTCCTGGTGAGTATCTATCTACTTGGATTCTTTCTCTTTGGTTTGGTGATGGTGTAAGTTTGCTGATGAGTGTTGTAGGTGCGGATAAGATGTGGGAAGATGATAATAATAAGAATGATGGGAAGTAGTAGGTGCTGGAATCTATGTTATGAAGGTTATGCTTGACATCTATCAAATTGTAATAGTAATATGGATATATTCACAAATATAATTATATCTACTCATCTAAAAAGCATGTCTCCCGTCGTTACCACCCAGCCTTCCATTCCCATAACAAAATGGGGTCCAAGCCAGGCTATCGTTCAGGGAATCCCATCACTGATGTGATGAGATGTACAATTCATCTTGCTTCACTGTCCACACTCACGCGCTCTGGTGTTGAATTTCGGCAGCGGTGAGCTCTAGCTATTTTAGAAGCGATGTGATACTGAGTAGGTGGGTGGGCTTAGATTCCATGAGGAAAATAGCCAGATGCAACAGACTGATCGTGTATCTGATGTCTTATATGCAACATTAAGCAATTAGACTGATCATATCAAACGACTCAAGTCGTGGCATTGTGTGTGTTGTGTTGTGTGTTGTGTGTAAACAAGAAAACGAAAAAAAAAATAGAAAAATTCCCGCCCTTATAAACCCCCATACAATCACGTGACACACCTCCTCCATCCAATCCAATCCAATTACCCCCATCCGTCATATCCCCGAACAATATCAATCTACAACTGAAACCCCAACTCCAACCACACCACCCCCCACGCCTTGCCTCCCCTCCCTCACCAACCCAAGCAAAACAATGCAATGGAATCCCTCATCCGCGGAACCCTAAAACGCGCCACCCCAGGTCACTTCTTCCGACTAGGATACAAAACCGCCGGACTATTCTGCGCCTGCACACTCATCTGGGAACATCTCATCACGGTGCAACTATCCGAGGGTCCGTCGATGTATCCGACCTTCAGTCCGCGGGGCGACTATTTGATGATATCGCGGGTGCATAAGCACGGACGGGGAATACAGGTCGGGGACGTGGTGCGGTTCTATCATCCTAGTTTTTTGGGCGTCAATGCTGCAAAGAGAGTTATTGGCTTGCCGGGGGATTTTGTCTGTCGGGATTTGGCGTTTAGTAGGGATGTAGGGAGGGAGGGGGAGATGATTCAGGTTCGTTCTTTTCTTTCTGTCTGTTGTTTTTGTGAGGGGGGGAATTGGGGTGTTGTGCTAATGGGTGATTGTTGGTGGGTAGGTTCCCGAAGGTCATATCTATCTGGGGGGAGATAATTTGCCCTGGTCGAGAGATTCCAGAAATTATGGTCCCGTTCCTATGGGCCTTATTAATGGTAAGATTATTGCGCGCGTGTGGCCGCCGTCGAAGATGGAGTGGGTGGAAAATACAATGCAGTTGGCGGATTTGTCGGAGTGATCGATGAGAATGATCATGCTCTAGGGTATATAGTGCTACGCATGGAGTCTGGAGTTGGAGGATTTGTGCATATTCATACATCTCTTGTACAATACAGATCTAAGCCCAAATGTTAACGAAAAAAAGAGGCTACAAGCAGATCACCGGAACGTCGAAGGGTTTCTCCTCTTGTAAGGAAGAGGATCGATCCTCTTCCGGCGAAGCTCCATGTCGGCTTCGGGGAAGCCAATCTGCTTCATCACCTCGTACGTCGTCTCATCCCATTGGCTGCGGAACAGGTGCGCGCCAATCGCCTTCAGGTGGTACCGAGCCTGCAGCGTACGGAGCAGCAGGTTGTCACGCTCCGTCTCCTTCGCCTGGACCGCGGCAAAGTCCAATGGCTTCGAGTCCTTCTGCTCGAGGATGAAAAGAGACAGCCGGTGGTACGGGCTGCCCTTCTGGGCCACCGGTGGCAGCCATGGCAGGACCACCTGCGAGTCAGCCGACAGCTGGGACAGGTCGACCTTGGTGGATGTGGCCGAGATGGGGATGTTGACGGCCAGGTAATGCATCTTGAAATCAAATCCATCCTTCTCCACGTTGGGCACATCCGAGTCCACCACAGCAATAGTCACGAGCTTCTCGCCACCCTCGAAGAGCTGCACGTCGAGTTTGGGGGCCGTCGTGCTGACCTGGGCGTTGACGAATTCTCCCGGCTGGATCTGGTTCCGGTTGAAGTAGAGCTTGGTGTCCACGATCGGATCGCAGTGGGGAAGGACGTCGGGAATAACCTTCATTTGTGTGATTCGTTGAACGAGGATCTTGCGACGATATTCTCTCCATTTCCGGTCGGCCAGATAGCGGTAAATGGGCTTGCTCAAATCACCTGGACGGACAATCGGTTAGAACGCGGAGACAGACCATAGACGCAGCATAGACCAGATTCTCACCTTCTCCATCCTCGAACTTCTTCTTCACGAGCGGGTCGTTGATATCGGCCAGAATCTTGAGATGCTCCAAATGGAGCTCCATGGCCCGGAGCTTGGACTTCTTGACCTGCTCCCCACCGGCCTCCTGGGTGGGTACAGCCTGGAGCCTTGCAATCTTCTCACTCATCGCCGTTATGTCGCGCAACTTCTCGTCGCGGTCCGCGACCAAAACCTTGCGTGCTTCCTGGAAACATTGGTAGGGCAGTTGCTCGAAGGGGATGTTGGCTGAGTTCTGGAGAGCGGCACGACGTCGACGAGATCCAATGGGGGCAATTCCTTGCCGTAACAGTCGCCGTTCCAGTTGACGATTCGTTACCAGGGCCGGATCAGGCGCCTTGTGGAAGGGGACGCTCTTGGCTTCAGCCTGGGCTTCCTCACGAGCCAGAGCGGTGGACTGGAAGGCGCGGGTGGACTGCAGCTGGAGGCCCGGAAGTCCCTTGGTGTAGGTCTTCTGCAGGCATTGGAGCAGGGGCTTGGAGGCCCGCTCACAGTGAGCCATCGTGAGGCGAGTAAATGGGGAGGGGAGGGGGGAGGGTGGATGGAGTGGATGGACGAGGTTCCCCAGGTTGGTCGGGAAGTCGAGGTAGTTCCTGGCCGGACGGAACTTTTTTCGTCGGGTTGGCCAAGCCTCACAAGGCTAGCGCCAGACCACCCGAACTTTTGCTGCTCCTCCTCCACCCCAAAAGCACCACCGAGATTCATTCCCCAGCCAGGCTACCCTCTCGGGCCTTATTTATACCTTTCAGACACAATGCCTGGAAGTGACGCTTTTCGCGCCTTCAAGTGGCTTTCCCGGAGCACGGGGGGTCTGCTCTCGGGTGCAGAGGCAACCACGGTACGGCCGTTCTTTTTCTGATCCCATTGTTGCTACTGCAAGGCGAAATGCTGACCATTCATGGCTCTGGATTAGCAACGATGCCTGGCAAAGCCTTTGGCCCGGTCGATGGCCACCGAGGCCCAGTCTCCCGTTGACAACCTGACGAGGGAGGTCCCCAAGCCCGTGTGGAATCCGGAACCCGTCAGAGCGACAGCCTACTCATTCCCATCAATGGAGCCCCTACGTTTCGTCGAATACCCTCGCAACCACCTCCTCATGCCGCTTCGCAAAGACATTCTACACCGCGCCGTCGTGTACGAGGGTGACATGACCCGACAAGGTACCGCAAGCACCAAATGGAGAGACGATGTGCATGGAAGTGGCAGGAAGTTGTATGCGCAGAAGGGTACCGGTCGCGCCCGTGCTGGTGACAAGAAGTCCCCGGTCCGGAGAGGTGGAGGTGTTGCCTTTGGTCCTCATCCCCGTGACTTTTCCACGGAGCTCCCTCAGAAGATCTACGACCAGGCCTGGCGGATAGCCCTTAGTTACCGCTTCAAGCGCGGTCAGTTGATTATTGTCGACAACGAAATTGCCCTTCCGGAAGACGCCACTCCCCATCTCGTTTCAGAGATCTTCAAGGTCAACGGCTGGGGTCGGCCATTCGGACGGTCGACGTTGATCACAGACCAGCCGAACGAGAGCCTGTTCAACACGGTGCGTCAGGTGGGCGAACACGCGAAGATTCTGGACCGCCGTGATGTGGATGTCAAGGACCTGCTGGAAACCGGCCGCCTGATTATTGAGAAGCAGGCGCTGGACCGGATTTTTTCTCGGCATTCGAGGGATCTGAAGAACAAGCCGGCCAAGGCTTTGTATTGAATTCCTTTTACGTGGCGATAGGGTCTTTTACTGGTTAGCTTCGTTTTTGAGTGTTTTATTTTGTACAAATAGATTCGAAACATGTATGATGGCATTGAATTTCCGGACTATGAAGTGCATGGTAAGGGCTCGGTAACTCGTAGAACCTTGTATGTCGTCGAGCACATGCCGGAGCGAGGTTGCCGAACGGCGATCCTCCATTGAATAGTCCCAGCAAGGATCCCCTGCTATTTTCTCATATTGAAAAAACCGTAGCAATCAGAAAGATTGAATTAATTGCAACAAGATTCATAATTAGCATCCAGCTTGACGCGTGGTGGCAGACATCCGCAGCAGCTCGGCTGGTCCTCATCGGCCGGCGAGGAAAATCGTTCCGCGAAAAACTCCGAGGTCAAAGCAAGCGGAGAACCGACAAGCTGCTCATCCTCATACTTAATCCCCTCACCCCCCATTCTTTTACCCCGTCTCCCTCCTCCACAGGCTGTGGTCTGCCTGATGTTACTCCGACGCAGTTTTTGCCGGTTTCCAACACCGTCGAGCTGGATCTCGCGGGTTTCGCCAGCTACCATGCCTCTCCGCGCCAAAGTGATAAACCCGTCCTTTAGGACAACTGCTAGCGTACGCCTCCCCTTGATTACTTTGGCTTACTCCTTGGCTGACAATTGCAGATGTCTTCTGTTGCAGAGATACCGAAAGAGCTCCCCGGCGACGACCCCGATGATGTCCTGTTCCACTCTCACTACGGCGTGCGGTTGATTGAACTCAACCGCCCCAAGAAGCTCAATTCCCTGAACGGTTCGATGGTTCGGAAGATTGTGCCCCGATTGCAGGTCAGCTACTGGTTCCGCCCTCGATGATATACTAGTGGATTGTATGTTGCTAAGCGCCTGGGATTTTTAGGAGTGGGAAAAGTCCGACCTGGCCAATGTGATCATGCTCTCCGGCACCGGCTCGAAGGCTTTGTGCGCTGGAGGAGATGTGGCCGCCCTGGCTTTGCAGAACGAAAAGGGTATCGAGGGTCAGCAGGCATCGACCAACTTCTTCGCCGAGGAATACCGCCTTGACCATCTCATCGCTACCTACCAAAAGCCTTTCATCTCCGTGATGGACGGCATCACCATGGGTGGCGGTGTCGGTCTCAGTGTCCACGCCCCCTTCCGGATCGCCACTGAACGAACCGTATTCGCCATGCCCGAGACCACCATTGGATTCTTCCCGGATGTTGGTGCCTCCTTCTTCCTGCCCCGCCTTGATGGAGAAGTTGGAACATACCTAGCCCTCACGTCGGAGCGACTCAGCGGAGTTCAGGCACTGTATGCCGGAGTTGCCACACACTACTTGCATTCTAGCGCGCTACAGAACCTGACGGCTCGTCTGTCAGAACTGGTCTTCCGTGACGACGCCAAGCCCGAGGAACGCATGATCCTTGTCAACAAGACTATGGCTGAATTCTCGACGGGTGTTCCATCGCTGCGCGAGGAGCCTATGTGGCTATCTGGCCAGGTCCGCAGCGCCATTGACCGCTGCTTCCAGTACAACTCCGTGGAGGAAATCATCCAGGCCCTGGAGCAGGAGACTGAGATGACCAAGTGGGCCCAGAGGACCCTGGAGACCCTCTCGGTGCGGTCGCCTACCTCGCTCAAGGTTGCCCTACGCCAGATGCGCGTAGGCAAGCAATGGAACATCGCAGAGACCTTCCACCGCGAGCACATGCTAGCCTCTAAATTCATGAGACACCCCGACTTCGTAGAGGGCGTGAAAGCGCGTCTCATGTCGAAGCCGCCCCGCCAGGCAACCTGGCAGCCTGCCACCCTGCAGGAAGTCACGAACGAGGCTGTGGATGACTTCTTCACGATTCCCGACAACGAGTCCCGGATTGCGCTCTACCATAACGACGAGCAAAGAAACTATACTGAAAGCCCCTACCACTTTGGCCTGCCCACCGAAGAAGATATCGAGCAGATCGTGCGTAGGCACGCGAGCACCGAGGAGCTGAAGCTCAATGACATTGTCGCAAGATATCAAGGCAAAGAAGGTGTGAAGGAGAAGGTCGCTGACATCCTGGCCAGACGGACTGTCCGGACCGCGAAGGGTTTGCGCTGGGAGTGATTTGATTGTTGAAGGAGAACACTTACCGTTGTGTTAGTTGGGTCTCTGTATATTGGGTTAATATCATTAACATGTATTTCATATCAATTTAGACGCGCATGCGATGGTTGTTTTAATCGTTTCAGCCTGATTCCTACATGGTGGAGAGAACTACTAGTAGACTCAATAAGAATCTGGGGGTTCGACCCTCTGCCCACTCGGCTCCGCTCCAGCCCGACATCCGTTCATTCATCTATTCCTTCAATCCCGTCGTCTTTCAGATTACAGCTGAGAGAGTCCATCATGACGACACCTCCATTAATCCAGACTCACCCAGAGTCCCGACCATCGGGCGATTCTGATGACCCGACCGAGCCATTTCTGCCCCGACCGTCGTCATCCGGATCCTCAGCTCAGCGGAATCCAACTCCGGTCCTGATCCGGCTGTATATCTCCCATTTCCTGTCAACATGGAACTCGCGCATGTTTGAGTTCGGAGCCGTCTTGTTCCTGGCCACCATCTTTCCCGGAACCCTGTTGTATGCCTCGGTTTATGCCCTGGTTCGGTCCCTATCGGCCGTCGTCCTGTCATCCTGGCTCGGATCGGTGGTGGACCGATCGAACCGGTTGCGTGTAATTCGGCATTCGATTAGTACGTTGCAATGCTGGACTGGAAAGATGGAAATGAACTGACATCGTCCAGTCTGGCAACGACTCCCTGTGGCAGCCTCCTGCGCATGTTTTGTGGCTCTACTTATGCCGTCTACGTCCACGGGTGCTTCCCTCATTTTTGTAGCCGCGGTTCTGCTCGCTTGTGTAGAGAAGCTGGCCGCTACGGCAAACACGGTGGCTGTTGAGAGAGACTGGGTAAGCTGAATGTTCTGCTGCTACTGGGGTATGCTAATTCGATAGGCCATTGTTGTTTCGGATGCTTTGGACATTCCTCGACAAGGTACGTTGTCAGATGCGAGTGATGCGCAATACTAACTAAACAGACCTCAATGCGTCTATGAGAAGGATTGATCTTTGTTGCAAACTATTAGCCCCAGTTGTCATCTCTGTGATTGACGGGTTCTCAACCAGGATTGCCATATGGACGGTCTTGGGGGTGAATGTCTCCTGTGTTGTGGTTGAGTATATTGCAATTGCTCAGGTATGTGCCGCTTGAACTGGATGCATCCTATTACTCACTAGGTCTAGGTGTATGCCTCCATCCCTCAACTGGAGCGTTGCCATGATCGGAGCCCTGGAATCCGAAATGAATCCGAGTCTGGTCAGCAGAACAGTGACGCGATTCAGACTGCAACCTGTCGCATATCACTGTATATCGCCAAGGTTGCAGTCCCAGGGCAAGAGTACGTGGCCAGCTCCGTATTTCTGGCCTCTCTTGCCTTGAGCTTGCTTTACCTTACGGTGCTCTCGTTCGGCACTACTATGGTTACGTATTTGCTGCACACCGGATTCACCCCGCTGCAGGTCAGCGGCATGAGGATCGGCGCTGTCATTGCAGAGCTGTCTGGGACATGGGCAGCCCCCTTCATCATGGGAAAAATTGGACCTATCCGGTCAGGCCTGTGGTTTCTCAACTGGCAGTTTGGCTGCCTGGCCGCTGCAGTCGCAGCATTTGCTTTCCTCGACAACCAGTCTCAGGTGGTCGCCGCAAGCCTTATAGTTGGCGTGGCCCTCAGCCGAATTGGACTATGGGGATTCGATCTGTCGGTACAGTTTCTGGTTCAAGAGGTAGGGTTCCAGGCGATTCCACTGGTCAAGCTTAACTGACCGTGACAGGGTGTTGACGAACATGCGCGTGCGCGGTTCTCATCCACGGAAATGGCTCTCCAAAACATCTTCGAGCTTCTCTCCTTTGCGACGACCATCGCCTTTCCCCTCCCGGAGCAATTCAAATACCCAGTATATATCAGTTACGGGGGAATCGCAATGGCCGCCATCTGCTTTGCGACGTACGTCCGCAAGGAACGGGGGCACCTGCTGCATACATCCAAATGCTTTGGGGGAGACAAGAAGAAGATGGCCCTTGACCCTCGGGATGTCATCATACATAGCGCATGATGAGATATAGTATGTAGTGCAATGTGACGTGAGCTATACATCGTTCCTGACGTAGTTGTGCCTGGGAGAGTTTCGCCCATAGTATAAGACGAGGCGGACCGCTGCGGGGAGCCGAGCACGAGAGCGTCCCTGATTGATCCTCCCCATCGATAATCACACCATCCAAGCTTCTCCTTCCCAGGTCTTCCCTCAACCATGCCTACTCCACACTCATCATGGAGGTGCCTTGCATCCCTAGCTCCCTCGTCTGCAACCCTCCAATGATTTGCTAACCCATCAAAGGCTCCTAGAGCTCGCGGAATGGGCCGATCGGGTCCCCGGCGTCGAACCGGCTGTCTGACCTGCCGGGCACGCAAGGTCCGCTGCGACGAGACCAAACCCACCTGTGCCAATTGCACTCGCCTACGTCTACAATGCGCCTACAAACCCACCAGCCCGGGGGTCGTATCGCGACACACAAGCCACAACGTGAGCACGACCACAGCGCCTGGCCATACCACCATAGCCGCTCGTCCAGACGTGAACTTCTTCCACACTGTCCTCTGCAATGACCGGATTTCAGCATCGGCTTCAGGTTCGCCGCAGCAAGCGGGACCCGGCCGTCCTCTACACTCCCTGAGCACGGACATCCCCTCGTTCGATATCCTCAGTTTCATCGGCGAAATCACGTCCGATTTCCAGCAGAAACACCTCGATCTGACGACGAATGGACTGGCGGGGTTTCCGGCGGGCTCGGTGCCGGCGGCTATCGCGAATGAGGAACTCGACCAGAATGAACGCCCGATAGGCTGGGGCTCGGCCTCAGCTCAGGTCATCCAGGCCGACACTTCCGATCAGGGCTCTTCTGATACTAGTGGTAGCCGGGTGACGTACGAGGATCAGTTGTTCGCACATTTCGTGGAGAGTGATCCGCCGCCTACGGTCTTTGGACCGGTGACTCTGGAATGGGAGTACGTGCGGGCAAATATTGTTGGACAGTCCCGCGAGAGTCGGGAGGTCTTGCATGGGGTATACTGCTACGCGGAGATACATGAGGCGTCGATACAAGGAAAGGCGTGGAAACTGGCCTCGAAGTATCACCAGCTGGCATGCTCGGAGGTTCAGTCGTGCTTGCTCGGCGAGGTAGGGGAGGCGATGCTCAAGAGAGTGTTTACTACGGTGCTGTTGTTGATGCTGTCTGAGGTAGGTTTTAGTTTGAAGTGCTTTGGCTACAGAAGCTGACGAGACAGCTCCTGTCGACTCCTGACTTATGGGGCTCAGGTACGTCCTTCCTTCACTCCGCGTATCTCCTATTGCAGCGATTTCAACACCGGACCAAGTTGTGGACTGGAGTGAACCAGGTGATAGTGTCGTGGGTGTCACTGCTGGACGTCAAAGCATTGATAGCTGGCCGCGACGGCGATCCGCTCATTGAGATGGGCTGCCTTTCGAAACCCAACATTACTGAAATGTCCACCGAAGACCGACCAGCGGACCACAGCAGCGACGACGAGCCACCGAGACCCGCATACCTCATCCGTGAAGCCATCACCGGCCCGGCCTTCCGCTTCTTCCTGCAAACACAACAGGTCATCCGACGGATCGTCTGTATCGACCTGCATCACCGCAGTCGCGGCACGGTCAGCGACGAATTCGAGGTCCTCCAGATCGCGCACCAGGTCGGTGCTGACCTCGAGACGCTCTGGAACTGGCGTCCGCGAGTGCTAGACGTCTACAGCACGCCTGAGGACCTTTTTGATACTCTACAGCCTGCCATCGCGTTTGAAGTCTGCCGAACATTCCGACAGTACATTGCCAACTTCCTGGCGATTTTCATATACTTGCACCGAGTTGCGTTTGCCATCTACCCGCGGACAGACCGGGTGCACCGGGCTGTAGATCGGATTATTCAGTTGGCGACGGCGGAGGTGGAGTCTTCCGGGAGCGACCAGCAACATCTGCCCGCCAGCTTTGTATGGCCGTTATTTGTGGCCGGTCTTGAGGGGTCGATACAGCAGCGACGATGGATTGTCAAGGAGATGCAGCGGATCACAGGCACCTTCAGCAGTCGATGTCAGGACCCCGAACGTGTCCCTGGAACCTCCCGGACCGCGCGACATCCGCATGCGGGCAAGGCACTACTCCTGCTGGAGGAGATGACACGACGACAGGATGCGTCCCGGACGTGGGCGGACTCGCGGTGTGTGCGACGGGAGTTGTTTACCGACTTTTTCGTGATGATCTAGACGATTGCTGTAGGAGATACGAGGCGGACATCAACCAACTCGAAACGCGAGCAGATCTCCTGACCACGTAAGCCGTCGTCATCTGACTCGCACGCGGTCTCCATCGGGCAGTATTTACTTTGACCCTTTTTCCACCCCTCCCTTTCTTCGGCATACCTGCATCCTCCCTTCGGCCATCCCTTCTTCCCCCATTGTGGCTGTCGCATTCCGTTTCTCGCGACATGGCCCACAATGAGGTCCTACAGCGAACTACCCCAGGATCCTGAGCTTCGGGATTCCTCTCCCCACAATCCTCCGCCACCCGCCCGCCATGCCGTCTTCCGCCTCTACTGGCTCACGGCTATCGTCTGCTGCGGCGGCCTTCTTTTCGGCTATGACTCGGGAGTGATCGGTATGTGGACTCCTGAAGCGTTACTCAACACCATATTCATCAATTGAACACAGGCGGAGTCCTCACCTTCGACTCCTTCCACCGTTCCTTCCAGTATACCACCGCCGATGAGACCCGAGTTAGCTCCATCGCAGTGGGTATCCAGCAAGCCTCTGCGCTGCTGGGCAGCCTGCTCATCTGGCCTCTGACAAACCGCCATGGCCGCCGCCCAGCTATGGCCCTCTGCTCCCTCATCTTCTGCACCGGGGTGCTCTTCGAAGTGCTGGACACTCACTCTTTAACCGTCTTCTACGTAGGCCGCGTCATCTGCGGCCTGGGGATCGGCGGCTCCGCAACCGTCATCCCCATCTATCTCTCGGAAATGAGTCCCACAGACCAGCGCGCCCGCCTAGGGAGCTGCTACCAGTTCACCTTCACGATCGGTATCTTCGTCTCCTACTGGATCGACTACGGCATGCAATTTGCTCCTGCCAATGCCCTGCAATGGCAGATCCCGCTTGCCATACAGCTCATTCCAGGTGCGCTCATGGGCTTGGGGATGCTCACTCTCCGCGAAAGCGTTCGCTGGCTCCTCTCGCACGACCATGACCAGAACGAGTCCAGAGCCTGGGACAGCCTGACCTGGATCCGCTCATCGAGCGGACCGGAGGTGCGCTCCGAATTCCAGAAAATGAAATCCAGCATCGAAAGCGACGCGCACGCAACCGCCGACTTCTCCCCGAAGGAACTCCTCACCCGGTCCAACAGCCACCGACTCGCTCTCGGCATCTCCCTCTTCATCTGCCAGCAATCCACCGGGGCCACCGCAATGGCCTACTTCGGCCCACAGTTCTTCTCCCTTCTGGTCGGCAACGACGCCCAACTCACCCTCCTCCTAACAGGCATTTTCGGCGCACTGAAAGTAATCAGCTGCCTAACCTTCATTATTTGGGTCGCGGACCGATTCGGCCGACGCCCGCTGCTCATCCTCGGAGCCCTCGCCATGTCCATCTGCATGATCACCACCTCCGCGGTCGTGAAATCCACCCAAGTCCCCACGCCCCACCCATCCACCTCCACCTCCTCCACCCCCATCTCCCACAGCGGCATCACCACCGTCTCCCTCATCTACCTCGCCATAATCTGCTACAACCTCTCCTGGGGCCCCCTCCCCTGGCCTTGCACCGCCGAACTCTTCAACGCCCGAATCCGCGAACCCGGCGTCGCCATCGGCGTCTCCGCCCAATGGCTCTCCAACTTCATCTGGTCCTTCTCGACCCCATACGTCCTCGCCGGCGCAGGCTGGGCCACCTTCTTAATCTTCGGCATCCTTGACGCCACCTTCGCCATCTTCGTCTGGCTATTCCTCCCAGAGACACGAGGCCGATCCCTCGAAGAAATCGACGCCTTATTCGGTGACGACAACGATAAATCCCATCCTACCTCAACCAACTACTACCATGATGACACGCTCTCTTCTTCCCCGCTGGTCGGCGAACAGGAACAAGAACAGGAACAGAATGAAGAGGATCCATATCAGGGTAAACCGACCGAGGAGCGAGAGGACGTTTAGTTATATAAACTCCGAGACTCACTCTCTATCTGGGTCATTTCTTGTTCCTTCCTCCCTTCCTTCTGTTCTCCGCCTTCTTTTACTCTGGGCTATACATGCAAGAGGATATATATAGAGGCAACCTATTGGATAGAAGCGAATCTGGGAACAAATTATATTAATCTACTTATCATGTAAATGGGTGCTTTATAGACTAGACCAGTTGGTTGGGCAGGCTGGACGGGAATGATAGCTGCAGCTAAGTTCCTAGACTAGACTAGCTCCAATATAAGTAGCAGTATTAGATCGAAAGAACTACTACGCATACCTTTACCATGGAAACGAGGTGTAAAGCGGAGACTAGAGCGATCGATCTGCAGGACAGCTGGATCTGTTCCTGTAAACGGACCATTGCCCCTACGGCCAGTTATGTGCGAGAACTATCCCAAGCAAAGCAAAGAGTTCCGATTTCAAGCTAATGTCCTAATACTAAGCTAGGTACCATTATTATTAGCCACCGGAACCCAATAAAGCAACTAGCGTACAGTCGTATCATCATAGCAAATCGTGTTTCTTGCCCAAAGCCCAAATTACACACACGCCAGCCGCCGGAATATGTTATGTTGGTTTCGAAACCATCCTCCCCTACGTACGTGAAAGGAAATAAGAACGCTGTCACGAAAAGCAGAATCGTACCTCATTGAGCATCCGCCCGATCGCTTTTGTGCAGGAAAAAGAAATGATCACATCAGACGCCACCATGCAAAGTGGACGCCCGCCACCAAGGGCGGACGGTGAAAAGCGCAGCACAGACACCCGCCGCCATCGAGTCAAGGACGCCTGAAAGTTATATAAGAAAGAGAAGTAGACGGATAATCTAGGCGTCAATTAATTCCTCAAAGGCATCGTCGGTGAACGAATAAGACCCATCGGTCAACAGGGAATGCTCCGAGTCCCGGCGGGGAGTGACTGCCAGCGAGTCCGTCCTCGATTGCACTTGGAGGGGGGTATCGAAGCCAAAGGATTGAGTCTGTGACCGGGGGGCCATATTCGCGCTTCCCATTGTCAAAGCCTCCAGCTGATCCGGTCTCATTTCGGCCGCCGCCGTGTCCCGGGAGGTGATGTTCTTCACCATGTGGGAAAGGTGCACCGATATCGCCTCGTCGGCACACCCGGCGTGCGTCAGCAACTCATTCTTGAGGTTGAGGAGCTCAGTGCGGAGCTTTTCAACCAGGATATCGAGCTCGTCCCTCTTCGAAGCGAGCTCGTCATGACGGGCCTGGAGCCTCTCGGTATGTAGCTTCTTCTTTTGCCGACACTTGCTCGCCGCCACGCGGTTTCGCTCCAGGAATTTCTGCCGCTTCATTCGATCGAGATCGAGATTGAGATCGAGATCGTCTGTCTCGGGCGAGGCCGATTTCATTGTGTTGGTTCTGCGACGCTTGGGCGCCGGTCCCTCCCCGCCAGGCCGGGCCTGCTGGCTGAAGCTTCCGCGGGGGGTCGGGTTGGCATAGGTGGAGTCGTTGTATTGATCGTACTGAGAAATTTGGTACATGCCATCGACCGGAGGGGGCGTGGGCTGGCCGTTGCGAACATGGGAGTTCTTCAGGCTCTGCTCTAGGGCTGAGTTGGGGAATGCTTGAGATTCATTCTTCCCGGGCCAACTCGGCATCGACTGAGGCATGGCACTGTACGTCCAAAGGTTGTTCTCTTCAGCGAGAGGCATGGTCAGGTAATCGGCCGCAACGAAGGAGTTCGTAGCGGTGAATTGAGAGGCGGTTGCGCTGATGCCACCGGAAACACCAGGCTGGCCGAAGGAGGCCTGCTCGGCCATGTCGAGAGTGGAAATGAACTGATCTGGTCTGATCCGAAAAGAGACAAGAGTAGAGCCGTAGGAGCAGGTGGTAGTGTGGGAGAGGGTGGTGGAGGGGTCTGAAGTGGTAGAGAAAGAGAGAAAGAGAGAAAGAGAGAGAGAAAGAGAGAGAGAAATAGAGAGAGAGATAGAGGGTGGGGAGCTGTTGTGGGGTAGGAGAGTAGGGTTGTGGCGAGCGAACAGCCGGAGGATGGGGTCTTATAAGTATCCGGCCGAAGTGCAACCCCAGGAGCAACGACTAATCGACCAAAAGACACTCTGGCTCCTGGAACAGGTGTCTTGGGATCCTGTCAAGCCAGGCGCAGACAAGCGTGCAGAGCGTTGGGAGACCACGGCAGGTACGAGTGTTGGTGCCAGCTACCACGGTTGAGGGGCGGGAGAAAGAGCAACAAAGGGAGGGCAGACAATGTAGGAACTGACAAAATGACGACGGGAAGGTAAAGACGGGAAGACCCAACAGGCAAGACTGGTCCGGAGAGGTTGGTCAGGAAAATATATCCTGAGAGTAGAGTATAGAAGTGGGTACGGCGAGGGTGTCCAGAACCGCACCGGCGAAAGGGTCCTCTGGCGCTAGCAGTGGGCTGGACCAGGAAAGCAGGGAGAATGATTGAAGTGGAGGTCTTGTCAGGCAATCTGCAAGAGGCAGGCGAGATGGTCCAGAACCAGAGTTTGGCCGTGGAGGGAGGGAGGGAGGGAGGAGGAGGCAGAGGGTGGAAATGCAACCGTAGGTCCACGGAACGGATAAGTCGGCAGACCAAAGTTACCAGCGATGGATGGATGGATGGATGGATTGATGGAAAGAAAAGGGAAAGGCAGGAGGAGAGGAGTGAGTGAGTGAGTGAGTGAGATAGATAGATAGATAGTAGTAGTCAGTGGTAGTCAGGAGATTGGGGGGTACCAAGGAAATAAGAGAGGGAGGGGAATCCGGATTAAAGTCAATATGGGAAGTGATACGAGGGGAGGACAGACAGGCAGGATGAAACGAGTTGAGAAGAATAATAGTAATGGCAGTAGATAGCAGATGAAAAGGGCATGAACGAACCGGGGGGAGTCCCCGGGAACTATGATCACGTCCAACCCCCGGAAAGTGGTTGCGCAACTGACAGGGAACCTTCAAGTCCACGCAACACTGCGCCTGATTGGTCGGGGGGTGCGCAATGAGAGATGAGCAGTTTATAACAGTAGTATATACTAACCATCACTCAAGTATAAATCAAGGGTGGGAAAACTGCACTGCAAAGCTTCAACCTCCCCGGGCTGAAAGGTTCCCTGACTGTAGCAGATTGATTGGATAGGCTGACTTCCGTCGACGAGCCAAGAAAGGGACCCCAGAGGATGGCCATGGATGGGTCCAGAATCAGCCGGGTTGACATCATGAGAAGGATACTAGATACTGTGTAGTAATAGTAGTAGTAGTAGTAGTAGTATGGAGTAGTAGTATCTAGAATTCTAGTTAGATCGAACAAAGTGGACCGAGAGAGCAAGACGGAAGGCCGGAAGTCGGAACAACAAATCGAGACTCGTCCAGGCAGGCCTGAGGCAGGAGGGCAGGCCGATCAGGGGCAAACCAGAAGCACCTCCGAGCAGGTACCTTGCAAGTCTCCCCCAGCTGCACGATTACGCCAGTCCGTCCCGACCAACAACCAGCCTGACAGCTCTCACCAAGTCAAGATACATAGTACTAGTCAATAGTCCCCGATCTGCAAGCAGGACATAAGAGATGCACTTCCAGATGCACCCAGAATGCTCCCGGCCCTCAACCTAGGTTCTTGTACCTCAGGTACCTTAGACAGTGGCCAGGCTCGTTATCTAGTACAGAGCTACCTCCTCGGTACATACTTCCTAGGTAGCAACCTTTTCCACGCCCTCTTTCCCCGAGATACTCGATCTGGATAGCTAGCTACCCCAGCAATATCTGTACCACCCCCCCCCATCACTCCAAGAAAGGCAAAACATAAAAAAAATAAAAAATAAAAATAATCAAAAACCTCAACCCGATCAGCCCACTCCGTACCACCTAATCTTCCCACGAGAAATAAGAGCTTCCCGATTCTTCTCCGAGTCCGAAGAAAAGCCCAACCGTGATATCATCATCAACGTCATCCATCTCATGCCCAGCCCAGCCCAGCCTAGTCAGTCCTCACTTGCTGCCCCGTCCGGTTCCACTTCCACCACTGCCATCCACCCACTGGATCAGGGTCATGTTTGCTTGGCTATGCTACGAGTCCAGGCACTATCTTATACCTGTAAGGTGGTAACGGGGCTTTTCTCTCCCGCTGGTAACTTTGCCCGTTTACCGTGGCCATACGGCGTACAGCCACCCCCTCCATCCTTAACCTATCTACCATTGTTACCGGCCGGCCGATGCTGTCAAGTCAGGTAATAATCAAGGGAAGTACTACTTAGGTTAAGTTAACCCTCCGGTTCCAAGGAAAGCCAAAAGACGCAGGGCGCGGCTTCTGATTCGCGGTTTGAAGTTCCCGACGAGCGACTGGGAAATCCCAAAGGAGTAAGAAACCCAGGTGGAACTGAACCCGCCCAGCCAGTGAGAGGATTTCCCTGCTTGATGGGGACGATGGATGGGGGAGAAGGAGGGGGAAAAGAGATCGGACGGATGCAGTCGCTAGTGGAAAGGGGTGGGGGAGATCCACTTGGTTGCTGCTGTTGCTGCTGCTGCTGTTGCACCTTCACTGGGATTGAATTTTCCGGATGGTGAGGAAATGATTATAGATAGATAGTAGTACTCCATACGGAATAGTACTCATCGCGTTGTTTATTTGTTTGCCCTCTTGCTGGACAAAAGGAGCTGGCATATATCCCCGTCGTTAATCCCCCTAATTAACTTCCCCTCCTCCTCCCCCCCCAACCCAATCCGGACCGGAACTGGTTTTTCTTGACTGTGCCAAGGCAACTTCACCACCACTCATCTCCATCCCTCACGAGGGACAAAGAACTTTGATGACTGACTTGAGGCCCTTCGGATACCAATCGTATCTCTCCTCCCCCCCCATCAGCCGATCGTGCATCAAATTCAAAATGTTGCAACTTGTCGGAGGTGTCAAAAGTCGTACGTAACGGCGGTGCACGGCCAATCTGATAGTAACAAGGAACCCGCCAAAGCTTCTCCCCGAATTGAACCCACCCTGACGTAGGGGAAGGCTGGGAAGTATCTAAGTGTCGACTGAAAATTGATGCAGACTTTGCAGAGGCCGATGACAGATAACCACCAGTCCCTCAAGGGCCGGCTTTTTCATCCAACGAGTCATCGTGACCCGATCGACCGAGCTTAAGTGTCTTTAGTGACTGGGCCGGCAGCCTGTCAGGGCGGTGCTGGCCGGGCCTTGGGGCTCCACCGACCGAGTCCTGACTGTAAGAATTCAGTACTTCTCTCCGGAAACCATCTCACGTCCCCTAGCGATCCTTCTGCCATGCTTTCCAACTCCCTTCCCCCCCCTCCTCCCCAACCAACTTACTAACTGCCTTCCATGCTGACTTCCCGCCCGGACTGGACCACCGATCCTCCCCCCCCCTCTTCCCTTCCATGGGCCAGTCGCAAGCCTTTGGGCCCATGCCCTTTCCAAGGCAGCTCCTCCCGTCCTGCTGCGTGTCCCGTTTCAGATCCTGGTCCGGAATCCTGATGCCCTTCCCCACTTCCCTCTTCGAAGGTCTCCAGTCGATGCAAGTATACCGAGTAGGAGTAGATAACAGTATCTACTGGAAGTCTGGAAGTGCTGAGTGCTGGAACTGGTAAAAGGTCCTGCTGGTCCGGCCCCGCCAATAACCGCCCCGTTCGGGGCTTATGCACCGGGCCTACGACTAGTCTGTAGTCTGCCCACCGACATGGATCCTTTCAGGTTCCGGCTGCCTCGTCAAACGGCGTCGTTGCTGCTTAGATACTCGACACCCCCACCCCCTGGGACTCGTAACAATGGGTACTTGCTAGCTACATGGCCTGGAATTCTGCATGCCGTATCCGTAACCGGACTTCCTCAGGGTCCGTGCCTGCCCCCCATCGTACTTCCTGCTTTCTGCTTCCACCTGCCCTCTGCCAACTTACAAGGCTTCACTATCCCCGTCGACGTGTCACTCCTCCGCCGACGACCGTCCCCCGCTGAAAGCTCGCGAACATGCACGGTGGTGCGCAATAGCTCCCCGATGCTCCCAGATCCGCAGCTGTCGACTAACCCCCCGCCAGCTCCCAATGAGCATCGCGGCCACCCGCTGGCTTTCGATCTCGCGTTCAATGGTCCGGAACGTATCGTCATGCTCCCCCCCTTCGCACTCCATCAGAAATGGCGCCAGCACTCCACTGAGCCGGTCCAAGTTCAGCAGCCCCGACCCGACACTCGCCCGACACACGCTGCCTCGGAACCCCTGGCGTTCCACCTCGATTAGGCGCTGCGTCTCATGCAGCAAAAGCGCGCAGAGCCCGAACACTCCACAGATAAGGTTCAGCTGCATCGAGTCGCTGAGGGCTAGAATTGCCAGGCTGATGGCCTTGGCCTTGACGTAGCCCCTGGGCGAAAGCCCTCCAAGACAGCTTCTCCGCCGCTCGATTGGTTCGTCTACGATGTGGCCGTGGCAGATCTGGACCAGCACACGATAGAGCCGGGCCGACCCTAGGATGCCGCCAGGGAGCCCGGCAAGCAGAGACTTGAACGTCCACGCGACGCTCAACACTTGGACTGTGTCGCCGCTATCACCATCGCCGTGCAGCGGGTTTACCACATCCAGCGGCATCGCACTACTGCCAATCGTCATCTGGATCTTATCTTGCTGCTTTTCCACCGACAGCACCTGATTGGCAAAGTAGTCATACGTCCGCGTCGCTATCTTCGGATTTCCGGGATCAATGAAGACATTTCGTACGGTGGGAGCTGTAAAATGACGTCAATGAGCAAGTAGTTCGAGCCGGAAAGAGTATCCCTGGTGGAGCATGGTGGGTTCCTACCAAAGCATCCCAGATAGGTGATAATCGCCACAAAGCAAACAGGGAGCCTCAGCTTCGTAGGCGCAAAGTCGGCCGGGAGCGCGAGCAGATTGTACCCTCCTAGGCGGGCTAGATGATCCAAGGGCTTGCCTTTCAATGAGGTCATCTCGTAGGATCGGCGCGAAACGCTGGCAAACGTCCTCATCCGACGCAAGGTTCGTTTGCGGGGTGCATCTGACGACCCCAGTTGAAGTGACGACCGCATGGTTCGTATGCGTCCGTAGAACCTACCCCAGCGCCTTGGATGATCATCTGAGGTGGCTGGGTGAGATTGACGGCTATCAGGGGATCTCCCAGCGCCTATTTCGTCAGAGTCAGGGATACCTGCCGATCTTGTCCTCTAGAGCACTAACCTGACAAAGGACTCCATTCACCCTCATGACCGCCATCAGCCTCGTCTAACCCCAGCAGTTCGAGATGCAACCTGCCGGCCAACTCATTGAACGCTATAACAGCCGCGCGGCGATCACCTTGGGCCAGAGAGTAACTAGTATCATCATATGTGGTAGACAAATCCGAGCTTTGCCTTGATGACGAACCCCGCGATCTACTGGAGCGGGCCCGTGCAAAGGGATTCTCCGGCTTCTCTTGAGTCCGAATGGGGCAGTTGGATAGGATACTCGCACCACTGCACTCGGAACTGTGCTGTCGGGGTCGGGCAGAGCGTATCGTACTCCTTGTATTATCCCCGACATTGGCGTTGGAGTGCGGAGTAGTATGGGATGCCTCCTGAATATCACTGTAAGGATCATGGTAGAGGCACTCTTGGTCCACCAGAGCAATGGGCATTGACTTCCGTTTTGATGGATTATGGCAAACCGTCACGCTGGTGAGGTCCGAATGAAGCGAGTACACGGTCTTATCACTGACCTTTCTAGCGTCGGAATCCTCGTTCAGGAAGCTGTTGCATTGACCGGCCTGAAGCCCCATGGGCTGGTGCTGATCCTCTTGATGGCTAGTACTCTCTTCAACCACAATAGTAGGATTGTCAGACTGAACAGAGGACTCTGACATGAGCCGAAGATGCGACTTGCGGGAGCGAAAAAGCGTTCTGAAGCCAGCGAGTCGTCTAGAGCCTTTCCCCAAGGACTTCGAATCCAATGACGGACTCTTGGCAAGTGATCCTTCATGATCTAGAGCCGTCACTTCCTTTTGTGCAGAGCATGTGGTCCTCACACTGGCACGATTGGCCTTTGAGCCTCTCGTCCTGAGTGAAGCATACATCTCAGTGCTCACCGTTGACACAGGTGCGAAGTCCGAGACTCCTCTGTCTGCAAATCGCGACAATCTCTTACTGACAGAGGTCTCCATGACGACAACAGAGAGCGAGTACAACTCCGGGTAAGAAACGAAGCAGAGTAGACCATGAGGATATGGTGATTGTCCCAAGTTCAGCTCAAGGTGGGTGTGGTGTGGTGTGCTGTGGTTTCTCTTTCTCTTTCACTGAGGATCGCTCCTTCTCTGTTAAACTGATATCACCTAATGAGGAAAGGTTCATTCACCAAAGCAGCGTTAGTTTTATATTACCAAGTAACCGTCGTGAAAGGAACATAATGTCATTAACAGAAAGTCAAACAGTCAAAGATGTCTCTAATCAAAAGACCATATAATGCACCTGGCTTCAAAGTTTGTTAATTCAAATCATCCATCAGCCGCACTGCCCGATCTCTTATATGAAGATTTTTGCATTCCATAGGAATATCCCTACGGAATGCGGTAATCTAGGTTACATTTTGTGCCTTATATTCGGGACTTGGTTGCCTAAATTTCTAGATGAGTCAGATTGTAATCTTAAAGATCCGCTAATGTGCATTCCTGTTCATCGACTTATATCCGCCCCCATGCATCCCTAAGGCCCTGGAGGGACTCTCAATAATGCTACCTCGCGGCGCTATGCCCACGAAGGTCAAGTTAGGGATAAGAAAGGCGACGCGCGATCGTCGGCATAGCCAACCCAAGCATGGAGGCGAGTAATGGGGTAAAACAGGTAGATGAGGTTAGTGGATGCGTGACAAATTTCCTAAAAGGGTAATATCACCAGAATGTAAGCGGTGCGACACGACCAAAAATATATAGTAATATATTATAAAGAACTTAAGAGCAACCACGAAGTCTACATGATTAATGGACTCCACTAACGTGTCTTCCAAGTAGTCGTTTCATCGGGATGCTTTGCAAATGAGAAAATCGGCGTACCAGGAGCGGAAATGGGTTCAAGTAGCCTTTCTGATACCGGGTTTGAAGTAAGGGCCAAGAAACCTTGTGGCCCTACAGCAAAGATTACGGGTGATGGATATATTAATGGCTCTGTCAAGTACTTCTAAAGGGCTTTGCCAAGTATCTAAAAACGTAATACTTGATCCAGACCTACTAGGTTTCAATTTATGTAGAGATCTGATTCAGATCTATGGTCTGAATATATGTTCTGAAGGGTCCTTGCTAATGTTTTTCTAGACACCTCTCTCTTGTCTGATTGAAGCGATGAGTATTGATAATGTAGGCAGCGTATATTTTGAATGATCAAATAAGTTGATAAGAAGGCTGGTTTTGTGACATCTGTGGACTAATAAGAAGTCTTAACCCTTGAGACTTCCTGTAGCAGGACCTAATCTAGAGTTGCTCAGCGTTAGCGCGCTTCGCATACTGAGAGGTGTTGCTAGTGAGGTAAGAGAAATGGTCAAGGTGTGCGACGAGCAGGTGAGGCAGCTGGCAAGACTACATAGCCGGAGAACGAGCTTCTAGTGAAGTTAAAGTAAAAGTCAAGAGCAGACATACTTTTTCTGTCAGCCAGGCCTATGTGTCAGACGTCGCTTCAGCTACCTTTCATTTTACCTGCAGAGGCAGGTGGGTATTAGGGACAGCAGACAGATCATGCTTCTGCGAAAAGAATGTTCCCACTGGCGCTGGAGTCATTACTGCGTCTCGTGTCCTGGACCAGTACTTAAATCAGTGGTAAAGCTGTCAGTGAGGTAAAAGTCGCTACAAAGTTCCTAATGGTATTGGCAAGCACTAGCACTCAGGTACGATTGCTCGACTGACCCTTATATACCTACAAGGTGCACCGCGTATATCTCGTGGTTGTAGTCAGATAGTGTTGTCAAGTCGTAAGCGTAGCGGAGTAAGGGAGCGCATCTTACTATGTCAGGCATGAACCAATCTATCATCGGTGCCTGTTACGCAGCCGTGGAATTGAAGATATCCCTGTTCTAAACCCAAGCTGGCCGGCCATCCTGCCGTGATTGAAACGCCAATGTCTAGATGAAATGTATTGTGTACATAAGTGCCTATGCAACCGGGATGTTGACTCCTATCGCGCCGTAGAATACCGTCTACCTTTGCATTGCAAACCCAAGTTCAAATAACCAAAAGGGAATTCGATGAAAGACGATAACACACAAGAACGCCATCCTATGCAAGTTGTGAGTATGCGCCACAAGCACAGAGTTGAGATAGACACTCGAACGGAGTGATGACATCCCGTTCAGGATACCACTAAGCACCACACGTAGCCGGTCCATTCTCTATACTAGTCACCGAGACTTTCTCATATTGCCAGAACGTCGAGTCATGAGAACTCGTCAGTTTCGCCCTCTAGGAGGATGTATTGCAGGATATCGCTCAACGTTAGGACACCCTTTAGCCGGAAGTTGTCATCTACGACAACCAGGCGGTGCACGCGAGACTTGCGAATTGTGTCGAAGATGGTATCTAGACCATCGTTCAAGGAGCATGTATAGATGCCGGGGAAATCCTGGAAGAATCAGCAAAAAATAGTGGGAGGCATGAATTAAAGTAGCATACCGGGGATCGTTTCTTCAATGCCTCACCAACCGTCAGACTCAAGTCATCATATACCCCTCCCTTGATCAAAGTTATCACATCAACAGCCTCGAAGACGTTGTAAACAACACCTGCGACAGACCAAATATGTTAGTACACGGATATGCGCATCCCAATGCCAACAAAACCTACCTTCAGAGTTTAGAATTGGGACACTTGATATGCTCCGCTCCACAAGGATGTGGATGACATCAATGACAGGTGTATCCATCGATGCGGTTGCCAAATTGTGATATGAGCCCAACAGAAGCTCACCCAAGGGTTTCCGTAGCTTCTGCGTGTCGCTGACGTTGACGGCAACGAACTTCAAAATGCGGTACTGTGTGACTACACTCAGGACGAGGGCTCGATCTGTTTGGCTGTCATGGGTGACCAAAGGAATCCTCCTAGCTCGAGACTCGAGCATGCGCCGACAGGCCTCGTAAAGTGGCCGCTCCGGATCAATGGATATCGTTTCGGGCGGTGCGACGCCCAGTGCCTTTTCAACCTCTTGAGCCCCATATCAGCTTTTATACGCGACCGCTCGAGACTGAAGCTTAAGACGCACCTCGGAGACTATCCAACCGGAATTGATCGATTTGGTTCAAAGCCGCGGGGTTTTGGAAGTAGTACTGTATCACGTTGATATAATCGGATGTCGTCAGGAGACCCGCGAATGTGGAGGACTTGGAATCCCATAATGGTGCCGAAACAATGCCTGTATTGCGCAACGCATATCCGTTTCAGTCAGCGAACTGTATTCTCGGGTGCGCATAGTCCGCGGAGTGGCGGGATCTGGCTCGGAAGGAAGACATGCCGTTTTGTATCAGGATATTCAAGCTCTCCTTGACTGACAGGGACGTGTCGAAAATGATAAGTCGGAAACTAAGTGGAAGAACGTCATAGCTGGTACGGACCTTGAGGAAATTGCGGATAGCACGCTACAGTGATTATGATAGACAAGGGTCTCTATTAGTCAAGGCTTCACCCGAGACGACTGCTCATTGTGGACACGATTACAAGCAAACAAACGCCAGCCATATCACGACATATGGACCGCAAGTTTGACACCGAGGATTTTGCCGATCAACACAGCGGCTTATGTACGGGGTGCGATGCGGGCCAAGGAGGGGCGGCGGCATGGAGAGCAACGGGAAGAACAGGGGGGACTGAGAAAAAGCAACGGGCAGAGAAAAAAGAGAGGCGACTCACTAAAGCGCGACGCTCTTCCCGGTCGATCGCCCTCTCGGGCTGAGCTGGGGGCATTGGGTGAGATAGACCTCGCGGCCGGAGAAAGGAGGCGGGATGGACGAATGCTCCCTCGTGACCGCGGGCAGGACGACGGTCTGGAACTAGGGAGGGGTTTGAAGAAAGAAAGAAACCCGTGGAGGAGGGCGAATGAATGTGAAACTGAGCTGAATCGATGAGGGTCGGAGTAGAGGGAGGAGAAGCAACCGCGGTAGTAGTAGTAGTCGCCGTAGTGGTCGTCGTGGTAGTGCTGGTAGTGCTGGTGGTGGTGGTTGTGGTGGTGGTGGTGTCGTCGGTCGAGGGCGGCAGCCCGGAAGGGCTCATTCTGCCCGTGGGGGCCTCCCGCTGGGGAGCTTCCTCCATCTTGATTGCCCGACGCCGCAACGCTCGTGGGGACTGTAATACCACATTCAAAAGGAAGAGAAAGATGCTCACCGGCGGCATGAAAGCGGCACGCACCAAGGATTTTAGGCTCATTAACACCCAGAGGTAACGCTGCTGACAGGGTCCCTACCGCCGGTGCCGCATGGGGAATCTATCGATATTGATAAGCGGGGGAGGAAGAAGAGCAGTCTTGGGCAAGTTGGTGGTGTCAGAACTCAGGACAGATCAACTAGGAGGCCCAAAAGATCATATGAGACAGGAGGCTGCGACGATCATTTGCAGAGGGTCTAGGATGCATCACATTGGTTAAGTGTTAATTTGCCCACAATCCTATACCTCAAGGATTTTGAATATTACTGCACAAGGGTTATGCTTGGAGATGAGAGAGGGGGATCCCAAGCAAGTACGGAAGAAATTAGAGGTGTGGGCTGATATATGAAAGACCTGAAATCTTGAGAATGAAGCCATGCTGCTTGCTTTGCAGGCATATTATTCTCCAGCACTTTCTAATCGTTCAGCATCGTTTCATCGTGGGCCAGCGCATATTTGGCCTGAGGCACCAACATGCCCCGCCATCCCCACACGTGATGGCACTGCGGAGAAAGCTCGAGGGTTAATCCAGACTAGAAGGCCGCCGTAGCTTCCGGTCTCTACTACTATTATCCAGGCCACCATTTTCGTGTTAGCTCAATTAACCTCGAAACAAGTCAGCATCCCATGTTTGACTGGACAGAGTTGTGAATAACAGGCCATGAGAATCATGATAAAAACCCGAAGACGAAATGATGCAAGATATTAATAGAGGCGTATCTATGCGCTATATGCCACAGCCATGCAATCGCAGGGCGCTCGGATGAAACAATGGAAGAAGAAGATTTTACCCAGAAATCGCACCATGCCGTTGGACAGGCGAATCTTGGCAGGCCCACACATCATGCTGTAGGCTGTGACTCCCCGCCTGCACCGTTCGACGTCCCCTCCGTCTGGGAGAGACTCGGGCTGGTTCCTGTCTTCAGATAATTTTCGAACTCGCCAATACGTTTTCCACCCTGGATCCATCGTTCCTTGTATGCTGCCCTCCGTTGGTCCGCGAGCTTGTTCAGCGTCGGCCAGTAGACCGAATGCTCGTACCGGAATTCGACATCGCCGCCCATGGATTTCATCAGGTGGCCGGCAGGCACATGCTGACACAGGTCTTCGTTGAACTTGAGCTTCTGCCGGGTTTGTGGGTCAATGAATGGAGTGATCATCTTGAAGAACCCGAGGATCATGAAGGGCACTGGAATCCGGTCAGAAAAACAAGCATACAGATATGGGAGGAAACTCACTATTGATAACCAATGCCCGACCCATCCTCTCAGGGTAATGGTTCTGGAGGAAGTTGAGGGTCTGCTTGGCTTGACCGAGGCTAGCATTCTGACCCGACTTCGTCTCCTTGTAGTTCACAATGAGCGCCAAGGTCTCCTGATCCGGGCCCATCAGGTCGATGACGCGCTCCAGCATAAAGACCAGATGCTGGATCTGACGGTCGCTCGTTTCCGTGTTCTGGTTCGATGGCAGGAGGTACAGGCACGGGCGTCCGTGAATGTCGTATCCAAGAATGACCTGCTTTCCCGTCTCATTCTCAACGGAGATGTACTCAGCCGTCAGCTTTTCGACGCCGTACTCCCGGCGCCAGGTAAGCGTGCGCTGGAGTCGCGCAATGGCATCTGCGACATTCCATTTGGTCGCGCGCAGGTACCGCAACAGACACTCCCGGGTCAGGAACATGTGTTCGTCCTCGGTGATGGGAGCGGTCGGGGAATTCTTAGCAGACGTGGTCGGGACCGTGGTCCATTCCGATACCGCTTTGAAGACATCCTTGTATTTCGCTTCCTGGTCGGGAGTGAGCGGCGCAAGCGGTGTTGGTTTGGCCGCGTCAAGGGGGCGAGGGAAGGGCTTCTGGATGAGTCCGTCTGCGGCGGACAATGGCAGTTGGGACTCGAAGCTATCGTCAATCTTGGCGGGTTCTGCGGTAGTCTCAGGGGCAGCCTCTGGGGTTGAAGGTGACGGGTCAGAAGGGGTGGTTTGTGACGTGTTGACAGCTGGAGTATTGTCGACTGGCGCAGAAACGGCCGCCGGGGGATCTGAGGGAGCGCTCATGATGTGTCAGTTGAGCTATGTTGTGGAGGTAAATAGTGTGGGTTGTAGTCTGTATGAACCCGCGACCAACTTATAGACCGCCAGGCATCAACAAATATAGGGGGAACCGACACAACGGCAAGATTCTTCCCGGGTGTCCTTTTTCACGTCGGTAAGATTGAGCAGGGCGTAATCTTGATCGACGGGCCCACCGATCGTCACTGCAATACTCCGATGGCCACCAACACGGCGAGAGAAATCAATTAAACCGATGGCGTCTACGTGGTCGGCGGGTCGCCCTGCCGAGCCCCAGTTCGGAAGGCGGTCGCCAACCCTTTGCGCGTTACGCGTCCGTCGCGTCACCATCCAGCGATAGCCAGTCCCGATAGCCGTCTGTCTCTCCACGATCGTATTGATCATTATCCCCAAGGTCCAGGTCAGCATGGACGACCCTGTCGCAGAGCTCAATGAGCTCTTTGCTGCTGCTGCCCCAGATGGACTCCCCAAAGATGTTCTCACGGAACTGCAGTCTATCCTGCGCATCCACTCGATCTCTGCGCAGGAGCTGTTTTACAAATGGGAGTCCTACTGTCTGAAAATGGGCCCAGACGAACTAAAGATGGACCTGGGCACTGTGCGGCTGTTTAAAAAAGATGTACAGGATACATTGGAACGGGAAGCCCGAGGAAAAGCAGGACGACAGACTGACAAGAGAGCTGCAGTGACGGCTACCCCCCGCGCTGCTGCGACGTCGGATGTGTTTGGCATGTGAGTTTTACGCCGTCGACTGAGGGACGAAGACTAATGGCCCAGGTTGGATGGACTCACACCGGGGGCGACTGGTCGGAGCAATCCCGGATCAGCGAAGCGGAAATCCGACTTTGCTTCGCCTTCCATGTCCAAGGTTGGGAGGACTGATCAGAATGGTTCGCCAATGAGGGTCAAGCCTCCGATTAAACAGAACGGCGATGGAGTACAGTATGTCACAAATACATGGTGTATAAACTGCAACTGACCCGATAGATCGATTCCTTTTTCCCAGCGCCCGAATGCAGGCGAGACTCTCGAAACAATCAACTCCCACCTTTCACAAGCCGAGACCCCTCTGGCGCCCTACTCCGAGGCCCGCATACGGCCCACAGCGAATACAGACCTGAAGAAGTTCGGATATAAACCCCTGGCAATGAGGCTGTCCGAGGCATCCGAGATCCTCGACGACCGCATTGACGAATTCATGGCGTTGTTTGAGAAGCAGTACGACGCAGACGAGATCACATTCGGCAGCGCCGCAACACAGAGCACCAGCGAGATTGTCGCCGTTGGGCGCATTGCATCCGACAGCATGGAAGGTAAGCTCAACGCGGCGTCACTTGTGCTCGAAACGTCGAGACGGACAGGGGCAGGCGTTCGGGTTCCGTTGAAGCTGGAGTCGGTGCCGTCGGCCAACTTCTTCCCGGGACAGATCGTGGCGCTGCGCGGTATCAACGCATCAGGAAACTACCTTTCAGTCAAAGAGGTCCTCTCCGCACCTCTCCTCCCGCCAGCTGCCTCGTCGGTCGTCAACATCGAAACCATCAACCAGAGGCTCGAAGAAGCGGGCCCCGCGCCCTTGAACATCCTCATCGCCTCCGGGCCGTACACGGCCGACGACAACCTCGACTTTGAACCGCTGAAAGAGATTTGCCGCAAGGCTGCGGAGAGCTACGCGGACGGTGTCATCCTGCTGGGTCCGTTCCTGGACATCGAACATCCCGTGCTGGCCTCGGGGGATTTCGACCTGCCAGAGATCAACGGATTGGACCCGGACACTGCGACACTCACAACAGTCTTCCGTCATTGCATCTCGGCGCCGCTGCAGCGGCTTGTGGCGGCTGTGCCCAGCATCACAGTTGTGCTGGTGCCATCTGTGCGCGACGCCGTGAGCAAACATGTCTCGTGGCCGCAGGAGCAGCTGCCCAAGAAGGAGCTGGGATTGCCCAAGCAAGTGCGCATGGTGTCGAACCCGGTAACGCTGTCACTGAACGAGACGGTAATCGGAATGTGCTCGCATGACGTGCTGTACGAGCTGCGACGGGAGGAGGTGCTGCATGGCAAGCCGACGGAGGGGAACCTGCTGACGCGACTGCCGAAGTATCTGATCGAGCAGCGACACTTCCAGCCGATGTTCCCGTCGTCGGCGCGGGAGATGCTGCCGAGGGCGGGGACAGAGAGCGGGCTGGCAACGGGAGCCATGGTGGACGTGAGCTATTCAAAGCTGGGCGAGTGGTGGAACGTACGGCCAGACGTGTTGATAGTGCCGAGCATGCTGCCACCGTTTGTCAAGGTAAATCCCACGAGCTAATCTTAATATAATGATGATCGGAAACTAACTGAATCTAGGTTGTCGACAGTGTGACCGTCATCAACCCGGGGACGATCTCGAAGCGGCGCGGCGCAGGGACCTACGCACAGATGGCGATCCACGCGCGGACGATAGCAGATGACGAGCGCGAGCAGAAACAAGTGAGCCACAAGTTATATGAGCGGGCGCGAGTGGACATCAACCGGATATAGCGGTAGATAGTAATCATGACGAGATGATCCCCCCAGCTTTATTCTTCCTCCCTCAGTCACCGGATAACAATATAATAAACACTAAACGTGAGGGTATAAAACCGAACCAAACCATACCATAAAAATAAACCACATCCCTAACACCGTCCATCTTCCCATACCCAGCCATACCCCATAACCACCCTCCCCTTCCTTTCCTCCCAACCCATTCAATCCCCATAAACAACCCCTCCCTCCCAACCCCAACAAAAGCCATGAGAGAGACAAAAAATCACCTCAAACAAACCACCCTCCTCCCCCCATCAACCTCCCTCCCCCTAACCCTCCCCCCTTCCCCTTCCCACCTCCTCCAACCCCCCACTAACCAACCCCTCCAATCCCAAATCCCTCCACACAGCCTCCCTCCCCGCCCTCATCGCCCTGGTAATCCCAAACGCAGCATGCTGATCAGGAACAACATCATCCTCATCTTCCGGATTCGGGGGCTGATATTGCGGAAGGATGTAGATTTCCTCGATGGGAAGGTAACTCGGTACGAGGGAGGGGAAGACGAGGAACCGTAGGTGATTGTTGTGTTGGTGCCGGAGGTTGGGATTGTGGTGGTGGTGTTGCCGGAGGTGTTGGTGGAGGTGGAGGTGTGGTGTGGGCGCGTGAAGTCTTCGAAGTAGTCTGCTAACCGGGGGTGGTGCATGTGGATTTGAGTGGGGGTGGAGTCTTTGCTCTGTTTTGTTTTTTTTTGGTTATTGGGGGTTTGGTGAGGTGAGATGGTTTGGGGGAGGGGAGGGGGAGGTACCATTTTGGGGGTGGGGGTGGTGTTGTTGTGTTGGTGTTGGTAGTGGTTTGACGTGTTGGTGGTACTGTAGAGATGGTAGTAGAGTTGTTGTGTTGTGTTGGGGTTGATGGTATTGTGTTATGATAGTAAAGGTGGTGGTAGAGGTGTAGAAGTATGTTGGGTGTTGAGGTGATGGCAACTACGGAATATGGCAGACCGCCTACAACTCATGTTTTATCTATAAAATACAACGCAGCCGAAAAGTTGCCCATCCGTCCTTAATACCTAAACCCTAAGAAATGAAACTACAGATTCGTACTCATCCGATGAACAATCGGCACCGCACTTGGCGGCAGACTGCCCATCTCCGTAACCACCATGTCCACATACTCTGCCGGCGTCACATCGTACATGATGTTCAGCAGCTGCAGATTCGCCGACTCCTTCCAGTCCTCCAATGGCGATGCTGTGCTCTGTGATGCCGTGCTCGACTCCACGGGCGCGCTGGCCGTCGCTTTGCCGCCCTTCTTCGTCTCCGCAGGCGCCGGTGCCGCCGGATCCGGCAACCCGGTTAGCTGCTGCACCGGCTCGATAGTGACCAGCTCGTCCGCATCTGCAATCTCGTTGACCACGATACTGTCCAGCGCGACCCGGTCTGTGAACTTGACCGTCTCGCAGCACACAATGACTGGCACTTCAACACCGCCGGCGCGCTCTTTAGCCGACATGGCGACCAGCGCTGTGCCGACGCGCGAGTACAGTCGTCCGTTACTCGTCATGGCGTGGGCGCCCAGGAACACCTTCGTAGCATCCTTGATGGCGTGGCTGATGCCGTTCATGAGAGAGTATTGCACATCCAGACCGGCGTTAGCGAGCGAGCGCGCCAGGTTCTTGCCCTCGAACAGTGGACGCGAGTCGATGATAGACACCCGGAATTGCTTGCCCTGTTTGTGCGCCATAAGGAGCGTCTGCTTCACGATCGAGCTACCTGCAAACGTCACGATCACGTCGCCATCCTGAATCTTTTGTGCGGCGCTTCCGGCGATAACCTGGTCGGCGACGGTGATCTTCTCGCGGATAAAGCTGTCGATGAAATCGCACAGCGATGACTTGGCGGTAGCTTCGGGAACTGACGGATCGATGGAGGAAATGGCGAGTTTGAGGGCGCGGATGGCGTTACCCTGGCTGATAGACAGCGGGCGGCAGGTGGAGAGGTAGGTGATCTGGTGAGACAGGTGTGTAGTCAAGTGGCGAGCGAGAGAGGTACCCAGGGGGGTGGTATAAGCTTCAATGACCTAAAACATATCATCAGTAACTCCAAGACATCCAAGCATCCCAAGGCCTAGACCAGAGCGGAGATAAATGGGGATCGGATGAACGCACCCTCTTGAACGCCAACAGTGTCGCAACACACCGCGCACTGCTTCCACAAACCACATAATCTCTCATCTGCAACCCCAGGGCCAAAACCGCAGGGTGCACTTCCTTGCCAGCTCCAGCAATTGTAGTCCTCCGCTGCTGGCCATACAAATGTCCAAAGACCGACACATTCTTCTCTTCCTGCTTCTTTTTCAGCTCCGCGGCGCCGACCTGAGCAGTCGCCTGCGCAGAGCCCCTCCGGGGCAACTGCTTCTGACCCTTCTGCTGCGCCGCGGCCGCAGAGTCTTTCCCACCGGCACCACCAGGTCCAGACGCGCCCTTCTTGGCCGACGCGGCGTGCTGGCCACCAGGACCTCCAGCCGGACCGCCACCGGTTGTTTCTCTCTCTGCGCGCTCGCGAGCCCGACGGGCGGCCTTGTCGGCTTTGGCTTTCTTCTTTAGCTCGGCTGGGGTGAGGGCGGCGCCGTCGCCGGAGGGGGCGGAGGCAGCAGCAGCGGCGCCATCTTTGCCCTTGGCGGGTTGCTTGGGGGGTTGCTGTTTGGCGGGTTTGGAGGGTGAGGCGCCCTGCGGAGGTTGCTGGACGGACGGCGATTGCATTTCGGGGGCTGGGGGTTGCGACGCGGATACGGACGAGGTCAGCGCAGGGTCGACGGGATTGGCCATTATGGAAGGAGAAGGAGGAGAGAGGCGATAGCGGCAGTTGGGAGGGGCATTGGAGACTTTTTCGGAACTGGTGGTGGTTATTGTGGGGGTGGCCGAAGGTTGACTCATTAGTTTTGCGCTCCGCCCGCCCACGATGCCATAAGCAGCCCCGACCAGCACCACCACCGCATAGATGGCGTCCAGCACGTCCAGCACGTCCAGTGGCATGGGTACGACCCCTATCCAGGAAGATTCAGGATGGTGTTGATCAACGGGGCCTCCCTCCCTCGACCTGCACCCTGAGTCTCACCCGATCACGCTGAACGTTTCCCTAGAAGCATTGGCAAGGCATACCACCGAACATTATACTTGGCTTATGTAGTACCGATCCTAGTCAAAGTATGTACCCGACTTAACTGGGCAGACATGATACCAAGGCCTTTCGGCTGCATGGGTCCTGCAGCAACTAATCACAAACGTCTCATGGTATTTTTGGGCATCAAGCATCCATCATCTGTCACTTGTCATCCTACCATACAATCATGTCATCATCGAAGAAGAAAATGGAACACAAGTCCAAAATAGAAAACGCAACAAGATATCATCGCAAAAGACCCCAGTCCAAGGCATACAACCAGTGGCCCCCAATTATGTGCATCCAAGTCAGTCCCTTCCAAACGCCATATCACAGAGCCTCCCACGCTGCCGAGTCAAAATCCCACCAAGTCTATCGGGTATTCGTCCAAACATCCCCCAGCGCTCGCCGTCGCTTTCGGCCCTCGGGCTTCCAACTCGGTCGGAATCGCTCATGATCCGTGGCGAGTTTGCGCTTGAACATGCTAAGATCGTCAAGAAGGTTTTCCATATGCGCCTGCATTTCTTGCGCCTCGACATGACTGGTGTCACTCTGGATCGTGTCTTCATCCTCCCAGATGAGTTCTGGCTCCGGCTCCAACTCGACGTCGGATGGAGGTGACCGGGCGCGGCCGCGCCGCTTGCGGTTAGTCGGGGAGCCGTTGTTTTCATTTACACTGTACAAGCTACTCCGGCGTCTGTGGACAACCACCGGAGGAATCGGATTTCGGATACTATCCAAGGCCAGCTTCAGGTGGTTGCGCATGGCCTCATTCTCCGTCTGCAGCTGCCTGATCTTGCACTCACTAACCATCTTTGTCTCCTCCATCAGTCGCTGAAGCTTCTCCACCTTCTGCTGGTACTCCTCGAGCCGTTCGTTCTGCATCTCGTTCTCCCGCCGGTTGGCAGTGGCAAGACTGACACTCAGCTGGAGCGTGCGGATTGTCTCGGCCATCTCTGCAATCTGCTTGTCCCTTTCTGCAGCAGAGAGGTGGTCCTGGTTGACCCGTGCGCGGGTGCGAATGCGCTTGGCTTGGTCCGCATATCGTAGTGTGGAGAGGGTTTCGTCATAATCAGTGGGGGAGATGCACGCAATCATTGCTGTTTTTGAGTTGCCTCCCAGACTATCCTTCAACAGCCAGGTGAGAATCGAGTCACGGTACGGAACGACGTCCTTGCCCTTGCGTTTGCCTGGCCGACCCGATTTAGGATCAGCCAGCGCTGCGATGACTCGGCCCAGCGTCGTCAGAGACTTGTTGATATTGGACCCTTCGCGGAGTCGTTGACCGGTGGCTTCAGTGGACTTGGCTCGCTCTGAACCTGCCAGATCGACGAGGCGTATCCGCGCTGTGCGCTCGGTTGTTTCATCGGTCGAAAGATCGTGATGAATCTGCTTCAAAGTGATGGTAAAAACCGCGTGTGATCGGGAAGACGTATCATTCATCTTGGTACTGGCTACCGTGCGAGAGACATCGCCTTTGCGCATGAACTTCATAATCTCCTCGTAATTCTTCACCGTTACCTCTGTCAAGTCCTTAACATACGGGCCTTCCAAAGGAGACTCGCGAATCCGGAGATAGTTTGGCGGTTCGCTCCGGGGGACCAGTAGATCGCGTACATGTTCGTTATAGACCTCAAAATAGGAGACGCGGACGTTGAAACTGACATCGGGGGTCTCGGCGTTTTCAATGCGCTGGAATAGATCCTCGCAGGTTCTAGGAATCAGTCCAGGCTGTTCCCCGGTGCCCATCATGGTATAACTTTTGCCAGAACCCGTCTGGCCATAGGCGAAGATGCAGGTATGGTATCCCTCGAAATTGTGGTCCAGAAACTCTTCTCCTAGACAGTTGTATACATCTTCCTGGTGCGCATAATGGCTGTCTTTTTCGTTATGTGACCAGAAAGAGTTGTCGAAGACAAAGGACTTATCCTCCAAGACCTTTCCGCGCGCCTGTGATTTGGGCTTTCCTTCGTCTCCCAGGCCCACCTGGGGCGCTTTAAGTTTGGTTGTCTGAGTATATGGGTCCATGCTGATCAGGCATTGGGCATTGCGGTTGATCTCTATACCCCAAGAGGGAATCGCAATTAGCCTATACCCTGAAACTCTCCTCACCTGGCCAGTCAGACGTACCTCTGGGAAGGAACTTTCTCACCCGGACGACAACGCGCACGTTGCCGCCGCCACCGGAAGGACTGGACATGTCGACACGGTGCGCAGGGACAGCCACGCCCTCTCGTGCGCGCAGCGACGGACTAGACGCGTCGGAGCGCAGGGCGGCGGCAGAGGCAGTCATCGAGTTGATGGAAGGACTGGTGATGCCGGTGATTGCGGAGAGGCCGGAGGATGACGCGGAGGACTGGGAGCCAGGCCCGGTGCCGTGGCCTATGTGGTGGTAAAAACGGGGGTCCAGGGACATTTCGTGGCCGTGATCCCTCAATAACTGTACAATCTGAGTGAGGTGCTCACGCTGGCGCTGAAGTAGGTAATGGTACATACAGGCAACTGTACCACCGGTGGGCAACGACCGAGAGGCGGGTATCGGGGATATTGCGGTATGGGTCGTGGCTGCTGGTTAGTGGACCCAGGAACGGGCGGAGTGCTTTCCCTCGGGGGCTCTAGGAGGATATCCAAAGTATATGCTTGCGCGGACCGTCCGTCTGCAAGTCAATTGACGTCCGGCACTAGACAACAGACTGATTCCACTCTCGACATGGGGTAAACAGCCGAGACTCGGGGGGTTCGGGGGGAGCTCCTGCTATGGAAGGTGAAAGAGAGAAACATGCAGCAGTAAGCAAGGAGAAGGAAGACAGCGCACCCCCTGTCGGAGCAGACTACCGTAGAAGCAACGGTCGGGGAGGATCCAGAAGCCAAAGCCGGGGGATGTTGGAGATGATTCTATCGCCATGGGTTCGTTTGGGAATTACCCCATCGGGTATCGGACACAGCCTGAGGCAGCGCAGAGGCCTTCCGGCGGCCCTCGGTTGCCATGGCGATTCGCCCACCACCGCCATCGTCTGCACGAACTACTTCAAGGCGATAACCACGAGAGACAAGGATGTTTCACGCTTGCATACAATTTGATTGTTTCGATTGGTCCCGTGGTCAATGAGTGCGCCGCCGGGAAATTACTAATATCCATTTACACCTAACACAGATTGCCGCATCCAGATCCGGACATGACATATATTCCTTTCCGCTCTTGTCCCGCAGAGTGACGGACAGCATTGGACATTCAACATGGTCTCATATCATAGCCTCTTTTTCAAGATGCCTCAAGCATCGTGGCTCATGCTGGAGCTGACACCTTAATCAAAGTCGTCATTCGCCGCAGCATACATATCTCCCTCGTCCCGACCGCCTTTCGATCCTTGGCTCATTCTGGCGCCATCGATAAACGAGTAGGAGTCGGGAATCGGGTTACCGTCCTTGTCAACGGTGGTCTCGAACATCTCCTCAGGACTCCAGTTCTCGGTGGGATCCTTGGGTTTAGAGCCGGAGCCAGTGGGTGCCATCTTGTCTTTGGCGGTTTCCGCCAAGCGCGAGACGGGATTTGTTCTTGACGACATGATGAGCTGGGTGATTCTGTAGTTCGATCAGTCTCTATTCATTTTGAAATGCTGACCATCCCCGCGGCAATCGAGCACATCTATACTCGCAACCAAGGAAAGCAGCAAGCGTACCAAATGGTAGTACAATTGCTTGGAATGGATTTGATGTGTTGGTTGAGTTCGACAAGAGGATTCGACTGGGGCACGGCCCGGCGTGTTATAAGTTCAAAAGGTGGCGTCGATGATGAGATGATGACGCCGGGACTCGTAGTGCAGCATCATGCGGGTGTTTCTCCATACTTTGATGCGGGAGAGAACGATGTGATTGCATGGTCACAGTTGGGTGAGGTCATCAGAGCCACCAACATTGGTCGAGCCTGGTACAGGGGTTCCATGGTCGGAGTCCGATGTCAGCCTTTCTTTCATGTGGAGTTTGACCTATGGGGACTGGAGAAGATGTATCTTTTGCACTGGTGTCACTTGGGTGTCCTTCCTGTCATGCTCATCCTGTCCATGTGTCCATAAATCTTATTGCATCCGGGGTCGATGCAGTAGGCCTGCTGCTTAGCCGACCCACCAAATCACACCTCGTAGAATGTCAAGTCTTGCCACTATAACTGTTGACTGTATTTGCAGGTTGTTCGAAGTCGAGACATGTAGATGTAGATAACTGTATGCTGTCGACCACAGTCACCGCCTTGTCCACGTGGGGCCGAGATTCCTTCTCCACACTCTGGAGATCAATTAGATTGTCACTCGCTTCTTGATAACGGCCGCCATGGCTGTTAGGGCGGAGTCAATAACCACCGGAATAATGGCAATCTATACTTATCACTCAAAAGTTCTCATGGGACCTCTAATTCTCCCTGCATTTAGCCTCGATAAGGGACTTGAGACTGCGGGGCATGATCGCGGTGAAGCTTACTCCGATCAGCTCCGATTTCGCGTGGAAATACTCTCCTACCGCTGACTTCTATCGTATCTGTTACTGGCTGGCTTATCGGACCAGATAATTAGTGCTTACTCCGAACGGAGTACGGAGTACCTTTGATATGATAGTGACTCAGACGATTCGTAGAACGAGGCACTGGCCGATTTCTAGACACGCGAACTGGTACCCACCCATTTCCACAGACTCGGTCCCCTACTAACGTTAGATCCACTAGATTAGAACATAATATACCATTTTGTCGACGAATCCCACCAATCATCCCAAATTAGCCACGAGGCTAGCTAGCCAAAAAGGACGCCATCATTGAGTTACAGAAAATACTCCCCCAACTTGCGATAAGGGTCACTTCACCATAGCTATCGGAATTTGACGGATATGGTCTTCACCACTGATGGAAGTCTAGAATCGGCAGCAATGAGATACCCCGTTGTCTACCTTTTTCCTGTCAGGATGGCAGACCTCACTACGGACGCTGAGACCCCCGACGGCTGTCCGCCCCGGTGCTGATAACGCTAAGATTCACATGGTCGGGCATCCGATATCTCGTGCTTAATGCCACAGAGGCTTATTAAAAGACCCTTTGGAACCAGGATGGTTGCTCCCTGACTCGGAAGCTGCCAGCGTTCGACATGAGTGCCCCAAGCTGTCCGAGTAACAGCGAGAACCAGTTTGGCCCTCGAGTCAATAGCGCATGTCGTCCATTCGACTTCACCCTGTTATTTGAAGATGCATTCTTCAGCATTCTGCCATCGACTATCCTTCTACTCTTGCTGCTGCCTCGATTCGAGATCTTGAGGCGTTCATCTGTAAAGCTGAACTCGTTTAAGCTTGCCGTGTACAAATTGGTATGGAAAAGAGCTCCATTTTGGATGTAATGCTGACAATAGCCGGCAATAGAGTATTTTAGTTATCCTTTTTGCCTTGCAGATCGTGTTCACAGTATACCAAATCCAGACACCAGCTCTGCACACAAGGATCTCAACTCCATCAGCGGTGCTCAACTTGACTGCAACTCTCGCGGCACTTATCCTGTCCTTCTTTGAGGACCAACGCCTTGTCAAACCATCCGATACTCTCGTGTTATACTTTTCAGCCCTGACTATCTTGTATATTCCTCGGCTCCGCACGCTATGGCATATTCCAAGCTATGTCCCTCGGGGACTCTTTACGGCCATCTACATTGTTATAGTCTTGGCTGCTGTTCTTGAATCGGCAAGAAAAACCGTGATGCTTCGTCCTCTTTACAAACATATAGCAGTTGAACAAATTCATGGGTTTTGGGGCCGCAACTTCTTCCTCTGGCTTTTTCCACTGTTTCGGAATGCATATACTCAGGTTATTGGAGTCGATGATCTACCCGATATCGACTCTAGATTGAGAGCTGAATATGCAGAGGTGCGCCTTCTACAAGCCTGGCAAAAGACACATGGGAAATACCGACTACTCAAAGCAACCTTTCGTGCTTACTACAGTCCTTTCCTCTCCGCAATCATTCCACGGGCGATGATGGTCGTGTTCACGTTTTGCCAACCGTTTCTTATCACGGCGACGATAGACTATATAAGCGCACCAAGCACCCGAGAGAATAAAAGATATGGGCAGGCCTTGATTGGAGCATATGCACTGGTATACTCTGGAACCGCAATCTCTACTGCTGTCTATTACCGCCAGGCCAATCGAATGGCAACCGTCGTACGGTCCGGTCTTGTGGCAATGATTTACGAGCAAACGGTTGCCCTCAAAACCACCAACTCAACCAAGGCAGAAGCTGTGACGCTAATGGGAACCGACATGCAGCGAATCGTCACAAGCGTGCGAACATTGCATGATACATGGGCATCCATCGTATCCGTCGGAGTAGCAATCTGGCTTCTGGAGCTGCAAGTCTACATTGCTTGTATTATGCCTGCTATAATTGCTGTTGTATGCATCCTTGGGACGACGCCAATCTCCAGTAGATATGGAACTGCCCAGGCTTTCTGGATAGGAAAGGTGCAAAAAAGGCTTGCTATTACCTCCACAGTGTTGAAGGATATGAAAGCCGTGAAGATGCTGGGACTCGAAACGATCTTAGTCGACGTGATTACTACGTACAGGAAGACTGAGCTCGAGGCCTCCAAGCGATTCAGAAAGCTTCTTGTTGGAATTGTGATGTTATGTAAGATTATCCCCTAAATTCGAGGCATGACTGACTTTATAGCGTGTGTACCTGCCGATTTTGCCCCGTACGCGGTTTTTGTGGTCTATACGATTATTGCATTGACTCGGAATGACCAAACGCTTCTAACATCACAGGCATTTACAACTGTGTCTTTGGTATCGATCCTTACAACACCCCTGCTGTCATTCGTTCAGACTCTTCCTCAGATAACTCAATCAATGGGTTGCTTTGAGCGAATCCAAGATTATTGTTCGAGAGAGTGCTCAATCGACCTCTCAACTTCTCCAGATTCATCTAAAGCATCTAATATTTCTTTTGATGGAGTTGAATTGGCGGCAATGCCAAAGCAGGATAAGAGTGGGGACTCACCATTGCATGGATTTTTTGTATCATTTCAGGATGCGAACATATCTTGGGCAACGGATGGTGAAACGGTTTTGCGCAACCTGACCTTGTCAATCCCTAGAAACAGGATCGTGATGATCGTTGGACCCGTTGGCTGCGGGAAATCAGCCCTTTTGGAGACCATCATGGGCCGGATGTTTGTCAAAGATGGGAGCATGCACTCTCCGGAAGCAAGTGTTGCGTACTGCCCTCAGACCCCCTGGATCATGAACAGTCCCATCAGGTTCAATATTACGGGGGAGACTGAATTCGACGAAAAGTGGTATGATTCTACAATCTCGGCGTGTGCTCTCACAAGTGATTTGAGCATGCTGCCTGGTGGCGATCTGCATATGGCCGGGAGTAATGGAGTTTCTCTGAGTGGAGGACAGAAACAGAGGGTGGTAAGTATCATGTCAATATACCATCTTGTCTTAAGCTGATTACTCCTGTAGGCTCTTGCGCGGGCAGTGTACTCCCGACTTCCTACCATCGTTCTCGACGATATCTTCAGTGGGCTTGACTCTCATAGCGTCCGAAGAATCGGCGAGAGTCTGTTTGGCCAGACAGGCCTCTTCCGTAGGACAGACAAAACAGTGGTTCTCGCAACCCATACTCGTAAGTAGCATGCAGCCTTATATGTCTATGTCTAATACAAAACAGAATACCTCCTCCCTTATGCGGACGAGATCATCCTTTTGAATGACGGCAAAAAGGTGGATCAAGGCACCTACCAAGAATTTTTGATTCGGCACCCCGAGTACGTCGGGGCCAAGACAGAAGGAAACTCGCCATCTGATGCAGATAATCTCACGGCACAGGACACACAAAAGCCGTATGAGACCATTGCCGAGGCCGATGAATCAGATGATTTGAAAAGAGACCTCACTAGACGGGATGGTAGCTGGTCCATATACAAGTACTACTTTCGAAACGCAGGGTTCGCATCGGCGGCGATTATGGTGGCATCTTGTCTTGCCTACGGGTTTACTGGTCAATTCTCTAGTATGTCTACGTCCCTTTGTTTTGACAAAACTAACATATCCAGCGCTATGGTTGCAGTGGTGGTCCGCTGCGAATGAGCAGCAGCCGAACACCGATGTTGGAAAATATCTTGGTGTTTATACTGTCCTCTTTGTTGCGTCATGTGTGACACTTTGGGCAGCCTGCTGGTATGTGCCATCTTCAACTAGGACGGTGCGAGGCTAATGGGACCAGGACATTGCTGGTAAATATTATTGGCAATACTGCTTTGAATCTGCATTCAGAGCTACTGCAAGCTACTCTTAGGTAGAAGCATTCTCCATCCTCCACATGCCCCTGCTAATTTAATTGGCTCCAGTGCACCCTTTAGGTTTTTTCAACAAACAGATACCGGGTCGATAATCAACAGATTCAGCCAGGATATGGAGTTGATTGATTTCTCGTTGCCGTTGGTCTTTTTAAATTTTATGGAAGGTATGGAACATTCTCTTTGTTCTCTTTCAATGCTGCCACTAACTTGTCAATGCAGGCATCAGTATCTGTGTCGTATGCCTTGTCATCCTCTGTGTCATCGGGAAATACATCACCATCACAATCCCTTTTATGTTGCTCGCTTTGTGGGCAATTCAGCTCGGCTATCTTCGCACTTCCCGGCAGGTGCGACTTTTGGATATTGAGGCCAAAGCTCCTCTGTACTCCCATTTCCACGAGACTGTTAGCGGTATATCGGTTATTCAGGCTTTCCGGTGGCAAAGAAGCTTCCATCAGCAATGCATTGCTAGGCTGGACCAATCGCAAAAGCCATTCTACATGCTCTACTGCATCCAACAAGGTCTACAGCTTGCTCTGGACCTTGTTGTGATGGTCTTTGCGGTGATCCTGGTTGCAGTTATAGTTTCACTGAGGGACAAGTTCAGTCCGGGAGGGGTTGGTGTGGCATTGAACCTGACACTTACCTTTAGTATGACTTTGAACCGAACCATTGAGTCATGGACCCAAATGGAGCTTTCAATTGGAGCGGTGTCTCGGGTGCGACAATTTGTCGAGGAGATGCCTCCGGAGGAGACAAGTCGCTCTTTGCGTGTTTGCGAAGACCGGCTGCCTCAAGGTACAATCAAATTTGAGGATGTTACTGCAGGCTACAGGTAAGCACATATACCAAGTCATCGAGCCTATCTAATGAGACCAACACATTCAGCCCAGAAACCGAGCCGATCCTCAAGAATCTCACGATAAACATCAAGCCCGGCGAGCGGATAGCTGTCTGCGGTCCTTCCGGCAGCGGGAAGACATCCCTAATAATGGCCCTCCTTCGAATGATTCAAATCCAGGATGGACAAGTATCGATCGACGGAGTTGACCTGTCTACCATTGATCCTACGTCAATTCGATCTCAGATCAACGTCATTCCACAGGACCCCTTCTTCATGCCTGGCACGTTACGATTCAACCTCGACCCCAAAGGAGCCCTTCCAGACGAGTCCATAGTCTCCGCAATCCAGAAGGTCGGATTATGGACCCGCGTAAGCATGAACGGCGGGCTAGGCGCAACAATCGATACCCTTGATTGGTCCTATGGTGAAAAGCAGTTACTAGCCCTTGCCAGGGCTTTGACTGTGAAGGATAACCATATACTAGTTTTGGATGAGGCAACCAGCAGGTATATCACTCCACCCTCTCCATCACCCATACTCGGGTACTAACCATAACTAGTGTGGACCGGGAAACCGAATCGCTGATGTATGAAATCATCGCCAAGGAATGCGCCAAACAGACTGTGATCGCGGTGGTTCATCGTCTGGGACACATTGACTGGTTTGATCGTGTGGCGGTCCTTCAGCAGGGAGAGGCGGTAGAGTTTGACTCCCCTCGGACACTGTTAGAGCAGCAGGATTCGGCGTTTAAGAGACTGTATACCGCTTTGCAGAAATAGACACGAGGTGTTTACTAGTATCAGCTAGTTATATGGAGGAGCAGAGGTGACACTTGACTACTAGTCCAAGACTGATACCAAAGACTGACACCTAAGAATGATAAAGGTTTACTCCAGATCATCGACACAGTACCCTCCGCATGGTAGCTAATTAATTATCCAAATCAAGACACTCCACCAATATTCAGCTCTAGGCTTAGCATACAACTCTCCATCCTATCATAAGACCTATAACTGCATGACTTCATTCTTATTATAAATCAACTGTGACTCACAGTTACTGAGTGAACCAGAAGCCTTATCATCAATTACTTGCCCCTGCCACTAATAACCCCTGTCCATACAAGCTACGACCAGGCAGCAGCCCTAATCCCTGCATCCAATCTAGCCAAACCCACCCACGTGTCGGTTTCCGACGGCGAACGCATTCAAGACAGGTTCACACCATCAACGACATCAATTGCACCCCCCCCTCCCCCCTCCGAGATGCTTAAATACCACTCCTCCTCCCCAATCCACCTCTCCCAACCCATCCTCCTCCATTCACTTCAACCCAGCCCAGCCCAACCCAACCAACCCAACCCATTATATCACAAAATGTCCACCGAAACCCTAATCTCCATCGGCCCCTACAAGCTCTTCTACAGCCTCACCCCCCCCACTCCCCTCCCCAACCACTCCTCCAACCAACCACTCATCATAATCATCCCCGGCATGGGCGACAGCCACCACAGCTGGATCCCCTTCCAACGCCTCCTCGCCAGCACCAGCCCCATCCCCGCCCGGAACCTTCTCTACGACCGCGCCGGTCTCGGCCAAAGCGACTCCCCACCCACCCCCTCCACCCCTCGAACCGCCACAACCAAGGCCCAGGAACTCAACCTCCTCCTAACCACAACCAACCTCCCCGGTCCCTACATACTAATCTCGCACTCCTACGGCGGGATCATCGCCCGAGAATTCCTCGCTCTCCACACGCCCGATATTGCAGGGATGGTATTCGTGGATGCCGAGATGGAAGATACATCTTCCGTTATGAACGTTCCCTGGGAAACACTCCATTCGTTACTGGGTGATATGGACTATTATGCTGCTGTGGGGTTAGATGACGAGAATGTGTTCTCGGGGGATGGGGATGAGTGGAGGGAGTTGAAAGCTGAAAGTGAGCGGCAGAGAACGAAGGATATGAGTGAAATGGAAGGGGTGGCGAGTGAGGAATCGTGTAATATATTGCGGGGGAGACGGCAGCTGGAGAGGAAGGTGTTGGGTGAGAGGCCTGTGGGGGTGCTCAAGGCGAATTTGGTAAGGGATTATCAGAGGATTTATGAGGCGGTTGTTGTGGGGATGGGACGGGGGAGGGAGAGGGAGAGGGAGGCGATGAGGGGGTGATTGAGAGGTTGAGGACTAAGGAGGAGGGCTTGCAGAGGAGGATTTTGGAGTTGTCGGATGTGAATCGGTTTGAGGTTGTGGTGGATGCGGGGCATAATGTGCAGTTGTGTCGGCCGGAGAGGATTGTGGAGATGGTGGGGTGGGTTTTGGAGAGGGTTTGATTCTATTTCATTCCTTACATTTATTTATTGGTGTATGTAGTCAGATGAGAGATTGTTGTTGTTGAATAATACTATTGTATGTATAGATACCTACAGCCAGTAAGAAATTGACCCTGTCTATAGACTACTCTGGCATCTTATTATATGGCTTATTTTTACTACTTGAAGAGTAAAGTAAATGTCCCTTGTAGTAGATAGTAGATACCTCAGGCTATCCCATACGAAGGGAAGAATGTATGTACTGGTATTTATCAGATCTAGCTATCTAGATCTTCGAAGTAATATAACTAGATACTCTGACATGAATTCACTTCTTTCCCTAGCCTAGCTTAGTCTAGTTTACGTCAGCTTATAATTATGATCATGACTACTCAATACAATTACTCCCCCAAAACCCATCTAACCAACCCATCCCGTCTAAACCCCTCCATCTCATGTTCACTCAACGTAATACACACATCCCAATCTCCATCCCCATCCCCATCCCTCTTCCTCGGCAAAACAACCACCAACCTCTCCATCAACCCCTCCTGCACCTCAAACCCCGTGATTTTCCCCAATCCAGGACCAAAATCAATCCCGTACACCGAGAGATGTCGCCAACTGGATACTACTATATCCCCCATTTGAAGACATATGTCTTCTCCTGCGTGTCGGCGTTCACGGATATGTGTGATAAGATTGGGGATGGACTCGCGGGTTAGGGTGTTGAGGGCGGTGCGGATTTGGTGGGCGGTTTGGGTGAGGGAGGTTAGGTCGGGGATGGTGGTGATGGTGGTGGTGGGGAGAGTGAGGGTTGGTTGTGTAGGGTTAATGGGGATGTTTACTCGGACTGCTGTGATGGCTGTTCCGAGGTAGTGGGTTAGGGATGTGGGGTGGATGCGGGAACGGAGGTTGACGGACATGGTGAGGGTGAGGGTGTTGGGTTTGATGGGGGTGGTAGTGCGTGTGATGGCCAAGGATATCAGTGCAGTGAGGATGTCGTTTGATGATAGGGTTTGTTGGGGGAGAGGTGTGGTGGTGGTGGTGGTGGTGGTGGTTAGTTCTGGGAGGAGACGGTTACAGGCATCACGGAGAGTGGTGATTTGTTTGGCTGGAAAAGTGAATTGTTCAGTGCGGAGGGCAAAGGGCGGATGTTGGATGTGGTCGGTGGATTTCATGACTGGGTGATAGAGCTCTTTGTAATTGTTGTTTGTGGTAGTTGTGGTGGTGGTGGTAGTAGGGCTTAGATTGGAGATGTATTGACGGAAGACCTCTTGGGTGTGACTGTCTGTTGGCAGAGAAACATCCTCGTCCGACAGAGCAGAACAACACTGAGCCAGCATTTCCAGAAGCTCTCCGCATCCGGTGCCGTCCATTATGGCATGATGATAGGTGACGGCGAAGAGAACCCCGTCGGCGAGAATGTTTGCTTGGAATCGGATGATGGGTTGGGGCTGGGAGGGGGGAAGGACCACTGGAAGTGGACTGTACGAGGCATCCAGATTGGTCCTCTTCCGGTCTCTGTCGAGTGGGTTGGACTGAGCATCTTGGCGAGCTGGGAGATAGTCATCAGGACGGGTTTGGATGGCCAAATAGGGGATATTCCTGGTGGAGACACTGGGAGACTGGACTCTCACGCCTCCGGTGTCTTCATTGGTGACAACCTCCCCAGCGAGGAAGGGGAGGTTCTTGAATAATCGGTGGACTCCGACATGGAGATGTTGGACAGCAGATTCAGCGGTGGTTGTATGAAAGCATAGAAATTGGGGGACATAGAGTCGGGGCATCGAATGGTCCAGGGGAGTGGGCACAAAAGGGTGGAAAGAGTGACTGGCATTCATCTTGGAAGATTCGATGATGTGTTATATTGAATAGCTACTGATCAGCCAGTCCCCCTCTTATATACGTTACACACATGACAGCTGATCTTTCTGTCTAACGATAGGAATGTTACCAATTGCATTCAGCTCGGAGACAGTACTGCCAATGTGCTTATATTTAACAAGCTGTGTAGATCTCACATTCCATTACATTCCATACTAAATTCTTACTCTTAGATTCGAACGAGATATATTTAGCCCAGATACAACATATCCAACAACTTTATCGATTGTTATCAATCTCATTCCACGGCTTCTACTCTTAACCATTCCAACAACCCTTGCAGGTATCAATGTCATATGCTCTACAGTTATTCGATGCGGAAATGCTTAGGCTTGATTCAATGTCGAATGATAGAAAGAATTCACCTTAGAAGTCCAGAGGGTTGCGTCTAGTAATTCGGTTGCATTGAGTCTGCTGGTCGATGCAAGTTGAATTGTGGATCAAACAGCAATGTACGAGTAATCCCATTCCTTACCCATTTATCACAGCTAGAATAGAAACGATCAACAGTCACAGAGTGTTGCATCACTCCCAACCTGCAGAACATCTTTTGAGCGGAAGAGGTTCCTATGTGTTGGAGCATCTTGGTCGATCCAGAGGAGTCTAGACGATGGAAAGGGAGGCAGGAATTGAGCAGCTCCAAGATCATGATTATGGAGTTGCATTTCGACGTAGGCAGTATCCGTATGTAAGGCCTGCAACTCGATGCTGATCATAGTAAATTGTGTACTCCTATACCAATGAACATTACCAATATCCCATCGTCCCTGTTTTTGTATAAATACGCCAATAGACGTATGCAAAATACCAATATCCACAGCAACTCCAAATAGAGATAAACGAACAACATCTGCCAGAATATAATTCAAACCTCAGTGGATGATGGGTCCAATCCCATAAACACTTTGTATAACCGTCGACTCGCAGCAGGACCAATACGCGAGTCCGTCGGGGCGCCGCTTTTGTTTGCCGATTTCTGCAGCACAAGTCAGTGTATAATGCCAAAAATCAAGGATCAAGCAAGAACCTTAACATCCTCCAACAACCCCGGTCCATCCTTTCGCATAGCATTCACCAAATCCATAGCACTTGGATATCGCGAAGCAATACCATACGCCATCGATGCAGTAACCCGGTTCACCTCCTGCATCATCTTCACAAACGTGTCGGACCGATTCTCGCCAGGTTTAACTTGTCCACCATCCATGCAGAAAGCGGAGTCGTTCACACCCATCCGTTCACGACGGTATGGTACGGTGGAGATGTGCTCGGTGAAATTCTTGATCCATTCAGCTGACTCCGCGGGGGAGCCGGTATGATGGATTAAGCATCCATGAATGACCTGTAATTCGAGAAGGGCGTCTTCGATTGTATCGTCATCGACGAGTGTTTCCGGTTGCGGCTGCTTCTTCTTTCGGGATGGACGTGTCGAGGTTTCTTCGGACTCTCCACGCACTGCGGCTTTATAGGCTCGATTGCGGGAATTATTGTTCTTGCGCATCAAGGCTGTCAATCCTTCGATTAGGTATATCGGCGTACTCTTGGGGTAGGCAGCTTTAAGGCGTTTAACGTGGTCGTGGACGGTATCGCCCGATTCAGTGGATGAGGCGCTGGCCATTTTGACAAAGTCCTGGGCCGTTATCAAACACAGCACATGTTCCTCTTCGTCGCGGATGTGAGATGCGCATGGCTCCCAATGTCCGAGGGAGTCGTTATACGTAGCGCGGACTTTGCGACGCCATTTGACAATGTTAGGAATGGAACTAGAAAAGAATGAGAGGTCAACTTTGACGATGCGCATATATTCTGCTATTTGGTTGCAGACGCTGGTATTGAGAAAGGTATCGGCTAGGTCAATCAACATCTCAGTGGTGGACTCTTTCTTGTCCACCTTGAGTTTGTTAACCTCGGCGATGTCAGCTGCAAGCTGCTTCTCGCGAGCTTTGTCCTCCTTGGCCTTCAGTTTACGCTCCTTCTCCAGTTCTTTATCGCGTTCTCGCTGCGCTTTGGTTTCCTCCCGTGCTCTGGCCTTGGCTTCCTTCTCTTCGTTTGTGACCTTCGTGGTTCTGCGCTGGGGCTTTCGTGGTGACGGTATTTCTTCCACTTCTATGTCATCCTGTTCCTTGTGCTTGCGACCTCGCCTTGATTTGAAGGCTGGCTTGTCTTTGCTGGCTTCGGGTCGGTCGAGGCTCGCTAGTAGCATTGCAGTCCTGCTTGAGAAATCGGTCGATTCAATTCTCTTTGACACATCGAGCAGGTCGTTGATGTCCGGAAATTCAGGCAGGTCGCTGAAGTCTTGGATTTCGTCCCTTCGACTTCGAGTGTTGCCGATGGCATCATCATCTTCATCATCAATTAAGATACCATTCTCAGTACGAGAGCTCACTCCTCGTCTGACAGGATTGGTAGGTTCTGGAGCAGAGGAGGTGAAAACGATGGGATCCGATTCTCCGTTCCAGGCCGAAGGTTTCGGGAGGGCGGGGCCGTCGGAGGAGATAATTATCTCTTCATCGGAGAAGAGAAAAAGAGGCTTTTTGGATGGCGGAAGAGGCACCTCTCTCGGAGGTGTGATCTCATGGCTTAACCGCCGTCGTTTCGCGGGCTTGCCGATGTCGTCCTCATAGGTGAATGCGGGGATATCGATATCGTCGGAGAAGATCGACTCCGAGCCAGCGGGCAAGACGGGCGGGTGGAAATGAGCTCGACGGATAGACAGCTGCTCGCGTCTTTCTACCGGGGGTGGAGGGGTAGAGGAGAGCAGGCTGATGATTTCTGGCATGTTGCCCCAAACTCCAAAACCAACCTGACGTGCTCCGGGGAGAAAGCAACAAAGAGTTGATAAGCACGTGTCGCGACGTCACCGCGTAGACGCGAAGTCACGTGCGGGTATCCTATAGATTGGCGTCAAATGGGATTGACAAGAATCGAATATATTACACGCAGTCAAGGGTATTAATCTAAACAATCAAAACAGCCTCAAGAGCAAGGCAACCGCCACGGACAGCACAACCCCCACCAATGCCAGCAAGGCAAGAATCTGCTGGAACCTTTGGAACGGCCGCCTCTCCCGGCTCAGCATCTCCTCGATCTCCTGCTCGAGTTTCTCTCCCATGGCCGTGAGCGAAAACTCCCGCTCCACGCGCTTCTTTGCCGCAGCAGACATCCGGTCCAGCTCTTCCTGCTCCATCCCATACAGCACCTTATCCATCACCGCCGTCCAGTCGGCATCCACCTTGGCATCACGGAGCCAGCCCGTTTCGCCCTCCACGATCGTCTCCAACGGTCCCCCAGTATTCGACGCAAGCACCGGCACCCCCGCGCGCATCGCCTCGACCGGCACAATGCCAAAGTGTTCGTTAATCGGGGTATACAGAAGCAGCTTCGACTGCAGCAGAAGGGTATCCCGGAACGCGGTCGGCACGGACAACAGGAAGAGCACGTCGATGGAATCAGGTATCGAGAGCGCCGAAATGACCGTCTTGGACGTCGCCGTCTGCAATCCCAATCCAGTCGCCAATTCGTCCAATTCCCGATGATACTGCACATTCTCCTGAACGCGATTATCGTAACCACCTACACCACCAACCGATTAGCACCCCAAAGCAGCAGAAACCAAAGACATAGCAGGCCTACTCACCAGCAACAACCAACCTCGTCCCCCTCCTCTTCTCCTCCCCAAGACCATAATATGCCCGAATCGCCAACGCCAAATCCTTCTTCCTCTCAAACCGGTTCACACTCAGGAGAATCTTCTTCCCACCCCACAACTTCTCCCCCTCCCCCTCACCCCCCGCCGCCGTATCAACACACGGATAAACCACACTCAACTCCCCCAACTTCTCCCTTCCAAAAACCCCCGTGACAACTCCCCTCGTAAACCTCGAATTCGCAACCACCTTATCCGACGCACTCATCGCCCACCCCTCAAACCAATCAAACGGATACCGATACACCCCTTTCACAACCTGTAACAACGAACCCCCCTCATCGCGTCTCGCAAGCAACTGATCCGGAAAATGACAATAAAACAAAACCCGTTGTTTCTTGCCACCCCCAAACGATTTCAAGAACGGTACGCAGGCAGGTACCTGGTCGACGATGAAAATCTCCTCCTCGGCATCTTCCTCCCTTGTAGTCGAGCCAATCTCCTTCAGTAAATCAACCGTCAAATGTAACTGGCGCAAAATAGCCATCAGGACGTAGAACCGCCCGCCCATATGGGCGGGAAAGATGGTATTCCCCCGCACCCGAACATCGAGGGTCCCGTCGCGGGCTTCTTCGAAACAGTGCGATTTGTCGCGATGGGAGGTGTAGACTGTGACGGGGTGGCCGCGCGATTGTAGCGCGAGAGCCACGTCGATGATTAGTCGTTCCGCGCCACCGATGCCGAGATCGGGGTGGATGATGGTGATTTTGGCGGGTTTGGCGGTGGCCATGGTGCTTTTTTGGGGGTGGAAGGTATTTCGGGAAGAGGTTAGGTGAGAACCTCTGGCTGACGAGGTATTGGGGGGCGCATTGGTGGTGTGGGTTGGAGGTGTTGGTGGTGAAGACGAAAGAGACACGCGGCCGGTTGGACATTGCGTCATGTGATGCCCATGCCGGGATTAAACAGACAATGCGGCACAGGTGGTAGCATTCTTATACAGAAAATACGAAGGTCAATTTTAGACTGGTTATTCTCATGACTATTCTTAATTGCTGTCTAGGTATATGAATAAGCGAGACCAAGAAAAGCATAAATCTACCTCGGTCAAAGATAAAAACATCATACCAACAATTCCAAACGATGCGAAAAAGTTACGCTGGCTGCCATGCTAGACGCCTGCAAAAGTGGTCTAAAAACACATCAAGGTCGAGTATGGTCAGGGTAGTCAAAATGTACAATCACGGGCCATACTTAAAAGGTCATAAAGTCAGAATTCATCAAACAGGTCGAAGCAAAAGGCCAAGATGCACGAGGGAAACAAAGGCCGTGAAGGAAATACACACAAAAGAAGTGAAGGTATATATCAACGGGAAGAAGAGGGGGAATCGACGTCGAGTTCATGATACTGTGTGGACTAAACATCGCAACGCAAAAGGGCATAGAATCAATCAGACGTAGACACACTCGCTGTATAGCGTGGTCGCGTCTAGAAGCAGTTGAGGGTGCTCTTCTTCTTCTTCTTATTGAGCGCGTTCATGCGCTCCTCGAGTTGCGCGCGGGCGGCTTCAGCCTCCCGACGAGCATTTCTCTCCTCTTCGACGGCCTGCAACGACAGGCGCTGAGAGGCGCGCTCCTTGCGGAGTGTAGTCATTTCTTCTTCCAATTCTCGGGCCTTCTTCTTCCACGCATCGCAGTCCGACTTGACCTTATTGCTCTGCGCTTCGAGGTCTCCGAGGGCTTCTTCCAGGGTTGCAGTCAGCTGCTTCTCGGCGTTAAGATGCTTCTCGATGGTACGAATGCGGGCCTCTTGATCCTCGACAATCTGCGTGTTCGCCAGGTCCTTGCTAGCGTGGCGGGAACTAGGAGGGGAGATGCTGCCGTTGCCGTTGGCGGCAGAAGCGATGGACGGCAGAGGGGGCAAGGGAATCGCGGGAGGAGGCGAAGGTAGGGAGGTTGCTGACGAGCTCTTACGGAGGTTGGACGTGATCGAGCTGCTGCGGTCATGCGAGCTGTCCTGATTCTTGATTTGAAGCTAAAAAGCCATTAGCACTGATAACATGCCGCATCGTCATAGTAAACTTACCTCAAGCTGCTCGATCCGCAAGCGGTACGTTTCGATATCCTTCTCGTAAGTGGCGATCTTCACCTTGGCGTCCTCCAAAGCCTGGTCGCGCTCCTGTTGAATGACGGAGAGACGGTTGTGGTGTTGATCGAAGCTGTTGGTGATCTGTTCTTCCAGCTCCTCCACCAAGCGGACACTCTTCTCCTTTTCGGCCTTGACCTCCGCAATGATCGCGTCCTTCTTCTTGACCTGCTCTTCCTTCTGTAGCAGAGTATCCTCGAGTGTAGCGACCAACAGAGCTAATTCGTTCACCTTGGCTTCTTTGCTGGAGTTGCTCTTGACAAGCTCATCCAGACGGCTATCATCAGATCCTCTCGTTTCAATTTGCTTGCGGAGATCCTCATTCATATCCATGAGCTCGGAATACTTGTCAGAGAAGTACTGCTTCTGTGTCAAAACCTCCTGGATCTGGTCTGCCATGTTGTCTGCAGTGACATCCGACTTGAGAAGGTTGGAGACCATATTGATCATCTTTGTCAGCTCATCCCGCGACTCTACAATCTCAGATCTCAGAGTCTTCATCGCCTCGTCATGCTCCAAGTTGATCGCAGTGAAACGCGATTCGTAACCAACCTGCGCCGCAGCCGTGGCCCGGGCTTCCAGCTCAGTGATCTCCTGCCTGTGTGATTCCTGCAGAGACTCCAGGTCCTTCTTATATGAGTCAGCCAGGGACTTGTGGGCCTCGATCTCCTTCTCTAGCTCGGCCACATGAGACTGGTGCACTTCAACTGCATTACTGTCGTTGTCTTTTGTAGCGATGGCTTCGGCCAATTGTTGCTGTGCTTCGCTGTATGACTTCTCAAGAGACGTGATTTTCTCGAGGTGGGCTGCGGAAGTTGCCTTGTGTTCGTCGATAACATGGTTCAACTTGGCGACGAGCTCTTCTTGTTGGGCTCGTTCGGCCTCCAACTCCCTAGCAGCGGCCTCCTTTGACGCAGATGCTTCGCCGGCAGCCGCCTGTTCGGAACGCATGGCATCGATAGACGCCAAAGCATGGTCAAGCTCGGCCAGCGTCGCGCTCAGCTGCTCTTCCGACGACTGTAGGGATTCAACAGCGTTCTGGTGCTTGCTCTTCAAATCCGTCACTTCGCCTGCAAGAGCAGTAATCTTCCGATCCCGCTCTTCAGCGCCTGCATCTTGGGCTTTAGCAGCTGCTTCCTGGGTCTTAAGGAGGCTCTTCAATTCTTCGATCTCAGCGAGAAGCTGCTTTTCTCGGGTGTCGTGGGCCTCCTTCATCTCGTTGATGATATTCTCCTGCTGCACCACCTGGTCACGCAGCTGAGAAACTAGTCCCATGTCGACCGAAGGTGCACCCCCCTGCAAGCTTGACCTCTCGCGAGTAAGTCCAGAAATAATGGTAGATTTCATTTCCATCTCTTTCTTGACACTCTGGTTTTCGGCCTCGAGGGACTGAATTCGCTCCATGCGGTTGTGTAGCTCGTGCATAGCCGAGTCGAGGTGCACTTCAAAGTTCGTCATCGTATCGGGGCGACTGTCGAATTCCTCAACTGCAATATTACGCAAGGCGGCTAGGGAGCGGTGAGCCCGATCGACAGTGCCTATCAGACTTTGGCTTGTCTTTCGTCGGATCACGGGGGTCTTAAAGCCTGGCGTGGTCGGCGGTGAGGCACTCTTTGATCGCTGTAATTCAGCTTTGAGTGTCTCGATGAGGCTGAGGGTTCCTTCATGCTCCGACTGCAATTGGGCATACTTCTGCGACATAATACTAACACCTTCCTGATGTTCCGAGAGCAGCCGACGCATCTGTTCGACTTCTAGGGCTTTCGCCTCCTCTAGCGCCCGAGTGTCGACGTGGTCCTCCTGGGAGGCCAGATCATTGCTCATATTAAATGAGACGCGCGAAGAAGCAGGCTCCCCGGCCGAGGATAACTCCGAAGAGAGTGATGGCGAGGACGACAGTCGTTCTCCATCCTTCAAGCCGGGGGCCTTCGCATCCCCTAAAAAAGACAGCGGACGAGAAGGGACATCTATGGACAAGTCTTGAACATCGGAGGCTGGATGAAGCGCGTCGTCCGCGGCATCCCGCTGGAGCTCCGCAAGGGCTTTCATAGCCTGCTCATACTTGGCCTCGAGGCTTTCGTATTCACTCACGGTCGTTTCGTGTTGCATACGCAGGTCGAAAAGCTCTTGCGTAACCGTCTCAAGCTTATCAGCAACGACCTTAGATTGGGTCGGGCTAGAGGCTCGGCTTTCAAGACCATTTGCCTCCTGTTCCAAGCGGTCGGTAGCTGATTCGAGTGCCTTCAAGTCAGTGTCTTCCGTTTCAGCAGCTGGTTCTCCCTCTACAGAGGCTTCCTTTTCGGTCTCCGAAGCTGGTTCAGCCAAACCTTCATCAGACTCGGGAATGGCGGTTTCCACCGCCTCAGTCAAGACATCGAGGGAAAGGGACGTTGCCCGAGTACGAGGATTGTAAGCGCCCTTGGCAGGAACTGGTGTGTGAATCTCAAGCTCTTCCTGAGAATGCTCCCTCTGGGTACCGTTTTGTTGGACGTGGTCGAGCTCGTATAGGAGGTTATCAAGCTTGCCTAGGCTACGCTGGCGCTCAATGACGTGCTCCAGGCGTTCCATCTCCCGCTGGATCAACTCCATATCTTGGTCTGCTTCCGCCAAACGCTCCTCTAGTGTGGAAATGTAGTCTTCACAATTTGCTTCGCTTTCACGGGCACGGCTCAGCTCTTTGCGCAGTTCTGACACAATGGCCGCTTGCTTTTCTTCACCAGTGGACTGTCCGTCGAGTCGAGATTCTAGCTCATGAAGATAGGTTTCTGTGCTGTTCTCACGATCAAGGAGCTTTTGGATGCGAGACTGCAATTGGGAGTTGACGGTTTCAACGTATGCGCACTTGGTCTCGCGCTCTAGAAGGGTACTTTCCGTCACAGAAAGGGAGGATCTGGTGATGGACAAAGAGGACTCGAGGCTCTGGATGGTCTTCTCGTACTCAAGGACGACTTGCTCGATCGACTCCGCAAACGACTGCGACCGCTTGAGTCTCTCGACAGAACTCTTCCCGACCAGACTGGCCACGTCCTCGGGGTCCGTCTCACCAGCTTGTTCCGAGTCCCTGGCGATCTCTGAGATTAGCTTTGCGTGGCGCTGACTGAGCGCATTGTAGCTCTCTTGGACATCAAGTAGCTGGTTCTGAATCTCGAGTTCCCTCTCATTCTGCCGATCCGCCCGATCCTGTGGGGCGGCGCTTCGACGGCCGTTCTCTTCCGCGTTACGGAGCTGCTGACGCAAGAAGGCGACCTCGGCTTTCAATCGTTCGATGACTGCGTGCTTGTCGCTTTCGTCGGCAATTTGTTGAATGCGAGGCTTGCTCTGGATTGCTCTGGCTCGCTGCGCGTACTGGACCGTGTTCACAGTTTCACTGAGATGGAACTCTGCAGGGTTAACACAAGCGATCATGTACGTATAGGCATTGCCACCGAGCGAATCTTGGAGCAGACGGGTGAGTTTGGAGTCGCGATAAGAAACGTGAGCACCGGCCTGGCGAGAAGAAAGCTGTGAAATGACCTTCCCCAATGCGGCAAGACCGGCGTTGATTGAGATACCCTCCCTGGCCCGTTCTCCGGACGCACCGGTGTTCTTCAGTCTCTCACTTCCGGCCAAGTCGACGAAATGGAGCTTGCTATCCACCATGACCGTGGCATCGGAGCCAGACATCATCTCCACTGGCATCGACATCCGCTTGTCCTTGGGCGTCGGAGTGACCCCATTCGCCGACTTCCGTTGCACGAGGTTTAGACTGAACACGGCGTGCGATCGAGAAGACTTGGCGTTGATCGCGGTAGAATCCGTCTGTCGAATGGAGGAACCGAAGCTCAAAGCGCCCATCAAATCCTCGACTGAGTTGATGTTCACCTGATGTAAGCCAGTGAGAATGATGCGGCCTTTTGCATCCTCACGGATGGTGACCGTACCACGGTCGCTCTGAGGTGTTGAATCGGGGACCAGAAGGTCTCTTAGGTGTTCGTTGTAGATCTGAAAGCGTCAGTATCTTCTGGTCGGGAGCAGTCAAATATCATATCGATGTCTCATACTTCGACGTAAGTGGCTTTCAACTGCCAGTTCTTCTCGGCGCTAGCCTTTCCGAAGCTGGAGGTAGAGCTGATAGAGTATCGAGAAGGGGTACGAAGGCCCGTACCGCTGTTGCGATTTGGTTTCGGTGGCCCCTCCAGCTTCTCGAAGAGCAGTTGAGCAGCGCGGGGAATTATTCCTGTGCCTGTGAGTCGTGTGTGCTGAATTGCGTGCTTTCCTTGTGGGGTGGGGGAACCAACCCATAGATCTCGGGTCATGCTGTTCGCTAGGTCCCGAAGTTCCCATCGTATAGGACTTTCCCGCGCCGGACTGGCCATAGGCCAGTATGGAAACATTGTAACCCTGCAAGAACGAGCTCACACTCTCGCTCAGGTAATCCCAGACACCGTCCTGGTCGACCGTTTCGGCGAACACTCGATCGAAAACAAACAACTTCCGGCCCTGAGGAACGTCAATGGCGACACTTGTTGGGTTCATGACATGGACCATTGGGCGCTGGAAACGTTGGGGGACCAATTCGTAACCGGGGTCATCTGGCTTCAGCGGCGGGCGTACACGGACGGCTATAAAACTGATTAGCATGCAGAGCAACAATAATGCCGTGCACGTGGGCCGTTTGGAGCGCCGAGAGGAGCGGTATCCGCAATACCGCATGCAACCCAGCTCTCCTCCAAACGGTCGCAGACCGTGCACGCTGTGAACAAAAAGAACACACCAACTTTGACCGCAGTCTTTCCATCCTCATCCGATGCTCGACTTCCTCCGCCATGTTTACTGCTCATGCTCAGGCGACTGGTACTTCTGGGGGTACGCATGATGCCGCTAAAAGGACGCTGGGGCGCATCCGTTGGTGATTCAGGCTGAGAGCCCGTCATGGCCCTTTATAAAATTTATTCCGCACCAGAAGGGAACTGGTTGGGCACAGAGATCGATGAATTGCGGACCGGAGTGGATGATTGGTCAGGGAACAGAGGCAGGCGTCATCAGTGACCGATCAGTGCTCCGGAATGTTCACGCTCAGTGGTGTCTTCTTGTTATTAGGATTATTATTTATCGGGGGGGTCGTCGCGTGAGTTGGCGGCCTGCGGCACTCTGCGACGTCAAAGCGGTCTCTAACCTGCAGGATCGATGAGGCGGACGGTTCCTGGCGAAAGAGACTATTGATTAGAAATGTGGACAAAAAGGCGGGAGAGGCAGCGAACAAGTGAAAGAAAAAAAAGGATAGTTACAGGAGAGCGTCCGACTACGGTGAGAACAAAGGGAGAGAGAGAGCAAGCAGATGTCACTGAGGGAGACACCGAGAAATGAGAGCAAGCAAGTAGCACTGGCACCCACCACGGAGGAACTGAAACGACGGCAGAAGGAGTGACAGGCTGGGGGGAGAAGCTCCAGGCCGAGAGAAAGGTAGGTCAGTATGTACACTCCTGGGGTCCGAGAAAACACCCAGGCGGGAAAAGCTGTCGCGGAGGAGAGGATGGAAGAACTCCTGAGCGGCGCGCAAAGTTAATTGGTGGCATCAAGGTTGAAGCGAACCGGGATGGGGCTGGGCTGAGGCGCTGGACCGAATCGGCCGCTTGACTGCGGTGGAAGGTGAAAAGTGGAAAGTGGAAAAGGAGGGCCGGCCAGCAACGGCGGCGCGGTGAATCATGGGCCTAGAGAGGGGTTCATTTGAAGGCACGGGGACCGATCTTGAAAGTTGAAACAGCCATAAAAAGCAGCCGAATAAAAATAGGTACGTAGCAGACGCGGAGCCCGTGGTTCCTGCCCATCTCCCACTGACGACCCAGCAATAATACATAAGACTAGGAGGTCCAGACTGCATGACACCCACAGCAAGCTGAAGAACAATTGTCAGGCACAGGGACTGCAATGGCGATGGCCCTCAGGCACAGGCCGACCTGTATGGATTTCCGGTATGGCGTACGACGCCAGGGGGAAACCCACTCTCCAGGTCAAACCCACCCGCCACCAGCCCAGCTTTCGGGGTCCAGAACACACCACAATATTCTGTCTACCTGCTATCTAGTAATGCTCCGTACAAACTCCGTGATCGTGCCCCGGACTCTCTAATCATGCGATGATACGATCAGTGGCAATTGCATGGGTCGCAAAAGAAACCATATCAGCTTCCAAATCAGCCCCATCGGTTCGACACTGAACTGCATTACGACTCGCGGGCAGTTCCCGTATTGCCGACCGCGCTGTTCCACGGTTCGCGGCGGATGGATGCAATTCAGGAACCGAACGGAGTCCGGAGTGCCACCTTCCACATGGGCATTGAACTCCATTCTTCGGTCGGGTGTGGCTCTTGTCAGCTTTAGACGTTTCAGGCTTGCTGAGAATCGGCTGAAGGCTCGACACCAATCTATCTACATCTAACCAGGGCTCGTCCGTTTGCGCTGGGTGTCTACGGGCATCACCCGGCCGAAACTGCAGTAGCCGGATTGTCACCCACAGGGCAGAAAAAGAAACGAAAAGTGCAAAATTATCAATGAAAGAAATGACGATGAACAAAAAGCAGAGAAGCCCGAAAAAAAGCAAGCAAAAAAGGTTCCCCAAATAGCCAAGCGTAGACCAGGCGACCAGGATGAGAACCTAACCTTAACCCATCATCTCGTCGACACATGCAATCAAGCGGGAAGACACATCTCCTATCGTCCCTTTCCATGCCCACCCCTGACGCCAGTGTCAGATGTTTTACCTTCTAGATTAAACTACTGGAGACCGTCAAAAATGGCCGTCAAACTCAGGAACCTTCTGCATCGGAACACCGCATCGCATACGCATTTCACCCCCAACCCGGCAAGTCTAGCAAGCAAGCGAAATAAGGAACAACTAGTCGAACCTCCAAGCCTGCACGGTCGGGTAGGGACATGAGCGTCCAGTGCGCACCCTCCAGTGTCAGAATGGAGAAGCTTGACCCGCGGGTGTTACAGTCTGTTCCTTGAGTGCGGGTCAGCATGGTGCCATGGAGTGCGTGCGACAATCGATACCCATTTGGAGGGTGGGTTAATTGGCGGTCCAACTGTCGAGTGGACACCACCTAGAGACTTAGCCAGTTAGCCTCCACTTGCGATTGATGAAGGCTACTCTTTAGCAGCCCGTCATTAACGGTCGAGCGATCGCAGTGGAAGAGGAAGCGATTAGCATGTGTCTTCGGCCAACAGGCTACTGCTAATAACGCATAGCATCCTTCATCTCGGTCGACCTACGTAAGTCCCGGCCGCCTATCAGCATGGCCCCGCGAAATTAATCTGGACCCCCAATATTAGGCACAGCCAGCAACCCCCGACATGAACATGGATGCTGACCGGAGCATGGATCATGGATGTTGTCTTGTTCTTGTACTTTGGTTGATCGATCGGCCATTATCCAGGCCATATACTGTCGAAGTTTGGCTCAAGCATCAGATTGCCTGATCAACACAGAAAAGGAGCAGCTGATACTTCTCGGATCTCAAACAAAGTGGTCATTATCATCCTGTAGCCCTGCTGCTCGTAATTCGATAACTTTGGCCTAGCGCATCCTATCTGAGGTGAGATGCAACAGTGTTCAAGCTGTCCGGAAGAATCGTAAGGGAGCTTTTATGCCTAAGGCCACAACAGCGCTTCCGCAGTATGCGCTAAGCCATATCAGGGAAACCAGGCTATAGTCCACAGAAGAACACTCATGACGAACAATCATGACTTCTACTCATTACTAGACGACACAGCAGCCACATCAGCTTTGAAGTCATACCTTATTCCTTATCTTGGATAACCCTTGCTCTGTCTAATGACACACATATACACTTTGTACCTACGCACTGAGTTTATATACTACTTTTATGGATTGTGAGAGAATCCATGCACGCCCCACAGTGTCCATTCTCTTCTGTCGATATGATCATCCAGATGACATCAGCTCAGTGGTTCTCGACTTTGTTATTACTTCGTCCAAGTTTCTAAACACATCCATACTGACAACTGTGGCTACGACAGGCTTTCAAGTTCTCATCCGATCGTACCAACGGTCGTCTCGCTGTGATCTGGAAGAGTCAGATAGAATACGCAGCCATACCTCGAGAGCAACATTACATCTGGACCAGTGCTTTCAGCCACAAAAACTGATTTGTTTTGCGTACGATAATTGCAATGCTTTGTTCAGCATTCAACCAAATTCGGGCCTCAAGCTGCTACCATGCCTGGCACTTGTTCCGAAGAAGCCTTAAGCGAGTATTGACATAACCAAAAGTGAATTGGACCAGGCTCAAGGCAATACACCCTGTCTATCAAATACTTAAATATGCAGAGACGTGCCACCACCCGCGACGACCGTGTGGACTGGAGAGCATGCATCGGATGTCTGAGGACTGAGAAATCCCACCGTGAGAGGCACACAAGTATCTTCACCCTCCATCGAGTTCAGAATGAGAAGGGAAGGTGGAAGCGCCATACTAGCACTCATTGGCATCTTCCCCAAGGTGACCGTCCGGATAGACTTGACAAACTTTGGACTCCTGAGAAGACGCTGCCTCATCCAGTCAGTTCGAGAGTTTATATAAACCATCCGCTGAGGCTTTGGATGGCTAGGCCAGCCACCACATCTACGGAATACACTATACTGAGCAGTCTCTGTACTCAGTCGAGAAATACAGTTCTTATTCATCCTGTATATATACGCACAGCTTGGTATAGCGACATAATGTCCAAATATGGGAAAACTTCGGCATCAACTTTCACATCATCAAATCAGGGCGAGGTGGATGCCTGATCTCCAGCCAAGGTAATGGATTGACCGATCTAGCTATCAATAACCGGGCAGTCCACAAAATAGGATTTAACGGCTCTATCATTGCCGACGGACCAGGGGAACCTTGATGAGGGAGATAGGACACGTCGATCGGATACCACTAAGCGGGGAAGTCTCGTTCCCCGTCAGTATTCTCCAGCTTCATATCTGATATTCTGTGGTGGGATATCCAATATAAATGATTGCTTCCATACAACGTCAGAATTTCTAAATATAAGTACTCTCGACCGTTAACCCACTTTTCCGCACAGGCATGGTCCTCCACGATATGTGAAAGAACGCCATCCCTCAATTCCCTCAAAAAGATTACTAAAATCATGCTTACATACCTATCCAGGACATACTTATACACAAAATCTATCAAATTATCTGAAAATAACCCCCAATAGTGCACTTTCCACGCGCCTATCCCAATGACATTCCTCCACGACCCGAAGAATGATTCGTTGGCCCCTGAATCCAACGGCCGATCTTCAGCCGGCACAGATGATCCAATCCAGTAAGGATCGTCCAAATCCCCACATCACCCCGATCCCATCGCAAACATTCATGCTTAGATTTATAGGTCCGGACGGGGATTATTCCCAGCCATTCGAAAGGATGACACCATTTTCACTAAACAGCTTGCTCCGTACAAAAAAATTCAATCATTGAAGTCTAATGTCTAAGAACATCAAGTATGTCCAAGTCCCAAGAAAGTACTGTCAACCCCAACTACAAACTAGTAACTAGCTGACAACAGTGGATCCCGTCACATCCATACTCCATCCGGACCCGATAAACCCCAACCTCCAACGATCAACATTGTCAACCACTCTCGCCCATCCATCTAGACTCGAACCTCACAAGCCTCGTATCGAGTCCCCAGCTCAAACACACCTAACCATACAAATCCACCCCAACTTTTCCCATGAAGAAGAAATACCATAATCCGTGAATGAAGAACGACAACACAAAAACACAGACATATATACGAACCCACTCGCATATAGAATTCATGCAAGAAGTAAGGTAGGGCGAGAGGCTGCCTGCAGGGATATGGGATCGAGATCTAGAACCAAGATTTGTGTACCTACTGTGTACTCGGTGGTGTGCACGCTAGATCTGCCGGAGAATATGTAGACTAGCCTATGCAGCCACATCGCTACCAAGGCTCAACTAGTATTGTACCCGCGGATTCACCGATCCCTGACGAAGAAAGCCGTGTTAATATCGATTGACGATGGGATAGATCGCATCTTATCTATGATCAGTCGAGTCGTTTCAGAAGTGGCGTTTTGTCATGCAAGGGGTAGATTGAACACAGAACCATGTAGATAGCATACCTGCGCCGAGGAGAAGAAGCGCTACGATGGTTCTGATTGGCTGAAATAAACTCGGAGAGTCGTTTGTATGACTGGTGAATTCTGTAAGGGGCTGTATGAAGGCTTATATGGGAAAGGTGCGTCTTTACTTTGGAACCGTGATCTAATTGGCCGACGGGGACTCGTGAAGGGCCTCCTGAAGAAACTGTACTGGAGTATGTATAAGGCAACGATGAATCTGCACCGACGAAATGGCACCACTCACCATCACCTTCTTTTCTAACTAGCAACCTTCCTTGATCGACTAAGAAGGAGGTAATAATACAAACATACAACACGATACCCTGACATTTTCAGCCACCTAGCATCCGTCCGGACTTCCTATAAGTTATCTCCCACTAGACCATATTCCCCTTCTTGACTTTGCATGATGACATCCCCTTCTTCCGACTCCTGCCATTCCGGTTCTTCATCGGGTGGGCTGACAAGTTCCCATGGCAGCTCAATCTCCGCAGGCAGAAAGAAGACAGGGTACCCTTTGACCTGAGCCTCCGTGTACTGAAGCCCACTCAGACACAAACACCCAATGAATTGCCACAGCCTGTGGCACTTGTTGTACATAGTACCTCGCGGAATTCTCACTTGCATATCGTTCAGAACATGACGTATTTGCTGGTAATATCCTAGCGAGTTCATGTTGCGCCCATTCAGGCCAGTAACATTATTTACCGTGTCTGTCAATTGTCTGAGCAAGTAGTTTGGAATTCGTCGCGGCTTCTGCACCGTCATAGTCTGGATAAAAGTGTGCAAAGCGACGTCCGCTTTCTCAATAATTTGCCGTTGACTCGCGACATGGTGGATCAAAGAGGCATATGCACTCGGGGTGAGCATACTCTCGGCGTGATGGAAGTCATGCCTTCCCCAGTATTGGGCCATTCCGATAAGATGGATGAAACATTCGCGGTAGAGCCGGGCACATTGGATATCTTGTGCCATTTTGGTATGGGTAAGGATATCATCGGTGAGGCCATCGAGGGGAGTGGTCGTAAGGGTCCAGGGTAGAATAATCTTTTCAATATATTCACGCACTCGAGGCACTGCTTGAAAGCGTATCCCTAGCGAGACCATGCGCCGCCAACCTCGGATGCCGATGTACGGTACAGGCTTTAGATACAGCGCTTGCAACAAACAATGAAACGTCTCAATGGCAGAAGGTATGCGTGCTTCTGGCAATGCCGGATAGTCGCGATAGTACTTCTGTGAAGACAACGACGAAGTGGTCAGCCTTCATCAGCGCTCAAAGACATAAACTAGTCTGACATACCGCCCCCTTTCGGTAGATTCCCCAACCGCCATCCTTCTCAGTTCTAGCCTCGAAATAGTGTCCGTGACGCGCAGGATACTCACCATGCTGCCGGTCTTTCCAGATCCGCGTGTGCTGCTTGAGTAGACTTGAATGCGTCCGAAACTCCTGTCCGAAGATGTTGATGTGGGTATCGGTGGGACCCTGCTCATGTGGACCGCAAAGGACAGGGACCCTGATGTTGCGCTCTCTCAATGACTTGAAGGGGTTGTCAGCGAAGATCTGGGCCAACTCCGGGACGATATCATCGGCAACTGCGGGGCTTAAACGAGGGATATCCATTAGTGATTCTGTGAGGTAGAGAACAAAGAGTTTAGTATATATTAACTATATCGATAGTAAAAAACGAGTGACCGATTGAAATGTGCTGGAGCTAAAAGGCAGGATAACCTGGCAGTCCGGGGATTAGTAGAACCATGGAATGGATGACCAGGCAGTCAGGATTTGGGAGCTGATTGCCTGTTTGAGTAGGCGGCGCCCTCAAGCTTTCCCTTTGCCGCTGCCATGCTTGACTGGGGGTACCTCGCTAGTTGTATCCCTAAGGAAAGATATCCAGACATCCAAGCGCTTTTGTGCGACGAACTGGCCTTCAGCGCACCAGCAATTGTGTATTAAATCTACCTGATCAATACTATATATACCACGGTATGGTATATCAATGGTTTGCCGGGACTTGATATCCATAGATGGCCCTTGGTAGAATTCCAAGTGTCTCTTGTATGCAACCAACAAAATCAACAGAGAAGTCGACGCCGCTGCAGTATCTCCGCAAGTACTTGGTAGCGTCCGGTTCCCAGGATGTCGCTGGCGTGCTGCTCGCCACAAGCACGTGTTGCAGGCGCTACGCCCCACGTGATCGTGGCGTTGTCAACCACTTTCTGCTGTCCAGTTCCAGGGAGTGGCTTCTCAATGGCTTTCGATCATGCACAATTTTATCCTTGGTCGCTAATATTGGAGTCACTCCTCGTCAAAATCAATGACATATTCGGGAGCTCGAGTATTAACTTGGATCTCCAAGATGTTGTTTATTCGAATCATTAAAGGGAAGGTGGAGGATAGAAACTCAGCGTGCAATCATCCTACATGACCCTTGTCAGACAAGGCCGAGAAGGATGATAATATGCTGGGTAACGGAGACCTTAGAAATGCCGTGGGAAGATGCCAAGTTTCAGGTACGAGTATTGCTGGGTAGGACAAATTTCAAGGTGAGGCATTTAGATACTATTGATTGAAAAAAAAACAATCGGAATGGCTTCAATGGTCCGGGAGACGCAGTATCAAAAAGACTGCTATCATTATTTGAAGCTACTCAGTAGATACCAGAAAACGTAATCTCGATAGACATAATGTCTGTGCACTCATATTGGGGTTTGTTAAGCCAAATCAGGGTGAAAACAAGAACGCCATCAGGGGTTACTGTGTTGCCCCTATAATCATTTTCACATATCATGATATCCACCTGAAAGAAGATTCGTTGATTAGATAAAGCGCATCTGGTTCCGATCGCACCAACAAAATGCCGTAAGTTATTGATAGCTATCTCCACGATGCAGTCCAGTCACCTACAACTCGTCGGACCGACTAGCAGATAGCGGGCCCTTCTTGACCATGATGGTCAGAACCTCGTAAAGAACGTCGGAAGCAGCCCTAGAAGGATACTAATTAGTCATGATGAAGAAACAAACAATGCAAAGTTGTCGTACATGGTGGAAAGTTCAGCATTTGTATCATACGCTGGAGCGACCTCTACGATATCCGCACCGATGAAGTTCAGCCCATCCAGTCCACGAATTATGGTGCGGAGCTCACGGGTCGTCCAGCCGCCTGTCTCGGGTGTCCCTGTCGCTGGCGCATCTAAATACCATCATTAGAAACACCACATGGATTATAGAGTCCAAGGACCTACAAGCGGGATCGAGAGTATCGATATCGATGGAGAGGTAAACAAGGTTCTCGGTACCGACCCTGTCCCTGATTTTCTTGATGATTCCTTCCGTTCCTATGATAGGATAAGTTAGTCGAGGACACCCATGTTGACTGTGTTTAGGTACCAATAGTATCAATCTCTCTGGCTTCAACGATCTCAAACCCGCAGTATCCGTCGTTCTCATAGTCGGAAGGACCGGAAAGTGTGGTGCGAATGCCGGCGTGGATATTAGTATCGTTCTTGAGCAGCCCCTCCATCGCTGCATGATAGAAGTAGGTGCCGTGGTTAATTGCGGCGACCTGGCTAGGTGAGCCGCCGAAGACCTTTGGCTTCCAGGAATCTCTGAATACGGTTAACAGAGGCTTTATCTAATGTTTGACAAACTTACAGGTGACTGTCAAAGTGAATGACGGTAACAGGTCCATACGCCCTGTTGATACTGCGCAGCAAGGGTAGGGTGATGGTATGGTCTCCTCCCAGAGTGATGATGCGTGGAAGGGTCTTGCCAGCCTTGGAGAACCCGTACTCATCGGCATTGGTGAAGGGCTTGCGCATCAAGACACTGTTGTGGCCTTCTTCAATCTGCTGAATGGCCCAAGCATTGTCATAGCTGCTTGTCTTAGTATAGTATTTTTGACTCTCCATCAGGGGAAGCCTACGATGTAACCGGAATATCTCCACAGTCCAATATCCTCAAGTCGCTGACGAAAGGGTTTGCTTGCAACGGCACATTGTAGCCACCACTAAAGAAATCTGGGTGAGCTCTAATATCACCGAACTTTGCCATGACAGAGTATGACATACTAGAGATTGAGACGGCGAGATCCTTGCCTGATTCCACTAGGCCCAAATCTTGCCCCAGGCCTATACGAAGTACCAGTGTCAAAGGGAGCACCTACACTCTATAATCAGTATCATGGAACTATAGTAGACAGTCGACATACCGATGAACGCAATGTCATATCTCTCCTCCTCGCTAGAAAGGCAAGGAAAATAAGGCAATCGGCCAAAGGTCGAGATACCGGAGAAGACGGAATCGGCCTGAGTTGTTAGCCAACCTGTAATCACACATTCAGAGGCATTCATTCACCTGAGTGCCACCGTCGCCAGGCAGCGTGTTGTACCACAATCTCTGATGCGGACCAGCTAATGGAGTCTGACTATGATCGCCATGGGCGGAGGCAATAACCGAGAGAGTCAGTAGACTCACAGCAAAATGATACATCTTGAGAGTCAATTAAGCCAAGGAGGAAAACAAGTCACTTCACTTGCAAGTGAGCGGGATTGAAGTTGAGCCCCGCAAGGAGGGGCTTGTTATAAGCTGCCATCTGCGGCTCTGCTTCTCGCCTTCCCCAATTCCCTCTGTTTGGGAACCACAGGCATCCTGCTCAACTCGGACGATTCTCGATCCCTACCAACGTTTACAGCCGGTATACAGAAAACTCTAGATGGCGCGAGCGGAAAACTGACGATATGATTGATGGTTCAATAGCCAGGTTCTAAGACGCACAGGTTCGATGACCAGTCATAGAACCCGAAACTCCTACTTCATCCACGCCTTCTCCCGCGACCTTCCATAACGAGTAGATGATTCGAGAAGGGCAGTGGGGGTACAACAATCTTTGACGGGGTATCCATACCGGAGAAGTACAAGCTGTGGTTAAAGCTCTTCGTGATATGGGTGGACGTTGGGCATTGGCCCGTCATTGATCTCCAACTGCTCCGATCCACGAAATAGGAAGGCCGGAGGAGAAGGCAGTGGATCTTTCGAACGGAAACCAGATTTCGCCAGCGATGTCGGGGACTAGGCTCATGCACGACTCTGATCCACCAGGGCTTATCGTATTGCTTGTGCCACGGAGATGGCGGCCGGCATTTCTTATCAGAAACGCCGATCTTGTGTTTTATCTAGGGTGCGGGGACGCTAGGTTTGCGAAACAACCATACAGCCTGGCAGAATTGCTACTATGTTGAGAGGGAAATATACAGAGCCAACGGTTTCAACGTTACTTCATACAATCACTCCATCGACCTTCCTATTACAGGTGCCAAATGGAGACCTGCATGGATTCAAGCATATTCTATACCTATCTATCACACTACGCTTCTGTCGTGGCACCATTGGTAGGACTTCCAGCCTCCAATCGATCATGGATGTCCATTCGCAGGAATGCCTTATCGACCTCCCTGTCCCAGTTACTGAAAGTCACAATCAACCACTCCAGCGCCCCCACAAGATACAACGCGATGCATTGTCCCACCCAAAGCCCCTTCAGTCCCCAACCATGGAAGGCCAACCAGATGCCCAGAGGCAGTGCACCGCAGTAGTAACTGACCAGGTTGACTAAGGCACCAACATGCTGTCTTCCCATTCCTCTTAGACTGCCACCACAGCTCCCGTTGAGGCCATCGGCGATCTGGAACAGTGCCACCCATGGCAGAACCTCTGCAGTGAGGCGTACAACCCTCTCGTCGGGGTTGAAGATTTTCGCAAACTCGTGTCGAGTGCCCATCAACACGGCCAAGACGGCACCTCCCAGCATCATACTCAGCCACGCCGCTGCATAGGCCGCTCTCGATGCGCCAGCTGCATCTCGGGATCCTAGCAGATTTCCGACGCGTGACGACGTGGCGACGCCTACACCAAAGGGAATAGTATTGAGAACTTGGTCTGCGGTCATGATGACGCTCTGTGCAGCCAACGGGATGGTTCCGAGTCTGCCAGCTGCAAGCGCCACTATCTCGAAGGCCCACCACTCGGTGCCAACATGCACCACGCCCAGAACAGCCAACCGGGCGAAAGTTCCGAGGTTCTGGAACGACTCGCGCGACCAACCACCCCAACACTCGGAACCGGCAACAAATCGGGAATAAAGAATAAGCAGTACAAAAGACAGCCAGTAGGAGATGCCCATGGCAAACGGCGCACCGAGCAATCCTAGTCGAAATGTGTAACAAAAAAGGTAATTGAGCAACGCATTGAACGGTACCGTAACCAGCAGGACATATGTACCAGGACGCATGATACCTACATACAACCATTAGCACAGCTTTTAGGGAACAAACGACCCCGAGGTCTACGTCAAGGAGCAGAAAATGGCTTACCCTGTGCCTGAAGATATTTCTTCATAGTCTCGAAATAGACGTACCCCAGGCCGCCAGGGATTAAGCATGTCAAGAAGCGCGCACTATCTCTTGAAAGCTGGGCGTCTTGACCGAGCATGAGAAATACAGGCTCGGAGCAAGCCCACAGAATGGCGACAGGCACATAGAACAGCCCAAGGACCAGAAATCCTCGCTGTAACAGGATACCTAGATCGTGCTTATTCGAACTTCCAGTGAATGTTGACGAGGCGAGCGTGTCCATCGCGGTCGTCCCTCCCAGGGCGATCATCCATGCAGTGACCATGGCAAACATGAGTGAAAAAGCGGTCGTAGCCAGATTTTCAGGTGAAGTCCTTCCCACAATCAACACTGAGGTTGTCTGGAGGCTGTTCTGGAGTGTGTATGCTAGGATGACCGGGACAGAGTCCTTCAGCAGCCGGAAAAATTCAGCCAAGAAGAGCGCACAGCTTCTCGTGCTCTCGCAGCCATGATCATCGTGCTTATAGAGCAAGGCGGTATGCTCTGTAGGCCTCTCTTGTGAATCCATAGAAGGGCTCTTTCTGTACCCAGGGAGAAAGTCATACATTTTGGGGTGGGAGGTATGTAGGGGCTCGGCACTTCACAAAAGATGGATTCCTGTCTATTTGGAAGCATGATGTGGATATACGACAGTATATATGGCCCCCCTAACTTGGACAATTTGGCTGAACATTTCCGTCAGAAACAGTATCACCCCTTGCCTCGAAAACATGGCCGGTTAACCCAGTGTACGGCATCAGCACAGACCAGACAGATGATCCACCATTAGCTCGTCTAGACCCTAGAGCCGAACCACAGACCACAGACCCACTTATCGAGCTAAATCGTGACGCATGTCAGCACAAAATTATCAGGAGGGGCTGTCTGCTTCTCAAGATATTCACCTATTAGGGAAGATGTGGGGCGGGACTTACACTTTGAAGGCACGATGATTGCTTTTGCCTACATCGGTCTCTAGATAGCGATGCCACGGTATGCGGATAGATACATTCATACGATGATTGTTGGAGTGACAATTCGGTGCCCAAATTTGCAAAGATACGGTTTGTACCTTATCTACCCCGATGTATTCAACAAGATATCTAGTAAAGGTGATCAATAACAACCTTTTTGACTGGAACCGGAGACATTTGGTTCCCACAAAGCAGAGAATGTCTGACTGGCGCACCTTGGTGTCTACGGGTATCTAATTGCAGGGTAAATCGATCCAGGTGATAACTAACTCGGCTTTCGGAGGGAGGTAAGCGATAAAGCAATGGAGTACAGTGAGCCCAACTTGAACATCAAGTTGTCGGCCTAGTAAGGGGTAAGCTGGCGCCATTGCCCCCTATCTCTCTAATGACACGGGCTCCGACGGCCAGCAAGCACTGGGTCCGGTTGACTGCCCAATGCTTGCCAATAAGGGAGGAAAAGAAAGTACTAAGCAATACTAGGCCATGTTATAGGGAGCTTATCGAGCCTCTGGCCGCTCCAACAAATTCCTCCAATCAAGACACGGACCATCCCAACTTGGAATGATCCGGGGCAGGGATCAACCCTATAATGAAGTCATTAAGAGCCATGATCTGACAGGTTCAGGACCCCGTCTTACAGCCTCCTATTCTCGCCTTATTACCGATGATAAGCACCAAAGATATCGTTCGGCCATTTGATTTGATGAAAACCTGAGGTTTCGACTGATAAGCCCCGTCCTCGTCTGCGATGCATCACCACCAAGCCACACATACTCATGGACTATATATGCACATCAGCCAAGGCAGACTGGCATGATATCGCCATACAGCATACACATGGAGAGCGAACACTGGACACAATGAATCTCAAGCCCCGTCCCCAGTCAAACATCCTGACCGTCTCGGAAAAGCGGTCTCAGTCCGAGTCGGTTTCTGACACAAACAACCTCCCCATCGAGCAACATGGCATACAAGTCCATCCCACATCCACTAGTGATCCACTGGATCCCCTCAATTGGACCCGTCTGCAAAAGCACACAATCTTGGGGATTGTCATGTTAAAGTACATCCCTCAACTCACGTGAAGCTCTAAGATGCTAATCCCGAAAACAGATACTTTCTCTTCACCTACATCACCACCACCACTGTACCCTCTTTCACTGAAATCCAACTTCAGTATGACATCAGCTATTCCCAGGTAAACTGGACCGTCGCGATCCCGGCCCTGGGCCTAGCTACCGGGCCACTCTTCTGGTCCTCACTTGCCGACATCTACGGGCGTCGTGTAATATTCATCGTCGGGACGACCATCGCGCTCGTCTCCACAATTGGTATCACAGTCGCAAATACCTATGGTGGGTACATGGCTGGTCGATTTTTCCAGGGCTTTGGTGTCAGTCCGGCGTCGACGGTAGGGATGGCAGTTGGTGAGGGTTTTTCTAATCAACGCGAAGTAAAAGACATGCTAATGACCCAGTGACCGACCTCTTCTTCGACTATGAACGCGGCCAAAAGCTCGGTCTATGGGTCCTCGCTATCGACTCAGGGTTACTTCTTGGACCAACCTGTACGTCCAACCCTTCCCATCAACTCTATCTCTAGTAACAAACCCAAACCCATCAAAGTCGGCGGCTTTCTCAACCTCGTCAGCGCCCAATGGATAAACTGGTTCAACGCGATCCTCTTCGCTACGTTGCTAATCCTCGAACTCACACTCCTGCCTGAAACCCTCTACCCGCGCGCATTCATGCTCCAACGCATGCCAACCACCACCGAGAAGCCAAGCCAAAGCGTCCCAGATACCGAAGGACCAGAGCTCAAACGCACCAAATCCCTACCATTCCTCAACATCCACCCCATCCCAGGCCTGTCTCATCCACCAATTTACTCATCCCTCACCCGGTTCTTCCTTACGTTTCGCTTCCCTGTCATTCCTGTAGCAGTGCTCGGATACTCATTCACCTGGTACTGGTGGATCATGTCCGTGATCACGATGGTGCCGTCTGCGTATGCGACGGACTCGCCTCTCATCCAGGGACTGCTATTTCTGGGTCTTTTGATTGGAACGTTGGTGGCGGAGGTGACCTGCTCGGGACGATTGAGTGATGCTATCGTGGGGAGGTTGGCGAAGAGGAATGGCGGGATCCGGGTTCCGGAGATGAGGCTATGGTTGGCGTATCCGGCTATTGGGTTGACGGTTGGTGTGTATCCCCTGTTTTAGATGTAGTGTGGAGATGAGACTAATATATGGAGGTGGATTAGTGGGTTTGATTGTTTGGGGTGTTAGTGTTGATAAAGGTTATCATTGGATTGTGGGAGAGGTGGCTTTTTTTCTATGTGAGTATATTCCGTCCCCTTCGGTTCTCGGCGTCTTAATCTCTCGAGGAGGAGAGATTGTATAGAACCCTACTAACCAGGCCATGCACCAGTTTCTGCTGGAATTCAAATTGGGAATACTGTAACAAGCAGCTACATCATAGATGCTTATCCGCTACAGTCTACTAGCGTGGTGATTTTCTACGCAGTGTTTCTTAACTTGAGTGCATTTGCGAATCCGGTATGTAACCATGTGTTTATCGTGATTAATTTATATGACATTGCTAAGACAACCTAGTTCTTCATCGCCCAGTGGGAAGCTGCAGTCGGCTGGACTTGGACTTTCACCACACAAGCACTCATTACTCTGGTGGCTGGAACGGGTGTATTCATCTCGTTGCATGTGTTTGGGCCGTCATGGAGGGCCAGGGCGGTGCCGGGGTGGGTGAATCCAGAGTTTGACTCATGATTCCTCATGTAGAGCTTGATTGATCCCATGGTTGAACAGATGCCAGATACCCGCTATCTGATTATTCACGATCCCTCATTGGCGATGTTGGTGTACCTTTATATAGAGTAGTCAGACCAGCTTCAGTGACAGCAACAAGGCTTTCATTCCGTTCAACAACATTGGTCTTACTTGAGGCAGGGCTAGACAAAAGGTAACAATATCTTATCCAATCAGAGAAACCCATCCCGAATAAGAAATCAAATGGTTCTCGATGATACCTGCATCCTCAATGGTGGAAGCTCAACATTGACCTCCTGATATAGCATAATTCCTCTTTGTGAATATGCGTCCCATTCTGGATCCTGCAATTCGAGAAAATTCCTATCAATATGATTAGGGCCCTTTCTTCGCCGTGGATCCCCAGCCTCGTTGTAGCCGATTGACCCCGGCCACGTTGTATCACTATAACGCTGGGCACTATCGTGACCGCTAGACAATCCGAGTTTCCTTGCAATTCTGCTTCTGAGCACTGCTTCGAGAACGACTCGCATTGTGGGAAGACAAGTGCATACGATCCCAGTTGATACCTCGATAACCGACCACATGAATCCTGGAGCATAGTACCATGTTATGTCTCTTGTTTTTAGGACGAGCATCGAGAGAAATAGGCGAGCCACGGCTGCGCCGCAATCACTTGAGGAAATACGTACATGTTAGTTGAATCAAGACTCTGAACAAAGGACAGGAGAGGGAGCCTTACAACAGACCCAACGCAAAGATCAAAGATAAGGCTACCTTCTGCTGTTTTGGCATCTGAATCTTCCATATGATAGGAATAGGCATGAACCAGATAGTGAGATCGGTGACGATGTTGACCACTGCATATCCAAGGGCGAACGACGCGAAGTTGAAGCAATTCCCCTGCCTCGTCCAGAAAGCACTGATAGGAGTGCAGTTGAAGATCGCCATAAATGTCACGATGATTCCAAACACGAAGATTAACGCCATCATCGCATATACCAAGTGAAGGAAGTTTGAGCGCTCGAAGACACGTCTGTATAGGAACAAAAGTGATAGTTTCACACTTGTCGGTCCGAGGGCATAGAAGATTTGGAAAACATAGAGGAGCTCGGCTATCTTGGCGACGTTGGCGGATGATACCGCGTCGATATGCTTGCCCAAACCATTCTGTCTACCTAAGAAAGAGAAGAAACAGATATTAGCTGAAGACAGAGCAAACAGAAGTGGTGGTGACCATACACCGGTCACCTGATCCTTTCGCACTTTCCCCTCCTTCGGCCTCGCTTCATCTTCCCCCACCCTTCATATGGAATTGAATACTTACACCCCGCAAATATCCCATACAATGCCCAGTTGCAAGCCTCAGATGATCATCAGTATTCTCACCTCTTCTCAGCGAGTATTGCGCTTACCAAAGAAAAGCAAATGATCCAATCATCTGGCCCCAGGATCAGGTGTCTGAGCCGTCTCGCACAAAGCCGCCCGATGACGGCAAACGTGGCCAGCGCTATGAAGACTGTGTTGATAACAGTTAATTTTGGTCCTTGGTCCTCATGAGCTTTCTCCATCATCAGGAGTGATGATGATAGGTAACTCCCCAAGACGGCATCCGCCCCGCGCGTCTGATTTTTGCCTCGTCCTGGATTGTATTCACATCGTTGTAGCGCAAATCACATTCAGCTCCTACCATGAGATCATCCAACCTATAAAGGTTCTGTCCCCCCGGTCACACACGCCACCGATGATTGCTGTGGCTTACGTGAGTCCGGATCTCCTCCTGGGCTTGTGTACATTGCGCATGTTATACAGGAACTCCGGGATGCAACCTTGGTACGACCTGTACGAACCTAGGTTGAGTGAACAGGAGACAACGCAAGGAATGGCCAGATTGCATCGGAGGAAAACGACTCATATTATGCAGATATATAAACTCAACTGGACGCCTTATCTCACGACATCTCCACCTTGTTCACTCGCATGGTGGAGAAACCGGGGAGAAAGACAACATGCCAACGTGATGTTCCTACGCCCAGAAGCTGATTTCGCCTCTAGTGGTTGGGTTGTCTAGGGCGCTTTTGCCTACACCTCTCCAGTAAGAACAGACAGGGAGTATTTTACAAAGGGGCTTTCAGTCTCCTTTGCAAGGCCTGGCTGGATTGGAATCTGCTCCAACTTGTTGACAGTGCTCACAATCGCCGACATATACGTCGTTCGAGCAATGTCTAGCGCCGCCTTGGTTTGAATTAATCGTTACTATTAGCACCTACATAACTGATCTTTAGACTTTCACATAGACATTATGAGCATTAAAGAAAGGCCGTCATGGCAAGATCTCGCCCAGCAAGTTCAAGCGGTCCGCGACCGTTCCATTGCTCAAATTGAGCTGGTCGTCCCTGTGCTACCCGAGACGCTTCCAATCAGGGTTATTGATATTCCTAGACAGCATCTGACGCCATTAGAGCTTGTTATCACGGAGAGCCATTCCGAGGCTCTTGTGGAATCACTCGCAGCAGGAAACTTGACGGCGTCTTCCGTGACAAAGGCATTTCTTCGACGTGCGGCAATTGCCAGAGGCTGGTAAGCAACCCACCAAACACCATCCTGGGGAATATTCCCTGATCTCATGCATAATGCAAGACCAGCTGTATCTACGAGCTTTTGCCCGATCGAGCCATTTCGCAGGCCAGAAATCTCGATTGTTATTCTGCAAAACATGGGAAGCCCTTTGGCCCTCTGCACGGGCTTCCTATCAGCGTCAAGGCACACATAGGGCTTGAAGGACGAGATAGTTCTGCAGGCTTTGTCGGCTGGATAGGACGCAAGAGTGCAGAAGATGCGAACGTGGTGAAGATCCTCCTGAAGGCGGGTGCGGTGATTTATGCAAGGACAACCGAACCGCAGGGACTGGTAAGCGACCATCTTTCTGTACCAAGATCTGGAAGTCTGGCAATGCTGAGAATCAGTCGTCCATTCCTCTAGATGGCGCTTGAAACCCGCAGTAATATCACCAGAACTACCACGAACCCTCATAACACGACTGCCTCGGCCGGTGGTTCATCAAGTAGGGAATCAGCGTTGATCGCCCTTCGCGGTAGTCCGCTTGGAATCTGGACGGACGTCGGTATGTCTTATTTTCTTTCTTGTGCCTTCTTCCACATTGGTTATTCTGATGCTGGAACAGGTGGGAGCATTCGTTCTCCTGTTGCGAATTGTGGTCTCTATGGCCTCAAGCCATCAACCGGCCGAGTGCCGGTCATTGGCATATCGGCATATGCTATCGGTTGTGAAACTATTTTGGGAGTAATCGGACCTATGTCGTCGACTCTTGGATGTATCAATCTTTTCATGAAGACTGTGCTCGGGTCAAACCCCTAGCTCAGTGACCTATAGCTTCATCCAATTTCCTGGCAAAATCACGAATCCCATATTCATCAGAGTGGGAAAAGCTTGACTGTTGGAGTGATGTGGAGTGACGGGATAGTCATCCCAGCACCAGCAGTGCCGAGGTCTGAAGGAGGTTGTTGAGCGATTAAAATTGGTCTCTGGCATTGCAATCATCGAGTGGAAGGCATTCTGGCAAGAAGAAGCTCTCGAAATTCTAGTGAGTAGCGGGAAATCATCATTAGAAGAATAACTAGATGGACTAAAGGTCCAGACCAAGCTCTATATTCCAGATGGTGGTGAGTCATTCAAGGCCCATCTTGAGCTCTCTGGCGAACCCTATACACCACTCACAGCCTGGGCCGTGCGCGATGCCCCTGGTATTGAGAAGCTCAGTCTCGAGGGCGTGTGGGACTGGACTTCCAGGTGTGAAGCCTTTCGCTACACCTACTTCCAAGGTATCTTGTTCCATTGGAATTATAGCTACGTTACGGTTAATGAACTGGTAAAGAATGGAATTCGGTCGCTCCAGACATGGACGTCATTTTGTGCCCGGCGTACCCAACACCTGCACCTCTGCATGATACCTCCCGATATTGGGGTATACTTCTATATGGAATCTACTCGATTACCCAGGTGTCGTGTTCTCGGTTACCAAGGTTGACACGGAAAGAGACGCCAGAGACGTCACGTATATACCTCAGAACGAATTCGACAGCTGGTGTTATGAAAATTACAATCCTCAGAAGCAAAAGAAAGTGCCAAATTCCTTGCAGCTGGTTGCAAAGCGGTTGGAAGATGAGAAACTTCTGCAAGCCTTGAAGGAGATCAAGGAGAAGCTCGGGTTGCCCTTCGTGGACTGTCTAGCCTGATCAGAAGCCGCCAATAGTTCAGGGTTGATCGTGGTCGTTTAAGAATCGGATACAACCTACTCAAGCCACTTCAAGACAGCTTGTATACGTTCCCCACGCAGGGGAAACCTCGCGTGGGCTTTCAAAAACACATGGTAGATAGCCTTGGGGAGAGCCAAGGCAAACATGTCGAATGGTGGAAGGCATTCCACCCTTAATAGACTACACCTTCCCTGGGTAGGCAGACAGAAAGTGTAACACATGACATACTTGGGTTGGCTGGCCTGATCGTTTTGTTGGTGGCTTGAGCGACAGGGGGCATTGCAGCCATCATGGAGCAGTCGATTTCGAGAAATATCGTCACTGAACAAGAGGATAAAATCCGCCAAAATATTACTCCAGAAGTCAGGTCAACCTATTAGCACCCATAGATCGGGTTGCCTACAGAACTGCAGCGTATGTCAGGTTCAGCAATGATCGCGATATGAATCCTTTTCCGATTGACAGGCAATTGGCTTCAAGAATCATCAGCCAGACCTCAGGCCCCCAGGTCCAATATTAGAAATCCGCCACTCGATGCCATTTTCAGGATCAGGGTCACCCGGACCAAGTTGTTGACTAATCTCCGATGATTGGTACATTCGGGACCAAATCTAGTTTGCCGTCCTCTCGCTCCAGGTTTGCAAACACCAAAACCTGTCTTCGAATCACTTATTATCACTTTCTCCAACGGGTATGTGATACACATCTGGGAGGAGCTAAACTATGAAACTTTAGGTTCGTACCTTAATCTGAAGATACATTGAAATGACGTTTAGGTCAAATCCCTACGATTTAAATGGCTCGATGTCAAGGCACGCAGATCAAGCCCTGCGGTACCCGCGGCACGTCTTACGCCAACAATTGGGTGCCGGCTGCATACTGAAGGACCATCCATGGTGACAGCCTTACAACAGTTTGAATGGGTCAAGCCCAACAGCCAGACCCTCTCCATTTCTACATCTGTCAGCGTTGTTGAACTGAATAAAGGCACCCTGGCAGTGTTGACTACTATACGATATGGCCAGGCAGCAAAAGCCCTTCCAATGGCTATGGATGGCCTGGAAAGCCTGATAAAGGGGCTCAGTCAGGCTTTGCGATACTCACGACTGATTCTATACAATGCCTTGCGGAAACAGGTTTTGCTCGTCAGAGCTCGGGTATAAATGCGGGTCTTCCCCAGGAAGCTCTGATCGAATCTAAGATGAGCCATATCCTCTTCTATTCCTACTAGCCAACATAGACAGCATCCGTGAGACCTTAATTGAAGCTGTCCTCAATCCTAGAGTCTCCTTTGCAATCATGGAAGGGTCAGTTCTATATGCAGGCCTTTCGCCGTCCATCTGCACGATTACTGCAGTCCTTGCCCTCGTTATCTACGTTTTCCTGGATGAACATTGCAGAGACAGTAGTAGCAACCGGATTCCGAAGGGGCCTTGGGGTCTTCCCATACTGGGTATGTTGTTGTGTTTCCCTCTACATCATAGTATCTCCTGGCTGACTGGTTCCACCTTAGGCTCCTTTCCGTTCTTGACTAAATACCCCGAGCTGACCTTGGATTATTGGGCTCGGACATACGGCGCATTGTATTCTATTTGGCTGGGGAATCAACTTTTTGTTATCGTGTCCGATCCCAAGATAGCCAAGGACTTGATGGTCACCCACGGAAAAGTCTTTTCCTCTCGCAAGCAATCATATATCAAAAGTCAAACCGTCTTTGCTGGTCGTGGTATCACTACCACCCCTTACAACGGCCGATGGCGGGTGTTCAAGAATTTTGCATGCTTGCACAGGAGCTGACAATAAATATCTAGGCGGAAGCATCGTCGTATTGCAAACACATGGCTGAATCAGCGTGCTGTCGACTCATACTCTTCCATTCTGGATCGTGAGTCCAAGTCCCTCATTAAAGCCCTGCTTGACGAGAGCCAAGCGGGAACACTCCCAATAAACCCACAGGTATGTGAATTTCTTAAAGCCTCTTGGTCACATACTGACTCTATTAGCCACATGCTGGTCGTTGTATCCTCAATGGCATGACCACTATCAGCTTCGGCTTCCGTTTCAACAGCATAGATCACCCTTTTGTTAGACGCGCCTTGAAGATCAATCGCGAGTATATGTGCGTATCACTACCCTATAGAGCGTTGGTGTTAAGTACTTACGCTCAGCCTAGGAACTGCACTGCCCCCATGTCTAATTTAGTCGACTTTATCCCCGTTCTTCAAGCTCTGCCTTCTTCCTTGTACCGGCGCGGAAAGAAGCTCCATCATGAGTTAGTCGAAACATACGGAGGACTCCTTCATGAGATCGATCAAAAGATGCAGCAAGGTGAAGAGGTGCCTGATTGCCTTGCAAAGACCATAGTCGAAGTCCGCGAGAAAGAAGGATTGGATAACCTGGACATGGCTATGCTCGCCTCCGCTTTCATGATCGGTGGTGTGGAAACAGTAAGATAATCCTACAAACCGTTTCCAATGCATTTTCAGTATCTAACAATATGTTACAGACATTCGCTATTTTGCAGTGGTTTTGTGCCTTGATTCCAGCCTATCCTGAGATTCAGATCAAGGCCCAAGCTGAACTTGAACGTGTGGTCGGGCGTGAGCGCCTGCCCACTATTGAAGATCAGGATAACCTACCCTACTGTCGCGCCATTATCAAGGAAGTCGAGCGTCTCTATAACCCCCTCTGGCTGGGTACTCCGCATTCAACCAGTGAGGACTTTGTTTACCGCGGCCAGCTTATCCCGAAAGATACTGTAGTCGTCCTGAATACCTGGACCCTGCACCACGACCCAGCCCGCTACTGCAGCCCGGAGGAGTTCAAGGTACAGACCTAAAGAAAGCTCCTTTCAACAAGTTCTCGGGAAAGATCGCTAACCATCCTTAGCCTGAGCGCTACATCAATGATTCTTTGAGTTCCGCGGAGAGCGCGAATGTAACTGATCCGATGCAACGAGACCACTGGATATTTGGTGTCGGGTACGTATCTCTCCACATCTAGGCCATTGTTATATGCTAAGATTCAACCATCAGTCGGCGCATATGCCCCGGAGTGCTTGTGGCTGAGCGTGAACTCTACCTCAACATCTCCCGAATGCTCTGGGCCTTCAACATGCACGAACTCCCCAAGGAGCCGATTAATTTGAGAAAGTACGATGGACTATCGGGTCGTTCTCCCGCGCCGTTCCGTATTCAGCTGACACCGCGTGATGAGAATGTGGCCAAGGCTCTCGAGGGTGTGGAGGTGTAAAGATGGGTTAGAGGTATGCTTGATTTGATAATAAATAGAGTCCGCTTGCAAATTGTCAACGCATAGAGCGCAGAATCAAGAGAAGGTATATATAGACCTTGATACTATATACATTAAGTACAGAAAGTTCACATAGTTGAAGAATCGAGCGATCTACTACCTACATACATACAATAAATCACAGGTTGCCTCAAGACACACATCCGTTCCACAAAAGTCTCAAAAAGTACACCCCCCTCCCATCTGCTACCTATCCATCCATCTACCTTTCTACTTCAATTGGTGCGGGGAAGAGCCCCCCCCCCCTCATCATCCAGTCAACCATGAACTAACCCAACTTCTCATTTATAGTCACAACGACCTGTAACTCAATACCACAATATCTATCCCCGTTTTTTCTTTTTTTTTTCTTTTTTTTTTTTTTCTCAGTGTCCTGTTCTTTAGCATCTCATCCCCGGCTTAATTTACTACTCCTCAGTTCTTCCCCGAATATATATCGGATATCTCAAGGAATGTAATGGAATCAATACTGATTTGCTGCTAATGATAATGTTGAACATTTAAGTATCTACCTAGATTAAGTGGGAATACTAGTACTATCTTTCAGTAACGACAAAAAGCCGAAATGGGGACGGAGGAGGGAGGGGCTTAGAAATAATACGTGATTCTTAGATAGGAAGGAAGCAAAGGAGCGATCACGTGATGATAGAGGAATTTCTTGGGTTCAGAACGATCTGGGTACGTCTTTCTGGATGGATATTGTTGAGAAATGAGTAGTTTGTAATTAGGATAATAATCACTGAAATGGAAAATGACATGCTATGGTAATAATGTCCTGCTCGATGGGGCTGGTTGATGCAGGTCCAGATCAGTGGACATCATAATATCGTTGATTCTGTATGCAAGGACACTATAGTTCGAGAGCTAGAGGTGTCCAAAACAACCGTATAAACAGACGGTCTAAAACTATTATGTCCGATTGCCTGGTATCTTCCCGCCAAACGCCAGCGACGTCAAAAATCTCAGAATGAACGCTCTACGCTACCGGTTCATACAGCACGAAAGCAATGATATAAGACAGAAAGGAGAAAAGGGAGGAATGGAGAAAGGAAAGGTTACAGGTGTCCGTATAGCTTCAGTCGATACAGACATGTATGGTCCCCGCCCCAGTTGGACTTGACTCTGTATACGACCTTGTCCACCCGCAGCTCTGGAGAATCGATCACGGTGTCTAGTTCGAATCGCTGCACATGATGCATGCCATTGATGTCGTATGTGAATTTCCCAACTCGGTAGAAGGACGGACCAAGAAATTCATCGTCCGAGTATGCGGTCTCCGGCTCGGTTGGCCATGTGTAACGGAGTGCGTTCATGATCGGTTCGTGAAATGGGGACAGTTCAGAGGGACTTGAGAAGACTGTTCGCCAAAGCTTTTGCCAGGCTGCGGACACAGGTGGAGTGGGTTTGTTTCGGACATCGACGAACCGAACCCACAGTTCGATGTCCTTGGGAGCGTTTTCAGGCATCAAAGAGGCCGTTTTTGGCAAGTGTTCGACAACCACCTCCTCCGGCACAATGTACTGGCCCAGAAAAATACCAATCTGGGACATACCGTCGCGGGGTGTGCTGCACCAGCAATCTCCGTAGTCTTCCCAAGCAGCCAAAGCCGCGAGCGGCGGTTGCGGGTGACGATAATGTTCTCCCCTCCAGAATCTCGTATAAAAGCTCTGACCAGTACTGGGCTCGCGCCCGGCGGTTGGATTAGTGATGGACGGATCGATTATCACACCTAGCCCAATGCTTAGGAAGTTGGTCTTTCGTTCCACCGGAGGGCCGAGGGCAACGTTTCCTGTGGCTGGTGTCGCTTTGGGGGTTGGTACCGCTCGCACCTCCGATTTGACAGTTTTCATTTCCGAATTGACGGTCCTCATCTCCTTTGCCAGTGATGACACCTGGGCTCCGAGTCGAGACATCTGGTCCGTGAGGCTGCTGACCGCTATAATATTACTCTCATCCATCGGGATGTACCGTATAGGTTGGCCAAGAGAAGGAAACCCAGAGACTGTAAACAGGTAGAGAACCGCGGCTATCAAAGCTATCCCGGAAATGACTCGGGTTGCGACAGACTTGCTGGGTAGAGATTTGGACAAACGTGCTTTCCAAGTGAGTCCTTCGTCCAGTCGCTCGCTTCCTTGTTGATGGCTGTGTATTGGCATGTCGTGTAATGAAATTTGCGGTACACGGGTATCAGGAATAAGTGTTTTAGTTGGCGCAGAGAATTGGATTGCAGGGGACTTTTCTCTGGCAACCTGCGGCTCCGGCTCTGGCGCTGGCGCTGGTGAAGGTTCAGGCGAAGGTTCAGGCGAAGGCTCCACGGAAGATTTTGCTGAAGCAATCGGTTGAAAGTCTTCGTAGGTAGGTTCCAAGGAGGGCTGGCGAGAGGGTTGTCGAGAGGACTGTCGGGAGGACTGTCGGGAGAATGGTCGGAAACGTTGTGGAGATGGTTGTGGCGATGGCTGCGGGGAAGGCTGTAGGGAGGGCTGTAGAGAGGGCGACTTCGACTTTCTCTGTAGAAGCCTGGAGTCCGGCTCGTCCTCTTCGTGAATGGTCTCATTGGCAAAGGCAAGCGCCGAGAACCGCCGAGGGGGTGCCTTGATGCTCTTTCCATCGGAAAGTGTCCGTTTTAAGTTATCGTCGTTGACATCTCGCTCCACGGAGAATGAAAAGATCGACGAGCTATCAACCTGCGGAGAACTTCCGAGCGGGGGCTCGTTATTCAGTTGCGGAGCAAGTCGCTGCATAGGCGACGGGTACAGATCCTCAGCTGGCACATGCGGGTATCTTGCTTGAGGAGGGGGCTGCATAACGGGGCTTGAAGCGGTTGAGATACTATGCGGGATTGGAGGCGTGGGGGTAGCAGTTGATTGATCATTGTTGTCAAAGCTACCCCGTACCGGGCTCGGAGTCCTGGTTGCCTCACGTAGGTCATCGAAAAGCTGTAGTTCGTCCGGAGTTGGCTCACGTCGTTTCCGCCGAACTGGCGAGCGGCTAACAGACGGCGACTTCTGCCGACGGCGCGTGTCCTTGGAGTTTTCGTTTTCTCTCATCTGTCGATCCTTGGCATCTTCAATCCCTTTGTCGATCGCAACTGCCATCTCTGCCAGATCCATCTGAGGCTGGAGTACCAGTTCCCGAGGCAGGATTGGTGTCTCGGCCGATCCATAAGCAAACGACTGCTTGGTGGGGAGGTTTGGCAGGGCCTGGACCTTTTTGTCCGCACCCAACTTGGTCTGGAAAAACGTCAAAGGACTATCTGCATCAGAGCGAGGTGTAGACCCCTTGCGCCTAACGGCGCCGCGTCTAGGAGGCATTGAGTGTTCAATGCTGAGCAAGTCGGCTTGAGGTATGCGTTAGCTGGGTGAAAACCGTAGACCCTTGCCTACTGGGCGGGGAATAGCTAGAAAGCTAGCATACGGATTGAAAGGTGCCTACTGACAAGGAGATGATATGATGGCTATGGAGCCGATTGCGGCCTCAGGCAGAAATGTGAGTGCGCTTGAACACGGCGGTAAGATGGAAGAGACCAGCTCAGAAAAGTGATCGGAATAAATGCAAATGTGAGTTTGCGATCAGGTAGGTGTTACTTTAGTGCTGCGACCAGGACGGCCGAGACAAATGTATCCTGCACAGATTTGTTAGAAGCTAAAGTGAAGAAGGGATGAAAGAAAGCTGCATTCCCTCTTTGTCCCGGACTGACAATTGGGCAACTTCAATGACCCAAAGATTCAAGGCAAGTTGGGTAAAACAGGTATCAACTTACGGTGACAATCCCGGATGGCCGTCGACTTCATGCGCGAGGAGACACGGCGCGAGAAGACGCGGGCGGAATGCCGATCCACGTCGTCGCGAGGGCGATAGATAGGTCAAGCTCTTGAGTTTTGCAATATATTGGGTTGCGCATATGAAACGCGCGTGGTGCGCGGGTGTTTTTGAGGTGTGATAGGGTGAAGGGAGAGAATACTGAAGCAAAGGACAATGCGAGCTGGATGATGGAGGATGGATGGGGGAGGATGCCGGCCGGTAACATTCGTACACTCTGTTACCTGCCGCAATACTTTCAGACCCGATGCGGTAAGGCGGCTCTCCGACCTCCGCCATTCAATGGATCATTACAGACATTACGGACTATAGTACGGGGCAGCAGTCATTGATTCCTCCCAACAGATGAGGACAGTTCTTGTGCTACTGGAATTCTGCATTCACCTGATTACCATTTCTTTGTCATCGCCGCCGGTCACGATACCACGCAGCCCAGCCATTTCTTTATGCCGCCGCTATTTTTATGCACCGTTTCATCTAAACAAAGAAAGCTTCATTTACACGGCTGCCCTCCCAGGACGCCCATCCTTCTATATTGCCAGAGTAAGAATAATATACAGTCGCTGAGGCAGTCAAGCAGTCACAAATACAAAATATGGTGCCAGCATGTACGTGGCGGGTCTTGCAGGTCATATAGCATCATTCAACAAGTCCATGCCGCAACGATACCGTCCTTGCGGCCCTCGACGAGGAAGCCGTCCTTGAGGCGGACACGCTCGACAGTGGCCGGCATCGGCCCGGTTTCGTCGACGCCAACTCCGGCACCACAGTCCCAGTGGTTGCCGTCCGCCTTGTCGTATACCTTGACAACGCTCTCGCCGGCTGCCGCGACAATGCGCTTGGTGTCAAACATCATGCTGGTGATGGGTTTGTCGTAAGCGTATGCATCGAAGATAGATCCGGTTCGGAGATCCCATATCTGATTACATTAGCTCGAACGTCCGTGGGACCATGAACGGTGACTTACTCTGATACTACGGTCCTGACTTCCCGTCACCAAGTGTACATCGTCAAACTGTAGGCACGTAATGGGCCCGGTATGTCCGACTAGGCTGCGGTGGACTTGGCCGCTGCGGAGATCCCACAGGCGCACCATACCATCCGCCGTACCACATGCCAGAGCTGCATCGAAGCACTGAATCGCCCCGACAAAGTCTGCCGAAGCGTCCGGCAGGCGTCCGGATGGGCGCCATGCTGTGTCTCCTCCCAGCGTCGACGCCTGCGCTGCTGCCCACAGGACATCCAGCGTCTGCACGCAGCGTCCTTTGACCAGATCCCACTGTCGCAACGTCTTGTCGGCAGATCCAGAGATTAGGGTGTCCCCTTTGAAGTGGAGCGCGGTGACTTCGTCGACATGCGCATCCAGTGAGTATGTGAAGCAGTCCTCCAGAGTAGTAGAATGAGACGCCATCGAGGCGTCATCGGCGTGCGCGGAATCATCGTCGTCATCGCGCCGGGTGATACGGTTGTCACGAGCCGTGGTCCGGGCACGGCTCAGATCCCAAAGCTTGACGGAGGCGTCCATAGATCCTGTGGCGACAATGTTGTCCTCAATTTGCAAACAGCGGACAGATGCATTGTGTCCCTCCAAAAAGCCCATACAGCGGCCGACGTTGAGATCCCACACCCGCACCGTATCGTCCAGGGCGGCACTAATCATGGTGCCAAATGGATAGTCGAAGTCAATGGCAGTGACGATGTCGGAATGCGCGTGCATCTCCTTGATCTCAGAACCAGGGGCGAAGTGCTCGTGCAGAACCGGCATAGATCGTTTCCCTGAACCGTCAGTACTCGTCTTTAGACTGGGGTGTGATGCATACTTATAGATCGCTGCTTCACGCTCTTCGGCGAGGGAATCTTTTGGTAAATGGATTCGGACATGAACGATGTACCCATAGCTGGATCTTCTGAGGCAACGGAATCGTCGTTTGCCTCCGATGACTTTGGAGTGGCCGGAGGCGCCACCTCAGGCTCTTCTTCTTGTAGATCCTCCAACTTGTTCTCTACCTGGGTCACTGCGTCCGTATTAGAGCCATATGTCTGGTGTATTGTATGTCCAGGTCACCCACGTTCATGTTCCAGCTCCGCCTCCTCCATCTCAAGGCCCGCCAGCCGGTCTAGCACAATCTTGCGCATATTGTGAAGATTGGCAATCTTGTTGTCTATGTCGTGTATTTCCGAACTACACATATTCTTGCGAACGCCCATCAGTTCCATGCGACGGCTCAACAGATCACGTTCCTTCTTCAGGTCCGACGGGGCGGAAGGTAGGGCGCCGCCTGTCTCCCCATCCTTCAATAGCTTTTTGCTCTTGGAGGAGCGCCGGCGGTGGGCGCGTCGATACTCGATGTCATCTTGGGAGGCCTGGAACCCCTGGAAGAGTGAATATGAACTGGAATCGTCGGGGATGTTGGCGAGAAGGTCGTCGGGAAGGGAGGAGATGGCCCGGGACTGGATTTCGGTGGTGGAGAGCTTGGAGCGGACCAGATCGGTCGGGGTGGTCTGGGTGAGGGAGAAGACTTTGCGCTGGGTGGTAGGATGGCGTAGTTCGCGCTGGATGTCGACCATGGCACTGTGATAGTGGCCGCCGCTGGAGGAATCGGGGGCCGGTCCCATCAAATGGCCAGCAGTCGATGTGACTTTCCGCCCGAAGGCCTCAAGATGACGAGACTGAAGGAAAAGGGGGTCAGCGGAAGATATTTAGGCAGGCGAGAGCGCCCACAGGCAGGTGTCGAGGCGGCAAGAGCATACCGTGATGCCGGTCCCTAAGAGCCCGTCCGGCTCGACAATATCTGATAGACCGGAGGGAGACTCATCACGGCGGCGGTGTCTGTCCATGACACCGACGGGGAGCGAAGAGTGAGCTAGGCACAAACTCCCATCCGGGAATTAACAGCGAGGGGACAAGGATGGCGGAGAGAGGAGCTGTCGTGCTCGTCGGCAGTTGGTCGGCTTCAGGCTGGGATGGAAAAAGAATGGCGGATGGAATTGCACGCGATGAATTACCGTGTTTCGGCGGTATTTTACTGGCTGCGCCTGCGCACGGCTTCCCTCTGGCCCCAGCAGTCAGTCTTACACGAAGTCAGAGGAATTCCTTGGGGATAATGCCCTTTTCCCCCAGTTCAACGATTTAAATATCCAACGTTTCTGTGCTTGCCTCCAGCCTCGCCAGCTTTTCCAGCTGATGCATCCCCGTCTGCACATGACAGCATCACCAGCCACGGAACCCGCCGCTGGTCGGTACCAGACGGTAATGTTACCTCGGGGCAGCCAGCATCATGAATCACCACGACCACCACCACCACCACCAGGCATTCCTTGCACAGCTGCAGACCCTCGCTGATTGCGGCCTCGATTACTCCATCTCTCGTGAGATTTTTTGTCTCTCTCAGCCACAAGCCAGTCCGCATTGAAAGAAATCGCAATTGCGCCGATCTGCACGTTAGCGCTGGCCCAGCCTACATAAGGTGCTCTCAGATCGCCCCGAAAGCGGAGGATTTTCATCTCGCTTTGCCAGACCCTCCATCTATTGAACTTCTTCGGCCTCTGCAAGTCAGCCTCGATTTCCCACCAGAACCATTCCTTTCACCATGGACACAGCCATTGATCTCTCGGATGCCTCCAAGGCGCTGGACCTGGCCAACATCCGGTTCCAGCTGATGTAAGTTCCTCAGTAATTTAGCTTGATCAGATCGGCGGAGATCGGTCGACCTGCTATCATCATCCTCATCCCTGCGTCAACCCCGCAATCCTCCCCCTCCTCCAAGCTCCCAACCGGCATCACCACATTACCACACCAATCATGTAGCTAATCTTCCCCATCAGTCGTCTTGAAGACACCATCACCTTCCACCTCATTGAACGCGTGCAATTCCCCCTCAACAAGCCCATCTACACTCCAGGCGGGGTAAAAATCCCCGGCACCTCCCTCAGCCTGCTTGACTACTTCCTCCGCGAACAAGAACGGCTTGAATCGCGCGTCCGTCGCTACCAATCCCCCGACGAATACCCCTTCTTCCCTGACGCCCTGGAAGAGCCCATTCTGTCCCCGATCGAATACCCCAAGATCCTGCACGACAACGACGTCAACGTCAACGGCATCCTGAAACAGCGCTACATCGAGGACATTCTTCCCGCTGTGTGTGCGCAGTTTGGTCGCGAGGATCGCGGCGAAGCGCAGGAAAACTATGGCTCTGCGGCGACGTGCGATGTCAGCTGCTTGCAGGCGCTGTCCAGGAGAATTCATTTCGGGAAGTTCGTCGCGGAGGCCAAGTTCCAGAAGGAACCGGAACGGTTTGTGAAGATGATCAAGGAGAATGATCGCGCTGGCATTGATGCAGCCATTACGGATAGTAAGGTCGAGCAGAAGGTGCTGGAGCGGTTGGCGCTGAAGGCTAAGACTTATGGTACCGATCCTGGGTTCCAGTCGGAAAATGAGCCCAAGATCAATGTTGAAGCCGTGGTGGCTATGTACAAGGTGAGCTATCCCTGTGCGTACATTTATGTGTGGTGGATGCTAATGAGTGTAGGAATATGTCATCCCTCTCACCAAGGTCGTCGAGGTGGATTACCTGATGCAGCGACTGAAGGGCACTCAATGGGAGTAATCGCGCTGCCATCTCCATACGGAGCACATGCGACGCCGTGATGAACATCCATAGAGTTAGTCATAGTATAGTCATGAGATTGATAATAGACAACAAACATGAACTTTTCAAGTCTATAACAAAAGTAAAACAATAACGTCGTAATCCCCTCCCTCTATCTACCCAATTCCAAAATCATGCCGACCCCCGAATATACTCCGCCATATCCCTAACCGCCCCCTCCAACCTCCCGGCCTCCATCAAAATCAAACTCCCCTTCGTCCTAATCCCCAGTTCCTGAAACGCGCGCTTCGAATCCGACAACCCCTCATCCGCCTTATGCGTATACTCCACACTCCCCACACAAACAGCATGTTTCTCCAACACTTCATCCTCGGGATGAAAAAAGAACCTCTCCGCCCCGGCAGCAGCAGCAGCCTTCTTCTTCTTCTTCTGCGGCCGAGACTCCTCAGCATCCAACTTCGACTCCACCTCCTCATACGTCTTCGAAACAATCAAATAATGAGTGAAATTGTACGGCTCGTTATCCTTAATCGCCCAGGCGATTTCCTCTTGAAGCATCGTGTACATCGGGGGGACGACTTCAGCGGGCATGTTGATTAGGCGTTCGGTGAGGATTAGACCGATGGGTGGGATGGGGGTTTGGGAGAGGAGGGTTGCGAGTGGACTGAGGGAGGAGTTGGTGCTGGCTTTGCGGTGCAGGTAGGTCATTAGGTCTTTGATTACGGGTTTGTCCTGGGTTTTTATTCGTTAGTGGTTGGGTTTGGGGGGGGAGGGGGTGGGGGTGGGATGATACCTTGTGTTCTTGGAGGTTAAGGACGGTTAGGAATGCATAAGGGTCTGATTCCATTCCGTCGACTTTCACAGTCGAGCCGAGAAGAGGCTGCGAGAGGATCAGATCGGCTAGGGCGGACATGTCGAAGATTTGGGCGTCCGTGTCGAAGAGTTGGCGGAGGAGGTTCTTGAGGCCGTGGAAGTCGACGTTGGGTTGGGGGTCGAACCATTCGAAGTCGACGTTGACCATGTCCATTTCCTGTAGGATGAGGATTGTGTTAGTGGGTTGTGATTGTGATTGTGGTATGGGTGTAGAGGGAGGAGGAGGGGCATGCCTCGTCGGAGTCGTCGCCGTCGACGCGGGGATCGGTCCCCGACATCTCGACATCGTTGTCTTTGAGTTCCTTGCGCTTGACCATTGTGGCTGTTTGTGGCACTGTAGAGGAGCGGTTGGCTGGGGAGGGAGGTGCTGGTAGCTGGAGCGGATCCGTTCGCAGAGGAGAGTCGGGAAGAAGACGACAAAAGTTGTTGCGCTCCGCTAACCGCTTTTGATTTATCGATAGCTTATCGGATAACATGGGATTCTGCCACCATCCATACTATCTATCTACTCCGTAGAGTTACTTTTATACAGACCTATGATCTATATACTTCATACACACCACACCACCACACCACCACCACACCACCAAAATCAAACATCATACTCCACCTCATCCACAGTAGGCACCTTATCCAACCTGGTCCCATTAAACCCCGCGACACGCTGCACCGCATCCCACAACACCTTAACATCCTCCTTACTCACACCCAACCGTCTAGTGCCCCTAATATGCCAATGAGTCTCATTCTTCAAATTCTGACTCATAATCGCCGGCAACACCACAAGCTGCGTATCCAAATCATCCAAGACCCCCCTATCACTCAAAAACAACCCGTAGGTGATTTCCTTCGACAACCAGGCAAAGTCCCTATGCGCTGCAAACAAATCCAACGTGTTGGAGGTATTCCGTGCGTAGAGTTTCTCCATCCATGCGGTGCCTCGGTCATGGTTCGCCTCGTCGCATTGCCAGTTCTCTCGCGTGAACGTGTAGTCTTTGTCTTCGGGGGATTCGAACTTGCTAATGGCCAGGATGGCTTCGATGGGTTTGCAGACTCCCACGATGATGACGGATTTGAAGAGCGCTTCGCGTAGACGGCGTGAGAGGGCTTGGCGGGTTTCCGGGGTACTGTAGGCGGGCTGAGAGGTTAGGTAGAGGTATAGTTGGTCGGCGCGTTCGGGGTCCGGTCCGGCAACGAGGGTTGCGATCGCCAGGATGTACCATTTGTCGGCGGGGAGGGTAGTGGTTTGGAATTGGTGTTCCAGGTCGCGGAAGAGTTGGTCGTAGTGGGGTTCAATGGTGGTGGTGGTCATTTTGGTAGGTGTGTTGGGTGTGGTGATGGTGGTGAGGCTTCGAGAGGAAAGATTGGGAGGAAGGGGAGCATATGCTGGATGGATAGATGGTCGGAGAGGGGAGGGTCGAAGCGGGGGAGCAATGCAGACGGAGGGGGGGCCGGGCGACCGTCGGGTCACTTGTAGTCTACGTGCCAGACGAGAAAGGTTGCGGGACATTGTGCACCCTGGTAGATAGGCATTAAGACAGGATTTGTGTGCCTCTGTTTAGTGTTTACGCGCATTAGCCTTCACGGAGATGGATTTCCAGCCGATATCGGTTTATGTAAGTGGCTCTTGACCGACTCAGGTACCTCTGCCTGCACCACCACAACCACCACCTCGACCAGATCATTGCAACACCGGACCACCAACTACATCATCGAGAGAAGGGTTCCGAGAGCGACGATGGTGTTCCAGCCAAGGGACAGACAAGGTGAAGGCATTTCGTAGGTTGGAGGGGATGACCCACCAGTTATGATCTCAGAGACTGGCCGATGACATCACAACTGCCAACTGCCACATCCGGCCTCTATAAATCCGGCCCTTCTTCACGACATTGTCTCTCAACTCAGACTCATCTTTCAGTTCATCTCAATCCTCTCTATATTTCACCAACTACACACCAATTTCTCTCCATCAATCAATTCTACACAATGTCCACCTCCGGTTCGGGTCAATCCAGTGTCGGCAGCCGTGCCATCTATGAGGCCGGTGACCAGCGCAACGTGCCCCAGTCCGTCATCAACGAGCAGAACCGCTACGCAGAGGGTCAGAAGAACAGCCACAAGAACCTCGATTCGAGTATGTTTCCTCTCTTTTGTGCAGCAAATGGATGGATGGTCTAACAAGAGCAGAGGACGAACGCTCCATCGGCAACAAGCTTGCCTCCCAAGAACGGAAGCCTGAGAGCGACCACCACCACAACTTCGTCAAGAACCCCGAGGCTGAGCTCAGCAAGCAGGATCCTACTAAGCCGGTATGTTGTGGTTCCCATTCCCGAGATTTCGGATCAAGACTAACTGTCCGCAGGCCAAGGTGCACGGCAACGAACCCTCTAAAGGAGCCAAGATCGATGCCGACCTGCAGGCAGAGGATGAGCAGCGCCTCCGGGAGAAGGGTATCAAGAAATAAACGATGTAACGATGGTCTATATGAAAAGTAATATGTCCTGTTCATGACACCATGATTGACGCCTGGGGCGGTTATATATAACTATTCAATCAACAATTTCCACCTTATCTTCATCCTTCGGACTTGAAAGTAAACAAACACTGCACCGCTCATAACTAACTGTGGGTGGCGCGTATATGGCTGGTACTCGGAAACATGTTGTCAGTTGCAGTATTAGGTTGATTGTTAGTGATACGCGCAGTGAGAACAATGATCAAACTGGAACACAGTGATGTGTTATGCCAACATGCCATGAGGCGTCTATAAAAATACAGGGTAATAATAAGCATATGATCAGAAACACAAGAGGTATATACAGTACAGCTGCAAGCAACCGTGTCAATCATAAACAGCATGGAGTCACACCCATGATAATCTTCATGACTCTGCTCCATCACCCATGGAGAACTTCAACTGTCGTCGGTAAATGCAGGATCGTCATCATGTGGCTCTGCAAAGACGTTCGTCCAGTAGCTCTGCACCCGCTCACAGATCTCATCCTTTCTCTCCCACGTCCGAAAGCTGATTGCAGGGTCGCAGCTGACGTTCTTAATCTCCTCCCAGTAGGCCTTCTCAACATCGTATCCAAACCGCTTGACGGTAGACTCGGCTACCAGCCACGCCCGTCCATCCGTGCCGTCGGGCCGGAGCGTCGGCGTAGTCTCCCACTTCATGCCAAAAACCTTGTCGCCCGGATTGAACTTGGGGTAGTTGGCGTGAATGAAGAAAGCACGAGGAGCCTTGGCCACCGAAGGATCTTGCACGCGCCATTTCCCCGCACTGGTCAATGCAAAGTCCTCGGCTGGGTCGGTCTGGACCATCGCTGAGCCCGCAATCCCACCCGGTTTGGTGTGACCGACCGCCTGAACCCGCTCACTGACGGCGTAAAAAGGCTCGCCAACAGCGGTTGCGGCATGAAGAAAGGTTTCCTTATCGCCCTCTCCCGGGGCCCCCTGCGACAACAGCCGGAAATAGTGCGACGGACCATAGTAATTGTAGTATGCAGCGAGGAGCAACGTCAGCTGGTGAGTCCTTTTATTCACCAGGAAGACGCCCGCTTCCGACGATGCGCGCTCCGACAAAGCCGGCATTTCCTGCTGGGAGATGTTGAAATAGAGCGGAGACGCCGAGGAGATCCAAAAGTCCGGCCAAGTGACTAACCCCTTGGATGTAAACGGTTCCGACTCGAGCAGGATTTCAGGCTTATATAGCGGGAAGCAGTCCGCATCCATCCAAATTACCTCCTCGAACGAGGAAAACAGGACGGCAAAGATCTTGAGTTGGTAGTGCTCAATCGCGCCCTTGCCGACGACGTCCGAAAGAACAAGGCAGCGTGCCCCCAGACCAGGCAGGATATCATCGCAGATATGTTTCTCGTATTCACTCTTGTCCTTCATATATACCTCCACTGGTAATGTTGCTCCCAGTCGCCGGAGCATCCGTAAGGATGACAAGAATACCGGGAAATAGGAGGCCCCCGCCGTCGACACTATACCCCGCGTGCCAGGGGTGTGCACTGGTCGCAGGCGTGCTGAATTGCGACACTCCTTCACATAAGTCGCATGCGCCTCTTCCATCGCCTGTAGATCCCCATCACTGATTGTAGTCAAATCGGGCCGAAGGTCGGTCGTGGTGGCATTAAAGCCGACAGCGCTCACATCAGCCAAGCGCTTGGGAGTAGGGCTGTTCGGTGCGTGCGCCTGCAGGATCGGGTTCAAGACTTTCCAAAAGGCATTCTGGCGTTCTGTAAGGGGGACCTCGAAGGCGGTACTGGGAACTACTGAGGCCGGAGGTGGCGCCCAATACACATACACAGTGCAGATGAGTAGTAGCGCACCGGTTGCCGAGAGGATTGTTCTCAGCCGACCTGGGCGAAGAATCGGCATGACTGAGTGCTGCGGGGGCAGCTTAGCTGGAAGCTATGGCGGTATCAAATTCTAGACAAATCCACCGGCTCTTTATTATGGAGTGGACGTCGGAAGTCGGACCGTCAAGGCGAGTCAAGGTTCAGAGATGGATGCTCTCAGGAATACATCAACATGACAGGCTAAATCGGAGCGGGAGGGGATCTGGTTCACGGCAGATGCGAAGGGCGGAGGAGCCGCAGCGACCGAGATGGACACGAACAACACAGCTGAACTTGGACTAATTGGAGATGCTAAGATACCAGGCTGGTTTAGCCATGCGACTTCCCATCATCCATCGAGACTTGTTCAATGTTGTCCAGCTGGCAGGCAGCGATGGGAGGCGATAAACGCCGTGGATGCTTTTTCCAGAAGGCGGTGGCAGAACGAGGACTTACGTTGCCCGCCGCTATAAATAACGCGCGGCATCATCGCGCATAATCACTTATGCCGTGGCTCCATATCGATCTTCACCAGCCGGCAATCGTGCAACTGCAGGATATTGATTCTCCATGCTCCTGAGCGGAAATACCCCGACCACGATCGCTCCAGCCCATATGGGGTCACCGAGATCGGAACATGAGCAGGTCAGGGGAAAAGGAGAGGTGCAGATTGTATGTGGTCCATCCGCGGAGAAGGGCAGTTCCACCGAACCGACAGACTGGAAAGTGGGAAGGGAGTGGAAGTAGTCAGTGGATCCGAGTAGTAGTTCATTCAACCCAAACCTTAAGAAGTCAAGAGAGGGTCTGGATCGTCTGGGAGGGGAAAGGATGGGAGAGAACTGATGAGGATGGACAATCGACTGAGTCGCGCTCGACTTCCTGCTGGGGAAGAGCCGCTAGTCCGTTTTCAGCCTTAGCGGAGAGCCTCTTGTTCGTTTCGACTTTCGAGAGACTTTCTTTCAGTCTTCCAGATTCTTGTATCTTACCTATCTAGTAGTAGATAGTTCTCAACTTCTCTGAGTACTTGCTCCAGCCCCGTACATTAACCATGACTAACCGGGCCACTGGGCACTCGGCTACTCTACACAGTACCACGCTCTGCCCCATCTGAAACGGTGGCTCGATTTCGCCGACCCTCCCCCGTCGTCAAGTCAGAAGCCTCCAAAATGCGGGCTGGAACATTCGCCACTCGCCGGTTGGCTGTTGAGCCTGGAACTACGCCCACGCTAAGGAGTTTATGCTGGCCTAATCTCCGGTGGTGCTCACTTAACGGCGGATGATGCCGCAACGATCGTCGCTTATCATCATCTCGAGTCCGCTGCCCAGGTCCTGCGCGAACTAAATCGATCCCCAATGTGATTTGATTATAAACGACTGTAAGCGTGTCGTGTCCCCCTCTCTGGCGTTAGCCCTCTTCCTTGCTTTTTCCATACCTGTCCATCCCGACCTTAGTCCACCTCAACGACGCTCCTGCGTATCATCCATCCCTCCCCTGGCCCTGCTAGCCTGCTATCTACTGCTGCCTGTCGCACCACTTCCGGGACCCCGCATCCGGGTCATCTCCACATCGCTTGCTTGGGCCAGCTGGTACCTGCACCCCGTGAGTTGGCCGACCGTTGCTTCGGATCCGACGATGGAGCCTCCTTCGAAGAATCGCATCCGCAAAACCCCGCCGGTCTCCGCCGCAGCTCCCCGGAAAAGGCGCAAGAGGACGGTCGTGAGTCAAGCCGCAGATGATTGCTTTTCTTGCGCCCGACAGGGTACCCCATGCGACCGGCGACGCCCGTATTGCTCTCAGTGCTTGGATAGCGGCCGCAGTTGCGCAGGATACAAGACGGCGTTGACGTGGGGAGTAGGAGTTGCCAGTCGGGGAAAGCTCCGCGGATTATCTCTCCCCGTGACTGGGGCGCAGCCCGCCGTCGCTCCCTCAAAGCCTCATCGTGTGACGGGGCCACGACCCGGGTCCAAATCGAAACAGGGGTCGGATTCAGCCGCAGAAAAGTCCCGGCTTCACGACAAGCAGCGTTGTTCTGTAAGTGGGCGTGCAGCAAATACGGCCTCCAACACGAGTGCACCTACTTCACAGGTCCGGCTGTGCTCTCCCACTGATTCTTTTTTGGCTCGCCCAAGAAGATCGGAGTCGTTGACACAGCGCCATTCTGCAGCGACTGTCTCAAATACTCAGAGCACAGAAACATGGATGAGACCAGTACAATCACCGCAAACGACGCAGTGTTCGTGGCATGGACAAAGATTAGAGCAGGAAGTGGATAGCGTGTTTGATGAGCAGACCGAAGCAGTATGTCCAGAGGGCATTGCTCCGTGGACGACTTCTTTTCAGCCGCCATCGTTGTTTCAGCAGCTTCTGGCGCGTTCTGTGGGGCGTACACCACGCCTGCGGTATCTGATCAGCTATTATGCCGAAGTCATTGCCCCAATGATCGTGGCTTTTGATAGTCCGACCAACCCTTTCCGGACATATATCCTTCGCTTGGCGGAGGAGAGTACATCCCTCCAGGAGGCCATCGCAACACTAGCCAGCTGTAACTTGCGACAGCGACGTCAACGGGGAACGAGGTCAACGGAGCGGACTTTGCCAGCGCGCATGTCGTCCCTGGCCCATCAAGCCTTGACTGTTGAAGCCTTTCAAGATCGCTCCGGTCTCCCTGTTTCTGGGGGCCCTACTCTAGAGGAGCAATATCATCGGGGAATGGCAGTCACAGCCCTGAATAGGGAATTGGCGGACTCGCGCCAGAGGCTCTCCGATTCGGTCCTTGCCACCTTACTCATCCTCTGCTTATTCCACGGCTGTGATACCGGAGTCGCGCAGTTCAAGACGCAGTTTGCCGGGGTGACCAAGTTGCTGGCCATCCGACTGTGCAACTCGCCTTGTATGTCGGACGAACTAAAGTGGTTTGTTCGCATGTTTACTTGGATTGATACGATGACGGCCACCACCAATGACCGCGAGGTACAGCTTCGTGGCGCTTGCTTGGACATTACTGCCGTCTCGGATGGCGAATGGGGTCTTGAGAATCTGGCGGGATGCGATGCCGGCCTGTTCAGATTTGTGGCGCAGCTAGGTCGTTTGAATCTCTTGAGTCAGAACCAAGAGGTCCGCACAACGTCGCCACCGGACATTCAGATGCCATCGACTACCCTTCCGCCTTCGATGGCATATTGCCCGTCGGACATGTCGGGCACCTCTTACGGACCTAGTGGGTTTCCATTGCCACCAGCGCCTTGTCATCATGATGGATCACAATTGTCACCGGCATTCTGGGCCGAATGGCATTCGCTCCGACAGAAGCTGGAGTCCTGGAGGTTTGTTCCCTACCGCCAGCGATCGGGATCCTCATTCGGTACGACCAGTCACCCCTACATCTCGCCACCATCATCACCATCGGATCAGTCGGCGGTCGCGCCTCACAATCTGAAAGACGTCATCCACACCTCTGAGTCATTCCGTCATGCGGCGATCCTTTACAGTGAGCGACTCGCCTATCCTGATCTGCCGTCCGGTCACCCTCGTATCCAGACCATTGTGCAACGCACAATGAGTCACATTCTCTCCGTCCAATGCGACGCGTATCTACTGTGGCCGCTGTTCATCACGGGGTCCGAGTGCGTGCTTGCGGACCACCGCGCCATTATCCGACAGCGCTGTAAAGACCTATCCAGGGACTCTGGGTTCTTCAATAACCTCTCGTGTTTGGAGCTACTGGAGAGGATCTGGGCAGAGAATCCTGGCACATCACTGGCTCCGGGTCTGCACGCAGCCGTTGGTCCTGTTAGCGAGGCTGGATTGGTTCCGCCGGGAGGCTGGGCCCTCCCAGATGAGGCTTTTATGTCTCCAGCACCGGCCACTGTTTCGCGGAAGCAGGGATTCCGGTGGCACGACGCCATGCAAACCAAACGAGCAGAGGGCGAATATATGACTGTATGACATGCCTACATATGGGATACGATGCAGCATGGATTGCGAAACCAGCAGTCGATGACGACAAACGACGATTGTACAATAGGACATGATAGGAAATATGTACATAGCATAAAATAATAATACCAGCAGCCCCCACTACCATCGCCTTAACAAGTCAAAACCAACAGATCAAAATCTCGTCCCAGAAACCCACAAACCCACTCCCTACCCTAGGTGTACATCCACTGCGTAAAATTCTCCGTAGTCCATAACCTAGATAGGTATCCATCTGCCAAACGCTCCAAATCCAGACCGACATACATCGAACCCACCTATCCCTGTAGCAACGAATCCACCCAAACAATCCAAACCCCAATCATTGATCGCAGGCCTAGAATAAAGTACCCGTTCCCATAATCCAACGGTAGATAGTAGATAAGTAGGTAGGTATGTAGGTTTCGGGACCGTCAGCGTGTCAAGCGCTCATTTGTGGGGGCTAGGTAACCTAGCGACAGGGTTTGGTTGGGTTGGGTTGGGTTGGGTCCACTGGTTGCCTGTAGATAGATACCTAGAGTCGGTGTGTGGCTTTGGAAGAGAAGTGAGTGAGTGAGGGAATGCCTAAGATAATTCTATATTCAAGATAAATTACTGACTTACTTACTTTGTACATCTACGCTTACATACCATATGTACTCCAGGCTCCATAGTAGTCCGAATAGAAATTAAAAGAGGGGGGGTATAGTATAGTATAGTGTGGTATTTCGTCATCACGGCGTATCGTCGGACGTGATGAACTCAACCACTGATCATGTTCTTGTGACTGAGGGGTAAATCAAATGATATCTATTCTACTTCTATTTATTATTCTTCACATATGAAATATTAACGAGCTAGTACCCATCCAGTAACAACCTCGTAGATGAAAATGTGATAGTGATAGAAAACGCTATACTCATCACCCGCGGCGGCTATTCCGGGGTGGTTATTTGTGGGTAGTAGATATGTGAGGGGTTGGTTTTCTGGCTTGGGTTGTTGGCGCTAAATTTATTGGATTGTAGACATGGCGCGTAAGTACATGTTGTAGGTGGTTTGGCGGGTAGGTACTAGTAGTTGGAGGGGTCAGCGAGGAGGAGAAGGAGAAGGTGGTGATGCATGGTGCATGGAAAGAGGGGTAGATGTACTCTGTACTCCGTAGGGGGGGTGGATGGATGGATGACATGGGGGGTTGGGGTATGTGCTTAGTAGATGCTGGATGGATTGGATACATTCGGGGGGGGGGGGTTTGGATTACGGTATATACGTGATTTTTCTAGTGGTATTTATGGGGAGTTTGTATTGGGGTTGGGTGGGTTAGTAAGATAAGGTACTATGGAGGTAGAGTTAAGAGTAGTGTTAATGTTAAATGAAGTATATTTGATGGATTGTTTGATTTGGTAGTATCAGGTTGGTTGCATTTCAAGCTGTAGGCAATGGCAGGGATTTGATATTGCGGTGTAGGTGGGTGTAGCTAAGTAGGTCGAGTAAGAATGTTGTACGGAGTAGGTATGGATATGGTATTTCTTTAACTTTGAGATATGAGACAGGGACGTAGACTGGTGAGGTGTGTTTGTAGCACGACCGATATGGTCTATATAAAACGGTGATTGGTTGGATGTGTGGTATTATTGTCTGCGTGCTGGTGATGGACTTGTGCTTGAAGGATATGCAGAGAAGTCATATGCCGAAGGTGACAGTGAGTAAACTAAGAGAACCCAGGAACCCTTGAGAACTCTTTGCCAATAAGGACATAGATCCAGGATATAAAGTTGGACTGACATCATTCGTGTCATATATCTACAGCGTAAAGACCAACCGACTAAGTATCTAAGTTCACATCGGACACTTATCTAAAGTACAGAGACTGCCTACCAACAACAGCACATCACGATCCGACTGGCGGGCGGAAACCTGCAGAATCTGTTGTCTCCGTAGCAGTATTATCTGAATCCATGGTTGGTCCAAACGATAGGCTGAGAATTCCATGATCCAAACCATGTGGGAATGTACAGCGGGTTGTTTGGGCTAGTATGATCCCTCCAGCATGCATTGAATGACACCGTAAGGCATCAACCAACATGTCTCCGTACCCCGTACTCCGTACCTACAGTATAATCGGTTAGGGCTCAGGGCAAGGGCTGAGTCAGGCGCACAATCCAGTCAGCCAGGAAGGACATCCTGGAAGCACGGAAATGAGACTCAAATTCCGGGCGCGCGATCGGCATGCGGCTGGGAGGGCTAGAATATGCAGGGGGTTGCTGAAAGACCAGAGGCAAAGCGACAGGTCGTGTCCCGTCAGTCTCGCTTGGATGGAAATGGCTTGTGTTTGCAGTTGGGTTGCTATCGGCTGTTGCTGGGATCAATGTGGGTTTGTTTATTGGGGGTCTGGAGAGTCCCATTGCGATAGAGGCTGGAGGCATTCTAACATTCTAAGCTATGGGTCTGGAAATGAATGTGATCAAACGCCAAATATTTCAATAATTTCGGGACAAAGGTACGCGGGTGATCGTATGTACCATACCATACAGCTTACAGCAACGCGGTACGCCATGTTCCAGAAGGAGGAAATCCCCAGCTGGAAAGCAAGACTATCAGGGCACGGCGCAGTCTAGATCGTCGCTTCCCGAGCAAGGGACGGTGAAAACTCTGCTGGCTGGTGTGACTGCCCTGTGGGGGAGATACTAGGTAGATACTCTGGAGGCCTTCCGCATTGGGCGCTGCTGAGATGTATTATTTGGTCGGTGGTGGTAGTAAGATCATCTCCATGCCGTGTAGCCTTTCACTCGACAGACCGCCATGCTGGCGTGCGATAGGCCAGACCAAGATTATTCGCAGAACAGCAAATGATATAGATTGGCGGGACGTATCTTCCCCTCCAAGAATCCAATGCATTTGCACCGTTGACGCCGGGCGGAGCTCCAGCGGCAACCGGGCTTGATCCCGCGGCCGGCAGGGCTCGTCCAATAGTGGCCATTACAATGAGTATCTTCTCTTCTCCTCTCTTATTAAGTATGATTCTTAAGGTTTCTGATATGATCTAGGACGGCCTTATGAATGTGACTCCTCCCGTCCCTACAGGCTGACGCCACCACGTAACCATGATCACATACGTCTCTGACCTGCCTGAACCCATAGCGCCATGTGCGACCTTGCAAAGATCCCCCATCCAGCCAGCGTCGAAAAAGGGCTGCCTATCTGTCAGGGGCTACGGAAATTTCTGTCTCCCGGTCGCTGATTGCGTGGGATTGATTGGGATTGATTGGGGCACTGACCCTACGGAAATCAATCCAACCGGACTAGCAGCAGCATTTGCTTTTCCCCTCCGTCAACTTGCCCGCATTGGAGGGATGGCTGTATGCAACCTTCAATAGTCCAGGGCCCAGACAGAATGGGCTTCGCGAGGAGTCTCACTCCATCATCCATCACAGTGACCTGACGAGCGCCAGATCCTGATCCTATCTTCTACAGATTTTTAAACTACCGCGCTCGACTCGCAAATTGCGGTCTGTCCAACGGGCGTGGTCCGATATGAAGGTGTGGTTGCTGCCCAGCTGGTCGGCAGCGGTAACGCCCATCCACCATCTGTTGCCCAACAACCCTGTTCGCGCTCGTGGCCTGGAGGTCAGATATCCATGCCTTATGGTTCCACCGGTTGGTTCAAGAAGTCAAGCTTGGTGTCGGGTCCCGGATAGCTACCATGGATTCCCGACGGGTTCCTCCGCGCCAGTCCATGGAACCGACCGTCCTGTCAGATCAGTCTATCTATTCACTATTGATGTACGGTACTCTGGACAGACGAATGCTGGACGCAGTAACTCTGTAGATGGGATATCCCGGTGGGATTTGGCATGGCGTCCAGCCACGGAGTACGGAGTAGAGGCTGTGGAAAGGATTGGCACTCTGTCGCCACCGTGCTAGGCACTCAGGTAGGACAGGCCTGTATAAGATGGTGAGCATCCATCTCACGATGACTGCCTTGAGAATATAGGAATATTAATATTTTTTACTCACGACTGAGCCACTTGTGGCAGCTGACCATGACTCACATTCCTTCGCCCGGAAACGTGATCTCCTCGCCATCCGGCAGGTTCCCACTGTAGGTACGCAGCCCCGGCTGTAAACGCCGCTGCGTGGTGGTGAGGTCGCCAATAGCGGCCCTCGGGAATCTTATCAAGCGTGATGTATGAACATGTTGAGGAAGATGACTGGGTTTCGCAGTAGAGGATCCTCTCTGCGCGTTATTCTCCGTACCGAGCCTGCCGTTGCCTGTTTCATGGCGGCGACCAGTCAGGGAGACAACGCGGGATGCCCGACAAGATGGTTCAGATGACTCTTGCGATGGCGCCCATCAATCGGATGATTCATCGTGAGGGCCCGAAGAGGCACCGCGCGATAGAAATCTGCGATCGGGCTGAGTATATTTAAACACCCGTCGCGCCAGTGAATAGTTTGTTTCTGGTGGTGGCGATTCCTCATTTGTTATTCCGACTAGATTGGGATGACTCTTGTCTTATCTTAACAGACCTTATAGTCTGTAGCAGGGGATGAGACTTTCCCAATAGTCGGTCGCCCTAGTGCCTTGCCTTGTGCTGTGCTGTGCCTGGTTTCAGTCTCCTTGGTCTGGTTGCTCGTTTGCTGTTTGCTGGAGGTGGTTGGGCCTGAAACCGCCCAAGCAAGCCAGCCCGGCGCCGTACTTTACCATACGTATGGTCACGCCCGCAACGAGACGGAACCGTAACGGGCGACCTGCCTTGACTAGACTTACATGACCCAAGGAACTAAGCGAACCCACCACGCTAAGTCACTAGCGTGGCTCCGCCGCAATAGCAGAGAGGACGATTAATTACCGAGCGGGCTACGCCAGCCCCACCCATACCAGTTCCTCCGTCCGTACATACAAAACCGGTTGGCTCCTCAGGACTCCGTCGCCGTCACCATTTCACTCACCCTTCTTGGGTTCTTTCTTACTACTTACTACTTACTATCTACTACTTACTCTCCACTCACCACTCCTCATCCTCACCACCACCTCCCCTATACTTCTTCCTAGGTCGCACTCGGAATCCCCGCCTATCGCTGGAGACAGCGATAACCTGGTCGTTTAATTCCTGTTTGCCCGGGGATCCAGGCCTTCTCGCACAGCCAGCCGCCTCGTCCCGTCTAACGTTCGGTTGAGCGACAACGTTCAAATGCACTCTTACCACATACAATTCGCCTCCTCCTCTCCCCTGGAAACCGTGCCTCGGTGACGGTTCTCTTCAACCATCTTTCGATTCCGTTGTCCTTTTAACCGGCGTCGATCGGCTTATTGAACGATATCCTGTATAATATACTTGGGTTGTGCTTTGTGCTTTGTTCTTTGCTTTATACACCTTTAGCGATTGCTGTGTTTGGGAGGCTTCCCATCCAAAAGTTGTCATTTCGTCCCCTCTCGCCGCCTTCAGCATCATATCGATGCGCATTTCGCGATAATGTACCATTACCCCAGTCCGCATCCCGGGTGGTCTTCCTACGACTACATGACCTCCCCGCCCACCTCGCCTCACTACGCCTTCTACGCCACTCAGTTTGCCACCCCTTACGCCTCCCCTCGCGGTCCATCGAAACGTCATAATCGCAAGGCCAGTTACGCCGGCACCAAGGAGACGGCAGGATGGTACTCTGGGTATGGACAGGGTGTCTACGAAGCGATGCCAGAGCATGGCACGCCACCGCGCAAGCACGATCCTGTAAGTGCTTCTTTTGGTGGCTATCACCGTCGCCGTAGTACCATGTCAGGTGCGCCCGCCGGTCCGTGGGATGCCGCCGGTCCCCACCCGTCGCAGCCGTCGCACAAGCCATCGATCTACGTGGAAGTGGTCGAGGATGCATTCGATGACGCCCTCCGATACGGCCTTCACGAGGAACCCAGTCCTCTTCGTCGCAAACCGTCGACGCCTCAGCGCAAGCCGAAGCCACGCACTGATCAATACTTTTACTATAACCAGGTCCCTGCCCATGATGACGTTGATTCCCCGAAACGCTCGCGTGCGCGCCGCCAGTCCACCTCCACCCGGACGCCATCGAAACCCAAGCCTGAACCTGCCGCGAAGCCACCACCCAATGCCACGGAAGAGGATGCTGCGCGTGCCGGCATCCCCCCGGGTTACTCGATCAAGAACTGGGATCCGACGGAGATGCCAATTATCCTGCTGGGGAGTGTGTTCGATGCGAATTCGCTCGGCAAGTGGATCTACGACTGGACTGTTTTTCATCATGGCGCGTCGACCCCGATGGCGGATGTTGCGGGGGATCTGTGGTTGCTGTTGATCAAGCTAGCGGGTAAGGTGAAGCGGGCGGACGAATGCGTCGACCGCATCAAGCGCCAGGATGCGCACGAAGTGGTGGGGGATTTTCTGGAAAGTGGCGAACGGCTGTGGGCGCGATTCAAGAAGCTACTGAAAACGTGCGAACAGTTCATGTGGAAGGCGGCCAAGCGCGATGGCAACAAGCCGGTTTCGATGGGTCGCAATGCGGGCTGTGAATTTGTGGAGACGATTTTCGGCCGCGACCGCGAGCTGGAAAGCACGGAGAAGTTGATGAACAGCATTCGGCTATGGAACATGCGCTTTGACGCCAACTGCGAGACCATTCTTCGCCGCCCGTCCGCGGCATAATCGGACCCAAAAGTAATACTGTTGATTTTACTGCAGCGACAGATGCGTTTTTCGCATCGCACGGGAATACAGGCGCGTGAGCGTTGGCCTTGATTCATCTATTATTATCGGATTGCATTTGGGCGCGTTTGGTTTGGCTCGGCTTGTCCGACTGGATTGCTGCTGCATGTGATTGAACCTTGAATATACCGCTATCAGCGCGGGAGGCATTATTATTATTACTCTTTTCCTTTGTGATACATTTCCTTTCTGCTACATTCTGGGACGGGGATCTGCTTGTCTGGCAGCATGCAAGTGGCTTGACTTCGTTCTGTCTTTATGATACCATTCTGCGACGCACTCGGTTGGCGGTTCGGTTGGATGATTGTTTCTTTTTTTTCCTTTGTCTTGCACGCATCATCTATCTTGTTGGCATTCTAGGTTCACTCAGAGTACATACTAGATACCCACTACCATACCGATAGAGCAATATATCAACATCATCACCCATCTAATTCTTACTATTACCTTCCCCCCTACCCCACCACGTAATAAATACAAAATAATAACTACCATCTGACATCTGACATCACCCCCCCTCCCCCACTCCAATAATAAATAACCACTCATGCACGCGCCCAACGCCCATGTGGTCTACTACCACTCAGACACCCAATCCGATCGATCCCTACCCGATCCGTGCCCCTAACTAAGTAACCGACGAATCAGCCCCTTTCCGACGCATGCACGGTTATGTCGCACTGGCATTCGTTCGTTGGCTTGGCCTATCAGAACATTTCAGATCAAATCACATTTCTTTTGGGAAAGGGGAGGGAAGGAGAGGGGCGGGGCTGGGATGGCTGTATCTGGTCTCGTGGTGGGGGTTCGGGTTTTTCGGGTTCGATGGGTATTTGTTCTGATATGGGGTGGGTGTTGTATTTGGTTGTTATTAGTTGTTTGGGTTGGGGGGTTATGATGATGGGTAGGTAGGTAGGTAGGTAGATAGTTAGTTGGTATGTAGGTGGGTTGATGCTGGGTGGGTGATGGATAGGTAGTAAGTAGTGTGTTCTTTTGTGGATGGATTGATGTTTTGGTGATAGGGGGTTATTGAGGATTTATATGTGAGGGAGGGTGCAAGGGGTGCGTTGTGGGGTGAGAGCATGGATGGATGATAGTAAATGTAGTGTTGGGGATACTTACTTTCTTTACTATTGTTTACGTATTAATTGCAGTTGATAGATCCAGAGTGTGATGGGAGTAAATGTATTGTATTGTATGTATTCTGGGTAAATGGGTCTCTCACTGTCGACTACTATGCATGAGGCGATGTTCTTGATTTGCAAAATATGGTCCTGGATCGCTCTAGATCCATGTCTGGCATTGAGGAGCTGTTGAATGGTTGTAGGTTGGCTCATGCTGTGTTATTGAGGTTGGTTATAGACAGGAGAGTTGAGGCTAGGTTGCTGGTCTCTTCAGTTGAAGCTTCTTGGTCGTTTTGGCGGTTGTTCTGAGCAAGAGTTGGGTTGCCATTATTTTATTGTTTTGAGATAGGACAAGTCTTACTCCAAATATTTGTTTGTCGTACCCGTCGTGGATGGGATGCACGCGTTGAGATAATTAGGGCATATGCGAAAGCATCAGTTGGCCACAAGGGAGAAGGACATCCACAATAAACAGGAGACCTGCCATACAGAATCGTGAGGACTCACCTCAGTATCATAGCCAGTACCCAAGATAGCACAGTTGCTCGATCTCCATTGCCTGCAGCATCAATCTCGCCTTGAAGACAAGCCTGTGTCACACCAACCTTTGCTCCATCACTCATGAGGTACCAGAAAAGCCGTGTTAGAGCACGCATAGCTTCTAGCCAGTTTTCCTTGAGGAGTAAGTTGTAACTCCGAGGAAATCTCAGATCGAATGTCTTCTCCAGGGAATATCCCTTTACATGAACCCTTGTTATTGTGTTCAGTATTAGATATGAAATATAGCCAAGGGAATTGTACTAAGAACTAGGTAGATGTAATGCAAGCTGATAGGTATCCAGGTACTAGTACTAGTCAAGTGCTATTAGCTTCACCCGACATTCAAAAATCTGGAAGGTTATGTTTTTGAAGTAAACGGAGATCTTGTCGGTGGCTTTCTTGTAAAGTCTAGCTAGGAAGTCGCGGAGCTAAGTAGACTTATGGTTAAGTCTCCTATATCACAAGTCATCTGTGATTATTAGTGTAGCCCATTCTCGTGAACCATCGTTCCCTCCCAGATTCACAATATGAATACGCACCATATTGCCATCTCACATGTTACCAAGACTAACGCAGATCGGAGAGGCGGGCTATGTGGTTTCAGAATGTTGGACACGTTGAACTATGGTTCAGCTCTTCGTATTAATGACGTGGTGTACCCATATGCGGGAGGGGTTGATAATCTTGGGTAAGCAGTTGTGCAACGATATAAATGCTGGATCTCCCGTCCCTCTGGTTTAGCTATACCATTCATGCCTCCTTCAATTTGTGCTACTGGCAGACGTCATTAACATTCTTTACCTAGAGGGAATCCAAGCCTTCCAGCCTACGGCATCCTATGTAACCACAGATGGATAACATGAAGGCCATCGTGATCGAAAAGTTCGGGGGCCCGGATTCTTTGGTTATCAAGGACATTCCCATCCCAGAACCTAATGTTGGAGAGGTTTTAATTAGTGTCAAGGCTTTCGGAATTAACCATGCGGAGATGCACATGCGCAAGGGCGAATGGACCGAGTGGATGCCCGTGAGTGGGATTGAATGCGTTGGCATTGTCGCCGCCTGTCCTGGTGGTGAATTTGAACAAGGAACCCCAGTGGCTAGCCTGATGGGCGGCCTGGGGCGCACCATCAATGGCAGCTACGCCCAGTATACAAAGGCGCGGGCATCCAATGTAGTTTGCCTAGGACCTACAGCTTCAGCGCTAGGATGGCATCAGCTGGCTGCTATTCCCGAATCCTATGCTACTGCCTGGACCTGCTTGTTTCGGAATCTCAGTCTAATGAGCGGACAGAAACTATTGATCCGTGGGGCAACTTCAGCATTCGGCCAAGCAGCATTGAACCTGGCGGTAGAAAAGGGCGCTCATGTGGTCGCGACAAGTCGTAACGCGAGTCGCTTCGCTCTTTTGAAGTCTTTGGGTGCCGAGGGCACAGAGATGGAAGGGCCAGAGCTATCCAGACGCTTGACAGACCGCTTTGATGTCATCCTGGACCTTGTTGGAAATAGCAAGATTGTGGACTCGCTGAAAATGGTGCGTCGGGACGGCAGAGTGTGCCTGGCAGGCTTCCTGGGAGGACTGGCACCGATTCCAGACTTCAACCCGCTCCTACAGATGGCCAGTGGAGTGCATTTCAGCTTCTTTGGGAGCTTTGTCTTTGGAACCCCCGAGTTTCCCTTGTCAGACGTTCCCTTGCAAGCGATTGTCAAGATGATTGCGGAAAAGAAATTCAAGGCAGAGCCATTGCGAGTCTTCAAATTCGACGAGATCCGAGAGGCGCATAGGGTGATGGAAGCGAACGAAGCAGGTGGGAAGATGGTTGTGGTGGTCGATTAGGAAATGCTTTTCCATAATCTTATCAGCGACGGAACAAATAAAACGAGACGTTTCGCCGATGTGATACGTGCAAAAGGCGCATATCTATTGAATCTATTATTGCCTTGATGGTAGATCCTCTGCGGTGGCGCTAAAGTTGGGGATCAACCAGCCCGATAAGGACCCGGTCGGCCCACCGGACATGACTGATAAGGAGATTGGTGTGGGGTCCACTTCAAGCTTCAGCGACCTGACATGTTGTTTCTAGATGGATTATGGAGGGTTTGGTGGGCACAGTCTGTCCCAGCCACTGTCCATGGATTGAAAGAACAGTGTGAAGGATTGCGTTTCTTCCCTGGAAGAACTCAGGTCGGGATCAACCATTGTTCCGGCTCAGGCCATTCCTCCATCTCTCCATCTCTCCATTCCTCCATCCCCGCCTTGTTCGGAATGCTTCTCGGAATTGTTTACTCAAGATTCCCAACTTCCGGTCCTGTGTCGCATATATCTTTCCCGTTCTTGTTCTTCCTCATCTGAAGGCTACCTCAGCATCTCGTTCCACTCCCTATCATGCTCTCACGTATCTGAAGTGGTCTCCTGGCACGCTCCGTCGCAGTCATGGATCCCGAGGCCCAAGCGCGCTTCGACCTCATCAGCGAAAACCTCGCCGAGGTCCTCAATCCCGAATTAATTGAGAGTATTCTGATCGAAAAGAGAAGCCCACGAGTGTACTGGGGAGTAAGAATTTATTCCACCTACTTTCCATTTGCGATTCACAAGCTAATGTCCTCATTGCCTGTAGACTGCCACAACGGGCCGGCCTCATACCGGCTATTTCGTCCCCGCATTAAAGATCGCACAACTCCTCAAGGCCGGATGCAATGTCGTCGTCCTACTGGCTGACATTCACGGATTTCTCGACAACCTCAAAGCACCACTCGATCTGGTCGAGAGCCGTGCACAATACTATCGCAAGGTCATTACGGCAATTCTGGAGTCGGTGGGGGTGTCTACGGAAGAGCTGGAATTTGTTTTCGGGAGTTCCTACCAGAAAAGTCCCGAATATGTCATGGATGTATATCGACTGTCCTCTTTGACTTCAGAGCATGATGGTAGGATTTTGCCCTATTTAGTGGCATTCTGAGAATGCTAATGTTATTAGCCAAACGAGCTGGAGCGGAAGTCGTCAAGCAGTCCAACAATGCGCCTTTAAGCGGCCTCTTGTATCCTATCTTGCAAGGTTAGAATCTTCGATGTACTGTATTGTCATCCCATATTGCTCACTGACTACGCAGTGCTTGATGAGGAGCACCTAAATGCCGATGCGCAACTAGGAGGTATGGATCAGAGGAAGCTGTTTGTGGCCGCAACGGAGTGGCTACCTAAACTTGGATATCGAAAGGTATACCTACAAGACCGACATGAAATGTGGCCACATCATACTTATCCTTGTTTCTAGCGTTGCCACCTGGTCAACAAAATGGTAGCTGGGCTACAGGGAGGCAAGATGAGCTCTAGCGATCAAGGTATTTTCTCCACTATCTCTCGCGCTAAGTAGCCTTCTGTCCTAACAATCATCAGATAGCAAAATTGATCTTCTTGACCCTCCGGAGAGCGTTTCGAAGAAGATTCGCAAAGCCGAAGCAGCCCCGCGTGTCGTCGAAGAAAACGGTGTTCTTGCATTAGTCGAGTTTATCCTGCTCCCCGCAGCCGCTTTGAAAGGAATCAAGGAATTCCGAGTTGAGCGCAGGGATGCAGAGCCCTTAGTCTACACTGACATTCAGCAGCTTCACGACGATTACAAGAATGATATCGTATGTATATGATGTTAAAGATTCCCAAGTCACTATACTAAAAATCAATACCAGTTAACGCCACAACTTCTCAAGCCAGCCGTTGCAGCCGCGTTGGCCAGCCTTATGGCACCAATCCAGAAAGCATATCAGGACTCACTTGACTGGCAAGAAATCACATTAAAGGCCTACTCGCCAGCAGTTCAAAAGAAACAGAAGAAGGTCAAAGATAAGGGCTCCCGCTACCCGGGTTCCAACAAGGACCAAAACCTGGAGAAGGCCACCGATCCTCAAGATCAATACTTATAAGCCAAGAAGGGGGTGTCTAGAATTTTTAGAATTCTCAAGCTTTCAACCCGTGTGAACGTACCGCAAGAAATTTGTTGCCAATCCAGATGGGAACCCTCTCCACCGAGGTAGTGGTCACAGTCCCTGATACAAATCCTCTTGTGAAATTCAGGTAGCAGAAACCCCTTTTATCCTGTCAGATCCCAATTACGATCGATCGTGACAGTACTAATAGTACGGATGGTGTATCATACCCCATCGTACGTGGGATGGAAATGGCTTACCAAGCCGGGTGGGTGCCGATATTAACTCCGACAATTATTACTATATGTTATTACTATAAGGAAGGTTTGCAACATTCGGAATATAGCCGCCTGAACGCCTGAGGGTCTCTATAATCCGGGTCTCGGCCTTCCCTCTGCTTCCATCCCAACACTTTGACTCTTCCTGGCCCCAACGCGATGGTTCCCACGAGTCGTCTCAAGGCTACCTGAGGTGAAGTAGAAGGTAATACACCCTCTTTATCTCAAAGGGTCGATATTATTTATCCCCATTTAAATCATTATTCTCTTCATGATTGGATGGCATACGTCCCAGTCTACAGCTAACTGTTTCTCATTAGTATGCTACACCTTGAAATGGCAGCTTTCACTACCCACCGAATGGTGGCAAAGCGTTGATGTGATCCTACAATCAGAGTCAGGCACTCATCCACCGGCCTGGCCTGAGGACTCACGGGACGTTCAGCTCTGGTCATGGGATTCATCCTGGATGGAGTTGGGGACCCAGGACTGGGGATCTCCGTTCACGTTGGCGTTCTTCCTCCGGGCACTGAAATGTGCCAACACAAGCACTGGAAGCGCCATACGACTAGTCTTCCCTTCTGAAAGCGGGTACCTCGTTCGTTCAGATATCTTATCATTGCGAATGGTGGACCTGGAGCCAGTTGAATCAACCGTTTCCTTTGTCGCCACACCAGGAAAGCCGTTCGGGCCTCTTCTGATCGACTCGAACACAGCGCCCATCTTTCCGCACGCTATCATGAATAGTACGGTAGGTGGTATCCTACTTCGGACACCATCTGCCCATGAAGACTACCAAGATCTCTTTCGTCAGCTTGACGATGAATTCACGAATCGACTATCCTTCCCTTGGCATTTAGCCTCTCCTCCACAGCGCAAGACGCTGGCAATAGTAGAAGGGGGACGCACTGGCCCTGATCATGGGGGCCTGGCGACGGGCATCTATGCGGCAGCCGATGCATTGAACATTGACATGATTGTCCTTGACGTCCCGGGACACTGGCTCGAGGGTCCCAAATATGCCTCCTGGCGCAAGGAATTTGTCCCGGTTGAGCTCGAGCCTCCATCGTTGCTGGCAGATCGAATTGTTGAGGCCTTATCTCGTTTTAATGTTGACGGGATTGTTACCTTCTGCGATTCTTACCAGGTTCCTGTTGCCCAGGCAGCGAAGCGTCTGAGACTACCTACTCACCCACCAGAAGCATACGAAATTGCGACAGACAAGCATCGCACAGCCGTGTCCGAGGGTCGTCCTGCCTACCGTGTCCACAATCTCGAAGAGGCCTTCGATATTGTGGATAGAGAGAACCTCGTGTACCCCTTTATCATCAAACCTTGCAAAGGATTTCTATCTGAAGGAGTGTTCAAAGTTCATGGTCCTGAAGAGCTATCCCATGCAATCAGCAATATCCATTTGGACCGCCACGGGACTGAGGTCGTGCTTGAGGCTTACTGCGACGGTCCCAAAGTGGACATCAACCTTGTGCTTTCCGAGGGCGAACTCGTCTTCTGCGAGGTTACTGATGACTTTCCTAAGACTGCCGATGAGGACAGTGAGACAACTGAGTCTACCGGCCAACTCAAATCCTTCCTTGAGCTGACGTGTGTTATGCCATCCAAACTTCCAACATCCGAGATTGATCTTCTGCGCAACTCGCTGCACCAGAGCCTGCTTCGTTTGGGCCTCACCACTGGCATCTATCACGTAGAAGCTCGAGTGCAGCACTCCTCAATGGAATATGGGAAAAGCGACGCAGCTACAGCCCTTGTCGATTTGATCCCGCTGGTCAATCCCGATGAAAAAAAACCATCCGTGTGGTTGATTGAAATCAACCCTCGCTTCCCGGGAATTCAGGAGACCGTAGCCGTGGAGTCTGCTTACGGAGTAGACTACCGTGGCATTGGACTCCTGGCAGGACTTCGCGATCACGACCGCCTCCGTGCTCTGGCACAGCCATTCAGACAGGGACCCCAGTACTGGACCCAGATCGTATGCATCCCGGTCCCTATCGAGGGCACCTTTGACTCGGATGATGTTTGTGTGGAGTTAAAACAGCGACGTCCAGACTTTGCCAGGCAGATCTGCATGAGTGCTTGCTTTGTGAAAAGGGGAGATAGAGTATATGGGCTGGAATCGGGCATCAATTCTTGGGTGGCTTACTTCAATGTGTTTTCAAGAATCAGCCGCCAGCATGCCTTGGGGTTGGGGGAGACCGTTCGCCGCGAAACTCGATTCACTATCATTTAAGTTCCGTTGTCATGGATGTTGATTAATAGTTAGCTTCCCTCAGTTGAATCATCTATATAGTATATCTCGATTCTATAGTTCATTGTCGTATCTCCACGAGTACTCTTATGAAACATGAGCTTATTTTGACTAGTAGTAGTGCTGCAAGACATTAAACAATCCAATTCAAATCGCCCGATAGTACTTCCACCATACCAATACTACTCAATTCCTATCCCGAACTAAATTCAGTTTCATTTGATAAAGACCTTCTCCGTCCCAGAACCATTCCATCATCTTCTCACAATTCAAATCCCCTCCCCCCCTTGGGTTCCAGCATCCAAACCCCCCCTCCCAAAACCAGAATTACCCCCTGATTTGATTAGTTCCCATCCATCCCGATCCCCTCGTTGAGAAAAGACCCTAACCAAGTACCAAGTTACCGACCAGAAGGGCACTAAGCACCCCATGAACCTGGACAAGAATCAATATTCTTTGAATTATCAAAGACAAGTACTACGTACAGACGACCGCTAGGAGATATACCATGAGCTGAGCTGGGATGGGGAGTGTTTCTCAGCATCTGGATAGATTAGTAGATAACATATGCGTTTTATCCATTCCACTCGTAGAGTTAGATTTCCTCTCTTCCTCGTTTTGTCAACTACTATTATCGGACAAGTTTGGCTTGGCTTGGCTTGCTTCCCTGAGAATATTAACAGCAGAAAAAGAAGAGTACTAGGATAGAGAAGGTCTCGTGAACTTGAAAGTGATCCCTTCGTGGTTATGCAGAACTATCCTGTTATATATATATATAGTAATAGTAGTAGTATTGTTTGGCTTGTGGAGACAGGGGTTCCATATATGCCTACCTAGGCCATGATTGGACTGGATATCATTGTTGTTTGCTTGGTTCGTCGGTTGAGGTTGCTTGGAGTTGGAGGTATGGTTTACAGGAGAAGTTGACTTTGTTTTTTTTTGGATATCGGGAGCGGGGGAGATTCTTATTCATGATGATGGGAAGGGGGGTTTGTTGAGTGGGACTGGATTGGATTGGATGGAAGGGAATGGAGGATGGTGAGTTTGGGAGAGGTGAATTGGAAAGGAGTGGTATTTAGCATCCCGGGAGGTTGCAATCACTATTTCAAGGCGACATCGAAGCTGCCTTGATTGTTTACCTTCCTAGGTACCCCCTGATGTCATGGACTGCAGTAGGTCAAGTGCCTTGGAAGCCTCCATACGGTCAGATGGCATGAATCTCAACAATCCTTTGATCACGGGGAGAAGGGGTGCAAGAGCTGGATCAGACACATTTGTGTAGAATATTTCATCCAGTTTGGATGCGTTACAAGCTTTTGAGCAGAATTAGTTAAAGGAATAAGGTCAAAATGTTGATCCAGTGGAGACATGTCACTGGCTGCACTTACTTTCATCCACCTGCATAGCGAACTTAGAGTCTGATCGCATGTGCTGCCACACGGGCTGCCATTCTATTGGCAATTTCTCTATAAAGCCTATCATCTGGGCACTGCAGGCACTCATCTTGCCCCAGTAATGAAACGGATATGTTTTGAAAATAAACATATAGAGCTAGATACTAGGTGTCAGTCAGGAGCTCTCGAACCGAACCAAGGTAGAGATGACTCACCATGCAGCCTGCACGCCATAAATCGACTTTATAATCAAAGCATTCCGTGAATATCGTCTCAGGTACGCGTAGTGGCCCTGGCTGGGCAAGTTTGATAGGCTCTTTGCCTTGAAATGAAACTTTCCCCTAAATCTAATATCCGAATATCCTCATCATCCTCATCAATCCACTCCATCCAATTAGCTACCTTCACTAAGTGTCTCGGCACGCCTTTTTCCAACGGCTGGCCATCAGTACGACTCAATCGGTCAATCTCTGGAGTCCCTAAAACTTCAAAGATTTCTTCCTTAGATGCTTTTGATAAACGGCTACCACTGAAGGCGATATTTGCGCCACTTATATCTATTATCCTTTCAGTATGACGAGATAAGAAGGAAGAAAAAGGAATAGTGTTTCTTACCACCGTGACCCATCCCCGCATCATGAATAAAAGCAATACCTTCCAGAAGCTGTTTCGATATTCGAAGAATAGTCTCAGTCCCAAGTCGTTCCTCAGGCTCATAGTAATTCCGTAACACCAATTCAACCGATGGGCCAAGCAATTCAAACACAAGTCATTGATGGACACCATTAGGACCCTGATGGAAAGATGTATCCAGGAACTGAACAATATATTTTGACGACAGAGATCCCTGGGAATGCTTCTCCAACCGTCGAAGATTGTTGAGTTCGCAGGATTCTACTGAGCGGTCTGCTGCCATGATTTTCAAGGAAGCCCATTGATCTTGCCTTCTACAGGTTAATACCGACACATGGCGATCAAAATGGATGGTGAGAGGGGGCAGCCTTACTCTAGATCACGTACAAGCCAAACAGTTGAATATCCTCCCCATCCTAGCTTATGGTGTACTTCATAGCGGCCGTCTTTGAAGGTATCGCCAAGACTGACGGGATGGTAACCGCCCGGTTGATACCGGGCAAAGCTTTCCTGGGTATAAAGCAAATCGGTATGACGATAAGGAGAGGAGTGGTTATTCATTGTGACAATGCAAGGAAGGATTGAAGAATGAGGAAGAAGGAAGAGAGGGGAACTTGAAGGGAGTTGACCCGGGAATAAGTGAGGTCCCGTCCGCGGAAATACGCGCGGGCCAGATATCAGGCGCAATGATTGGCTCCCGGCTTGCTTGCATAACTCTCGATTCGTTTTGTCCATTGATCGGTATTTATGGCGGGTACCAACGAAAGCGTCACATCACAGATGCCTTAACCTGCCCTGTCATTGGCCACCCTATGGAGTGGCAGGGTTGCCCTACGGTCCCAAGACATAGAAGCCACAAGGTCTAACAGAATGCCTGATCTTGTTGAGTCGTAGTCCCCTCTCATCTCACAGTATGACCATGTCCTTAGCTAGCGTAGATAGGATGACTGGGTATGAAGGTTCCCTTTGACGCCTCAAAACACCTCAGTACATTCTCACGAATTACAAGCACAATGGGGACTTTAAACCGTTTGCTTATATAGCCCATCCAACAAATCATTCATGGATGATAGATAGCAAAGTAGCTTTGAGGACGCCAGTCCTATGGTATTATCATATTGACATTGATTTGAATGAGGTAGTATAACAGGCAGTAAATCCCAATGTCGAGTAAATGATGCGCGTGTGGGTTCCCACGGTGAATGCAATCCAAGGTAGCTTTCAGGACCTAATCAATTGCACTAGTACAGGCTTGAAGGAATTTCTATCCAGTGCAGTTGGAAATAACACGCATTACAACCCCAACAAACTAATCGTCGAACTACGTTTCGACGACGGTTTCCTCACACCCAGACCCATCAATTGCCGCACGGCCATTTGGGCCCCCCGTACCCCATAATCCATCGTGACCGCCACTTCGCTCGGGATCTCCACAAACTGGCCGATTAGGCCGAGATTGACGATTCCCGGGGGGATCACCCGCGGGCGATCGCCGTCCGTGCGGGGCAATAATGTCGCGGCCATGCGCGGTACCACGCATGGAATGGTGATGGCGTGGTTGAGGATTTCGCGGACGGGAAATTTGAGCTGGTGGAGGATTTCCTCGAAGATTTCTTGGCCCGAGCATTCGAGCATGGGTTTTTTGATGAATTCGCCTTCGCGGTCTGGGTACATTGCATAGCCCCAGAGGACTTGGATGTTGGGGGGTTGGTTCGGGAATAAGGGTTGCTGGGGGAGACTGAGGCTGATGAGCCAAGGGGTGTCTTTTAGGGTGGTTAAGGTGCTGCTGCCGGGTTTGTCGCGGGTGAGGGTGGTAAATCGGGTGAAGAAGTCTGGGGTGGATAGAGTGATAGTGAAGGATTCGAGGCGGGATTCGCTCATTCGGGTGCAGAAGTTGTAGGCGTTTCCAAAGATGGGGTTCTTGGTGGAGAGTTCGAGCCAGAGGAGCCAGTTCTCGTCGAGGTCTTTTTCGATTTCCATGAGTTCGAGGGATGGTGGGGTCGTGTTGGTGCCTGTTGTGGAACCGGACATGACGGAGCCTAAGGAGACGAGCACGATGTCGCGTGGGCTCAGGGATATTGTGTGCTCCGGTTCGTTTTCATGAATGGCCTTGATGGCAGATACGCGGTGCGGGTCGCTACTGGACGGGGAGGTGATGATGTCGGTGACGGTAGTGTGGAAGCGAAAGTCGACGCCCTCGGAGCGTAGAAACTGCGCAATGGGCGAGATGATAGACTCGTGTCGGTTGAAGCGACCGCCATCAAGCCGTTGGCGCCGATTCAGATTGTGAATGTCATGCATGAAGTGCTGCAGGTAGCGCCGAAATTCGGCTGCGCTGTGGGTGGGCTTGATACCGAAGCTGGTGGGTGTTGTCAGGTTGGCAAGATGACGGTGCAGGGAATGGCTCACGTCGTGGATAGGATCAGCCAGTAGCCGCTCCTGAAGAAGCTTTTGCTGAAGTGGTCGCAAATGCGCGTGCGTCCGAGCGACTTTTCTGCTTTCGAGCCCATCATGAACAGGTCGACGCGGTCGCGCAGGCCCACGCTGGCTTCTTTAGCAGTGATACGTTCGATACTGTGCTTATGACGGGTCAGGAAGCGGGTGTGTGGTGTATCTTTGACGGCCTCGGTGTCCCAGTATTGATTGATCTCTTCGAGGACGGTTTGGTCGGGATCATCCTTGGAAGGGACCAAGTCAAGAAGCTCCTCCATGCAGACGTCGTTGAACGGGGGCATCCCTCCACCACGGTAATCGTAACCATTGACATGGTCGCCAGAACTGACCGTCCCGCCCCCGGCCTGGCTCAGGGTTTCGAGGATGTGAATGCGCGAAGGGGGCAAGTTTGCCTCTTGGATGAGATAGACAGCGGCCGTAAGTGAAGTAATTCCCGCGCCTAGGATCCAAGCGTCCATCTCCTCTGGATGGCGGCGCTCCGGGGGTGGAGTAAGCGGGACCGAAGAAGAGGACATGATGGCGATGGTCCTTAACCTAGCGAGCAGCAGAGGGATTCAAGAGGATATAAATCATGCCTCATACGTTCTGGCCAAATCCGGAGGTGGCGGAAGGTTTCTGATGTCAGGGCTCGACGACTTCCTCCTTGTCAGGAGAGCAGAACCATGGTTCATCCCGGCTAGGCCCACGCTGACGACACAATGATCCCTATGGCAGCAGGTTGTTGGTTTCATGTGGCTAGTCCTTATCCCCAGAAGGGTTTCCTAAGCGTATATGTTCTAGAACCAGTGGCTGGAAGAATTTTCCGGCTACTCTCGGGACCCTCGGTTCTCGCCAAACGGGCACTGTCCCCTGCGTTCCTTGTTCAACACATCCTCGATCTCCCGCACAGACTGACGGCCCTTTCCTTCAAAGTACCTCGGCCCTAGGTCTGCCAGATCAAAACCATGGGGGTAGTAAGTGTCGCCCTCATCCCCGGGGAGTGGCAGTCCGACGGCCCAGGTTACCCACGCCCCTGGGCCCCAACGGTTCCAGAACGTGGGCTGCACATAGTACGGCATTCCCTTCCAAACCCGGACATAGTACCGACCTTTTTCATTCGGAGTTCTGCTGAAGACCTCGAGTCGGAGGAAATCGGGACGAGGGGGCGCGAGATATCGCAGGACGAATCTCCGGAGGCCGACAATCCCGGCAAATATCTTTCGGTGCAGCACAGGTGGCGCATCATACCTGGTCCATGATCCATGAGCCAATCACCCAACCCAGAGCATCGAAAGAAGACTCACATCATCGCCTTACGCAACCTATCATCCATCACACAGGTAGCCAATCGGACCCCGATACCTCTCACCCAGTCAGGAAACCCATAAACAACCACATCCATGGTCTTGTCAGCAACCAGACGATTAGTTTCATCCGGCCTCATATTCTCCATTTCATACTTAGCACTCCACTCCCGTATCTCCTCCAAGAAATGTAACCCATCTCGAAACCCATTCTCACCCGACGGCAACAGACCGTAACTAATCCCCAAGGCATCGCCAAGACTCTTCCAGTACGTGCCGATAGCACACTGCTCCAAATCCGTCATGTCCCTCCACTCGAACCGTTGCACAAAGCGGATTGGCTCAGTCGCAAATAAACTCAGTGTATAGAGCATGTCTGACTCGAGGATCTTGCCGCTGGCGCGGTATCCGGCGTGAAGGAACCTGGTGCGGGCAATGGCGGTGCGGGCGCGCGGGGAGGTGGGAGCGTAGGTCATGAATTGGCCAATGAGGGCGCCGGTGTCTGCGTAGCGCTTGAAGGATGTGGCTGGGTTGGAGAGTTGGGAGGTTTGGAGGAGCAGGGACGAGATGGTGGGGGTGCCGTACGTCTGTACAATCACATGTTAGTACCTCGAGGGTCGGGCGGGGAGAGGGAATGTGTTGGGATACCCGGAACAGCGCAAACTGTAGCGCTTTTATGGCTGTAGTAGGAAACTCAAGCTGGAGAATGTTCTTCTGGATGGCCCAGGCGTCGTGATCGGTCATCTGAGCCATGGATGCCCGGGTGGCATAGTGAGGGTATTGGTGGCGGAGTTGGCGGACGCGCTGGAAGCGGAGAGCGGAGACGAGGAGGAGGTAGGCTAGGATCAGGGTGAGGGCGATGGTGAGATGGGGGGAGGGAAGTTGATCAAACGTGGAGGGGATAGTACTAGTTGCAAGGAGGCTTTTGAAGGCGGACATGGTGGTTAATCGTGGACGTTTGTTGCTGTGAAGGATGGAGAAGTTTGAGAGGTGGCGGTTATATACTTCCAGTACCATGTAATATACACCTGCCAGGGCTGTCATGACCGCTACTATATCGTATACCTCAACCACTTCCTTCATGTGCCACAATCAACGGCAAGCGGACCGAGGAAGAGGGGCGCGGGGTGCCGATCAATCAGTCGATCCTTCAGCGAGGAGCCGGTTTGGGATGCGCTGTGTGGAATCCATAGCCGAGGATATACAGGGAGTCAGAAAAATTCTGCCGGACAGAAGAAGCCGATACACTACAGTCTAAATTCACCGAGGGGGACGTGATGCAGCTGCCCTAGGCATGTAAGATTCCATTCTGATCATACTGCAACAACGGTGATCCACTACGCTAGATATGATAGAGGCCTAACATCTCCCCCTCTCCTTTACGGACACTACTCAGTGTTTATGGTTCCCTCGACCACTAAGACCACATGCGTCGAATATTCGTCCCCCGCAAACGCGCCTCGATAGTCCTCAGCCGGTTCGGCGTCAAGTCCATATGGCGTGAGTTGGCCAGCCTCCAGCGCGGGTCATCCAAGTCCTCGCCGTCGTGTTCCTCCCTCAGGTAATCCCTTCCCCCGTAGCGAGCCACAGCCCAGATCCACCACATGGTAAAGCGCAAGGGATCATACTCCCCCTGAACGGGGATCTGGTCTCGGTTGATGGCAAAAGTGAGCACTCGGAACTTTTCGAGGAATGCCATGAGCAAGGCCTCCTGCTCGCCGCTCAGATAGTTCACAAAGTAATCTCGGTGTCGCTGGTATCTCGGTTCCGGGGCTGGTTTCGAATCATACATGAGCAGGTGCATGCCGGCGTCGTGGCGGGTCTGCACCGGCGATTGTCGCGGTGCCGCGATGACCGCAAGAGCCCAGTAATGCCAGACGGATCCCGTGAGATGGTGCTCCCTCGTGACACAGAGCGTGGCCCAGTTCTGCTCTCCGACGTGAAAATAGAGGTTGTGAAGATGGTGGCCATTTCGTTTATCCGAGTCGGTGTATTTGAGCCATTTGCCATCACGATCATGATCGTCGATAAAACACAGGGGACGGTGGTTGACAGCAAAGTCAACCCCGCAGTCTTTCAGGTTGCGTCGAAACGAGGCGAGATGGACTGCAATCGTGTTCAAGTCGTCCTTCTCGTTGATCATCCGTATGTGCCAGGGCAATTGAACGAGCGTTGGGGTGATGGTGTCGTCCATCTCCTGATCATTGTTCCCCCACAAACTGTCACGCATGGGGAGTCCGTCATTGGACAAAACGCCCCCGGGGATCCGACGGAGCTCAACTCTCTTCGGCTTGCGGTCGCCCTCGCTGGGAGGGATTTCTTCGTCACCTTCGTCACCTTCGTCATCACCTCTTCCCCTTCCACGTCCCCGTATACGAACAAGCCTTCTAAAGCCACTGAGGATCCGCGGGCCTCGGCCCGGCTGTTGTTGTTGTCGTTGCGGATTAGGCCCCGTATGACTAGGTCCTACTTCAGCGTGCGTCCGCGGTTGGGTATGCGCAGCAGTTCGTTCAGGAAGTGACACCTTCGGATTATTCTTTGCCTTAGGCCCAGGCACACTATCCTTATCAGGCACGTGTTGACTGCATGTAATGTAAGGTATCGGTGGCATCGGTTTGGGGATTGAATGATTCCTAGAAGAGAGCGGCGCCACTGGTTTCGAGAGAGCCGGAGTGATTACGTCTTCATCTTTCTGTACTTGTTCGGTGTGTTTCTCCACTGTAGGTGTGGTTACCAAGGAGATGGGGACTGCCAGCGATTCCTGGTTGACAAGTGGGCTAATCGGCGGTGAGACCGGGCTCTGATGGAGCGGATTTTCAATGCGTTCGATTATTGCATAAGTAGTCACAATCTTCTGCTTCCCGTCTCCAGCCTTTGCTGGGGGTTGAATCACAGGTGACTTGAGTTGAGCTGGGGGTAAGGTTGTCGATAGCACGTCACGGGAGCACTCCAGTAGGATACCCATGTTGATTTGATGAGAATATGTGAGCGAATGTGGGTGGACTATCTCTGATATAAAGATAGAGGTTATATTAGTATGGTTGCTGGTATGAGGAGGGATAAGACAATGTCGTTGGATACTCGGGGTGTCAGTGTTCGCGATTGCTTCGTGGGATTGAAGGCCAGGGAAAGAGCGTCCTGACGAGGCGTGCCTCCCTCTTTAGGTGATCTCTCTAAATCTTGGTTTCATGGCTTGGTCATACTAGCACTGCTGGATTGAAACAAGGCTCGTTCCCTAGCAGCCAACATCACCGACCCAGTTCAGGAACCTAGTCGAAACCAACCCAGGTTCATACTAAAAGTTGGATCCTGTCATAGCTTGTACGATCCAAATCTAAAAGGATCCTCGCGTGGAAAATGTGGATTTTCCGGGTCCTTCCCGATGTTACTCTCTTCGAGGACTTCAATTTCCGTGGTTTTGGTGATGGCAGTATCGTTCTGACCCGTATTTCCCGGGGAGGCTACATTCGCCAAACCTGTCCCGTCCACTCCCGTCTCGAACAGCGACGCGTCCGGCATGCGACGTGGAAAGGAAATGGGCCTCGGCTTCTGGATAGAGAGAGAGTGTGTGTAATACGAGGCCGTCTGGCGAGTCCGATGCAAAACCACAATGTATGACTGACGTAGGGTAGGAAGGGTGGCACATATGATAATCACGTACATCTATCCAGTTTTAATCAGCATGATGTGGGTTTTTTTGGCTTTGTAAAAAGTCATACCTCGATACTAGCGGGAGAAGATGCATGGTTAATCTATCTGTCAGTGTATGGATGAGATTTGGACTTACGAGTACCATGTCGTGATGTCTGCCCATGACCTTAAAAGTGGTTGTTAGGTAGATTGAAGATCCATTGTTCAGCCCTACATACATGTAATATCTGAATGCGCAGGGAGGTTCTTCAACAGAATAGCCTTGACCAAGGTGGCCGCGGCCGCCCTTCTGGCGTCAGTCAAGTCCTTTGCGAGGACGGCCTTTGTACTCACAGAACGCCTGCACTGGTAACTGCTAAAACGCCTACTTTCATCTTCCAGGGAAGCTGTATGTTCCAGAAAATGAGGATGGGAAATATGGCCAAGGTAAGGTCGGCAAAAGCGTTGAATGCTGGTAATAATGTCAGCTCCGGATTTCCTTTGCAAGAGGGGTTGAATACCGACATGCTTGGGATATTCCCGCTACCAGCTGGAACTCCAGACTAAAACATGAGCCCTCAACCTCAGGGCGCCATATCTTCTGCGGGGGGCGGCAAAACCCCATGATGGCAATGATGGCCAGCACGTTCCAGGCGACGGAGATCGCGCTGAAAATGTACAAAAACCACCGTTTTGCCGGAGTGGCTGTTTGACCCATCAACCGTAGCAGAAAAACGACGACCGACAGCTTGCCGGTTGTGGTGCTGACCATTGAGAAGTTGGGCGCGATGACGGTGTACTTGTAGGCCTCAATCCTCCATTCCGCGTCGACAATGTCGGCCATGTGCTGTCCCAGCCCATAATGTACGCCCACTTGGGCCAGCCCGGAACATACAATGGCACTCAGCTAGATCGGGGTCACATTTCCAGTCAGCCAAATCTTCAATTGGGTGGTTCCTGGCAGTCTTACCAGCGAAAGAACGATAAAGACGTCATCCCAGCCGCCTTTGTGAGTCAGTAGCAGCCGAGTGTACAGTCGAACAATGACGACGATAGTGGCCACGCCTCCGAAGGTCCAGGACACGGCGGTGATTTGAGGGCCTTTATCAGCAGTCATGGTCATCCGAGCCAGAGTTCTGAGTTGATCTGGGTCGGACAATGGGAGCGGGGTTGGTAGGGGGTTTTTAAATTGTCGGTCTCTCCTAGCGTACAAAATCACAATCCAGGTAATCGAGCGATTACAAATTCTCAGGGCTGAAAGCCAACATGATTCTACCGCCCAATGTGATTGGCAAGCGATACGCTGAGTTGTGATCACATCGGAACATCTCACATGGTGGACTGGACTCTCAATGCTGATCCAGGCGTTCAGTAACCCCGATCAGGGAAACGAAATAGACGCCCGGATGGCCCGAAAAGTTTGGTGTGGGCACCGGCGCCGCGCTAGGATTGCAATCCATGGCCGTTGGCGCGTAAATCAGGGAGCTTGACAGTCGGCGGCGGGTCTCCTGCACGTTCTATCCCAACAGCAACCAATAATGGCTGCGGTCCTGCCTGCGCCAACAAGGTGACAGGTTCACCCCCTCATTATTGCGCACCATTCCGCGCCACTTTGGAGAGCTCAGGTTGGGCCGTCGACTGAAAGCAACAAGAGCCCGGCCGGCCACAAGGCGCGGCTTGTCCCGCTCCGTTCTTTGTCTTTGTTCCTCTTTCTTTCTCCCTTGTTCCCTGCTGCTGGATCCTTCTTCCTTCCGTCCGCCCAATGGTGTACACTGCTACCGCTGCTCAATACACTATTGCCTGGTTATTGGAATAGTCATGAAATAGTGAATGTATTCCAAGAGCGACCGTGGTAGCGTTCATCGCCCGTCTATGTACACCATGCTCCGGGCGGCACGAGAAGTTGACTGAAAATTACCGTGATCGGTTATATGCCACTGATCGTGGTATACATTGCATGTCGATCAGGCATGGCCAGTTCAGGCCGGACCACTGAGGAGATCCAAACAAATTTGACGTGAGTGTGAGATAGGGCAAGTGTTCACGCTGGGTGGGTGGGATTATCAGACATTTGATGGCCGCAAATGCCGTAACAGAGATGTCGTCCTGGTGGATATAGCTGCTAACCAGGTCATGGCCGCACTTCAGACCAAGTTCTCTAACGGACCAGGACGGCTCATCTTGGAAGATATGCCGCAAGTAGTCGCTGAGGCTACTCAACACCCGAAGATCGAGCATGTGCTATTTGACCTGTTTCAGCCCCAAATCAACTCAAGGTCAGTTCCACCGCACTTTGTTGACCACGTCTCCATTTCATTTAACACGAGTTGGTCGCAGATGCGCGGGCCTATTATATGACGTTTACTCTGCATGACTGGTTTGACGAGGAAAGCCGGCAAATCCTTAACCATATCGCTGCGGCCATGAAGGAGGGGTATTCGAAGCTGATCATTGAGGTGTTTGTTCTGGCTGATAAGGACTGCGCGATGCTACCAACCATGTGGGACTGGGAAATGTTAGTTTTCTGCAACAGCATGGAGCGGACGGTTAGTCAGTGGACCAAGGTGCTCGATTCGGCTGGCTTCCGGGCAGTCAAGTTCTGGGCGCCTCCGGGAGACGGACAGAGCATCATCGAGGCTGAGCTGAAGCCCGCTGTTGGGTTCAGTAGAAGTATGTTGTAACGTTGTAGGGATAGTATGAATCTAGATTGCAATACACGGTGATCAATCCATTCTTGGGCGCGAAGCCTCATCTCCAAGTCACCCATTCTCATTCGCAGCAACCAACTGAATGGTAAAGAGGTGAAATGACACGAACAGAAACCAGGCGATTAATATTCATCAAAAGACGAAACAAGAATACCTGGTAAATTGACCAAATGAAGGATGACACTTGATGGACTGATGATACCAGGTTGACAGACTAAGCTCGGATGAGAGGAGAGGCGACAGCTAGGTAGAGAGACCAGCTAGAAGCCGGACCCGACACACCGGTCAGGTGATGAAGGCCGCCTTGTGAATAGCCACCACTAACTTCTCACTTTTCCCAAACCCGTCACCATCAAGAAATCAAATTCCGTGCAAGGTATACTGTCTTCACTGACCATCATCAATAAACCCCCCCGTAAAATATGTAGGGAAGTTGGGAATTGTGGCAGGTGGTATTCGGCGTTTGTGTGGTGGTATTATAGGGACAATTACGGATGGATCTTGATGGTGACTTGCTCTCCGAGGTTTGGATGGTGGAACTTCTCAAGCGGGGTTTATCTTTCTGCAGCAGAGATTATTGGTTGTTCGGTGCCTTTTGGTGTTTATACTAATATCGTGTCCAAATTGTATGGAGGCGATACTGCTGGAGTGATACCTGATCGAATAGTGTCTGGCTTCGAGAATGGGGATATGCATGTTGTGTGGAAGGGGATATGCGGGTTGACATGGTAGAAGAGAGTTGTCTGTTTGGAGAGTATACTTCGAACTGGGATTATTCTTGCCGCAGGCTATGTACATGCGCCAATCTCACAGATGAGGAAAAATACTGGACCAACGAAGCGTCGAATATACCCCCACGGGCACGCTTCTTAGGCTAACAAACGACTCGACCGTGAGGTACAGAATGCATAGCATGTACGTCAGACCACAGACTAGAAAGACAGACATGAGTACCACTCGGAACCAGGGCGGCATCCAAGGCGGCCAGTCTGATGAAGGTTTGGATTTGATTCCAATAGACAGGCTCTCACAGTCTCCCAGATCTGCTGCACCGCGAAACGCGTCGCACATGCTTACGAAGATGTCGAATACCTGTTTGATCGTGCTGCGGTTGTTGAATCGTCCATAGTAGGCAAGCCGGATGAGAAAGAGCTCAATGCCCCTGTTGCGAACGATCAGGTAGGCAATGGTTGGGAACGCGCCCGTCCCGATGGCCGCCATCCGCCAGAGCAACCGCTCCGCGGAGCTGGGGAAGTGCCAGTGCCACGCCGTCGCATGCAGCCCCCCTGTCAGGACCGCGGTAACCGCAGAGGCCAGCTCGACCCCATGATCGAAGAACACGCTCACGTCGTACATCGAGCGCAGGAGCATGTGCGGGAATGACCCGTGGCTGGGCCGCTCGGTGATGAAGAGTTGACCGTAGAAAGGGTATTTGGTTTCCTGCCGGCAGTCATGCCCCAGGAGCTGCTCTCTATCCAAGGGTATCTGAATGGGCTGCGCCACATCCAATGGTTTCGACCACCAGCAAATATACGCGATCACTGAATACGGGATCTGGATGGCCACATGGACTTCGAGCAGAGTGATAGGTAGACCCGCGGCTTTACGGCCGATGATCTGCACCATCATCCACAGCACCTGGACCACAGCGATCGTCTTGGCAATATTGCTTGACTTGCCTTTGTCGTCAATGATGCGATGATCGAAATGCGCTCGAGTCAGATGACCCTTGTTGACCAGATCTTGAATGAAGCCATTATTGAGCAGCTCGATAAACCCGTTCTCCCCAATCGTCGTGACGAGCTTGTCGTGGCCCGACTGCTGGCTTATTCTCTGGCCATCCTTTGACCATTGGCAGGAGGAACCTGCCCCCTGGGTTTCGTTAACCACAAATCCACCCATAATCACAAAGAAGGATCCGCTCAGGCCCAGCCACTGCTGACGTTCATCATCTCCCTTCCAAGCATCCAGCCAGGCCCGATGGACGCGTTTCGCATGGAGCCATTGCGCGACGGCCATACACATTATCATCTCAGGGAATATAATGGCACATATCATCAAACATAACTTGTAGTATGTCTTTGCCAGTGGTCGCTGGACAGGAACCAGGTTCGGGTGCATCGCGGTCCATACGCAAAGGATAAGTGTACTCAGGCAACTCCATAGCAAACCGAATGTACCTCGTTGATGAGGTTCGGGCATGTAGGACACCACCATGTTGAGGCTGTGAAGAACCAAGTTAGATCTAATCAGGCAGGGTAGGACAGTGTTACACCTACCGGGTAGTCAGTGACCTTTTGATGAGAACGTCAATATCTAGAATTCCTCACATGGGGACTCCAAAGGTAATAAACCCGAGAGGCAAGCTTTGGGTAGTATTCTTCATGGAATTCACACCATTGGGTTTCTGGACTCAGACGTGAAGCAAGGGAGCATAATTGGATAGCTCATGGGCTGCTTACCCCGCACCTGTAAGTAATTGCTTTTGGTGGATATTTATAGCCAACTATTGGACGATATTCATGCCAGGTTGCAACTGATTGGCTGCCGCGAATTTGGAAGCATTGGGTTGCACATAATAACTAGTGCTAAGTAGCTTAGACAGCCCCATATCGGGGCGACTGACTGCACATGTCATGTAGTAGGCAACCAGGCAGCCTTAAGCCATAGCCAAGTAAACCGATATCAACGCCAACTAATCTGCAACCTGCTTGATATCAGTTCCTTTTCCGTAGAACCCTTCAACCACGCGAAAAGCTGTCGGTCGTCTACTTAGAACGACCGTTCCATATGACTCCACTTGGTTCAAGCCTGGCAGGTGGTCGGGCAATTTCCCCGGGTTGAAGACGGAAACAAATGCTCGAGATCGACGTCCACAAGACCCACTGGGAAAAGGTGAGGCTGAACGGGCTGAAGGGGGTTTACATTGTCTGCAGAAGTGGACGTGGCATGCTTCTGATCGACGTCCGACGGGCGCTCCCCAAGTTTCCCGTGCTGTTTGCCCCTTAAGCCAGTGAAGGGAAGCCGCATCGCGTCGCCTTTGCCCGATGGCCTGTGTCGCCCGCCGTATCACGGCAGAACAGGGCGGTGGGCAGAGGCCGTCGATTGGGATCCACGCAGCCACGATCTCCTGTCCTCCTGCTCCATCACCTCTCCTTTCTTTCATCGGTCCGTGAGTTGCCAACGAGATTCACGAAGCTCTGAACGCAGAAATGGCACTCAATGGGCTTAGCAACCTCGTCGACAGCGCAAAAAGCGATCGTCTCGGGGAACGCGCGTGGTCCCACCCAGGCAGATACATGGTGGAAACCACCGCCGACATGCTGCCCGACACGTAGCAGCCAACTGGCACGAAAGAAGTTGCTGCTCCTCCTATATAAGAGGATGACTGACAATAGGAAATCAATCATCTATGTCTAAGCTTCTTCTGAATTTGAACGGCAAGATGAGGCTGCTCAATGTGAGAACTTACCGGCTAAAGGAGTACTTCGATAGTGAAATCCCCGATTATGCGATCCTGTCTCATACATGGGGGAGGGATGAAGTGACTTTCCAGGATATCCAAGCATTTGCGCGGTCTGGGTACCAGAATCAAGTCCCAGACAAGGAAGGATTTCGCAAGATCAGGTATGCTTGCCAACAGGCCGCCAGGGACAATCTGGAGTATGTCTGGGTCGATACCTGCTGTATCGACAGAAGCAGCAGTGTCGAGCTTCTGGAAGCGATCAACTCCATGTACCAGTGGTACCTGCGGTCGAGCAAATGCTACGTTTACTTGACTGATGTCCCCAGAGATCACCCAGAGGTCCTACCAGATGAGAAAGTCAGGAAGGTCAGCCTTGGCGGCAGGTCTATTGTATCTGTCAAAGGGCGCAGCCCAAGTCACCCCGAAGCGGTAATGGATAGCCCCTTTGCACGATGTCGCTGGTTTACACGGGGATGGACATTGCAAGAGTTGATTGCGCCTAATGACCTGACCTTTTACGGATCCGGCTGGAACTTTCTTGGTACCAAGGCATCACTGGTATCTCTGATTTTTGTCATTACTGGGATAGATCAACAAGTTCTACAGGACTCTACAGACACCAAGGAGTCCCTACGATCGATTTGCATCTCACAGAAAATGTCATGGGCTGCTACGAGGCGAACCTCCAGGATAGAGGATGCAGCATACTGTCTTCTCGGCCTTTTTGACGTCCATATGCCTGTTCTATACGGTGAAGGCAGGGCGGCGTTTATCAGGCTCCAAGAAGAGATCATGAGGACATCAGACGATCAAACGCTGTTTGCATGGACCTATTGTGACATTGAACGCGAACGGCCATATACAATATTGGCTCCCTCTTCATCTTGCTTTCTCAAAAACGTTGTCCAGTGGTCACGCCCCCGAAGCACCGGACCCTATGTAATGACCAACCGAGGTCTCCACATTCCACTCCCTGTCATACAACAACCCGGACACCGGAAGGCTTGCTTCGCCCTCTTGGATTGCCACTACGAGGATGATGTCACGGGAATACTGGCCCTTCCTCTGGCACCAAGATCGGACGGGACCTATGAACTTGATCATGACAGTTCACGCGGACGACTAGTGCGAGTTGATTTGGGAATGGAGACAAGCGCCAGACCTCGTGATCTTTATATCAGGCTACAGCCCAGTGTTCCTGATCCACGCACAGGTCTTACATGCCGATTCAATCTCGATGGAGGCGAATCAGCAGCTCCACCTTTCAGCGTCAAGGAATTCTATCCCTCCCGGGTTTGGGATCCGGAAACCCGCACCTTGCGACTTACCAGCAAGGACTCGTCCTCTTTTGAGACATGGGCCGCTGTGAAGTTCGAGGACCCATCTGGCAAAGCTATTGGCGTAGTGTTTCACGTATCACCAAGACAACTCGAAAGTGCCTCATTCGATGTGCATAGCTGGGTCTACATGCAAAGGATGGAAAAGGATGCCAGCCTTGCGCCAATAGTGGATCAAGTCATCCGAGGCTGTTCCTCGGGTTCGGCCTATGAATACGGAGGTCACGAGTCTTATACCCTTGCTTTCAGTCGACGGTATAACATGGTTGCCACCAATACATATCTCAATGGTCCGGACCCGGAGATACATGTCAATGTGACCGTCATGGACCGGCATGCGAAATGCAGTATGCGACGCTTCTTTGACGCAAAGCCAAAACCAACAAAGACTTTGGAGGGACCGGTCAAAGAGAAAAATGCTTAACACTGTCTGGGCAGGTTTATGCATTGTGCAAATTTCTTCTGTGCTATTTTATTCTATGCGACTCACTTGTAAGGCCTGTGGAACGGCCTCGTGCTGGCTGTGAAATTCGGCATGGCTGTATATAGCCAAGCGCATTCCGATACTCACAGACATTTCGGTATTAGGCACATGTGGCTGCGAGTTATAATTTCTTAAGATTCAATCTAATTAGAAGCGCCTTGTCAGTCTCGTATCAAATGTTGCTCAAAAAATGCCACCCGACGAACAAAACGCATAATGAAAGGAGACATACTGTCCCCTCACTACTGACCCATCGTGTCCAACTCGACCCATTGTACCAGCTAGGTCTGTCTTATCGCAATGCAGACACGGCCACCGCCCGTCATGGTTCGACTAAAAGCCGCACCAGTGAGAAATCCAAGATCCTATAATCAAGAATACCACATCGCTGATTGTTCAGAAATACATCACTATCAATCCAATGGCATGCGCAGACACGACATCAGGGTTAATATCCCATTGTGCTATGCCTATACAGGTAGTTTCTCCGAAGGACAATCATCGACATACCCCCAGTCTCACCCGACATCTCATAATGTCCTCGGTGGTACTGTCCGAGTCGGTATCATTTATCCGTAGAAAGCCTCCTGTGTTTGTCCGGATTAACCAACAATAGCCTGTACCAAGGCATCAGAGTCATGGTCGCTGTCTCAGGGGCAATCAAAAAGAGAGCGTGATGATAATAGCGTGGAGTGAGGGATGTGTGATGGTGAGCTCCGTTGAGCGGCAAATGAAAGAAACTAGGGATGTTATCACTCAAGTGCTTCCTGGGACAGTTCGACCTTGTCGTGATTATATTCAAGTGCTATGATGCTGAAATGCACATGGAGATTCGTATTGAGGAAACGCGAATGTTTGGGAGCAACCCACGAGATCGGTCCTGTGGAAGCTAGGGATGGCCATAGTCAAAGACCACGACTATCCACGAACCCTGTGTAACGTGATTGAGGACTCACTATGAAAGCCATGATGCTTCTCCGCTTCCTCGTCAGTATTCAAGTCGTTCATGTTTCCCATCCACAATGTTCCCATATCTCTTGATATGTTTCTGGAAGCTCTCCCTCGTATACAAACATCGCCAATGCAAAGCTTTATTATCGTAGTGATTTTTGCACCCGACACAATAGAAGCCCCACTCCGTACTCCCCTCGCGCGTATTGATCAACGGTGCGCGAATAACTCCCAGAAATCGCTGCCCGTAAGAAAAGGTCCCTTTAAACCTATTCCTCGACCTATGTCGTTGAATAAGTTGACTGTCACGCAGAGGACCCGGTTCTGGGTATTTCTTCAATCGTTCAACTTCCAACTGATCTGCGTATCGGTTCATCGCTTCGACAGACCCATGTAGCTTGATCCCCGCTTGTCGTGCAGCATCATGGTCGACATATGTGAACCGTCTCCGATAAGTAGATTTAACTGGAGAGTACACCCCCGGAAGACATCTCATTTGAGGCAGATTGGCGAAGTCTTCCCTCCGGAGACCGAATTCTCGTGCCGCAGTGACTTTCAAAAGGGGACGATAGGTAGTTCTCGTGCTTAGGCAGAGGAAGCATACGCGACGGCAGGTGATTAGGTATAGGTAACCGCCGAAGCTGCCGCATTTTTCGCATGTGTCGGTAAGGAGGGTTTCGTGGAGATGCTGGCATGTTATCCAGTCTCCTGTTTCGATGCTGAGGATGGCGCGGATGGATATAGGTGCGTGTTGAACGATCTGGTTGTATTGGGGGACTGAGTTGACGATTTGTCTGGCTTGGCGATTGACACGGCGAAAATCGGTGAGGGCTTTGATTTCAAGTTGGACGAGGATTATTTGGAGGAGTTCTAATGGGAGTTGCTCCAAGGTTCCTAGCCCGTAGATTGGGGCATCGTGGAGTTGTCCATTGTCCAGGGGGCAGAGAGTGGGGATGTCATCTAGGGTGTAGTCCGCTGTGTCCGGGTGAGAATAGGTCAAATCCTCTAGATTGTGGATGGGTGTCATATTATTCTTAGTGGTTGGTGGTGTTGGTGTTGGTGTTGGGAGGGGAGAAGGTTGGGGATGAAGCCGACAGCAGAAGGCGTTCTAGGTCGTGACTCACCTCCAATAGAATTGGTTAACACAGTACAGCCACCCCACTCAGTCAGATTAATATGCAGCTTACCCCCCACGGCCTCCCATTCGGTTTCTTTATCCTCTGCCTTCATTCCATATAGCCAGCATGTCGCTACTACTTCAGTTGCCAAATGAGCTGCTGCTGTCTATCGCAGAGTCACTGGAAACCGAGCATAATATCAACGCATTTGCCCAAGCAAACCCCCGTCTCTACAGTTTGGTAAACCCTTATCTATATCGCCGTAACGTTCGACAGGACGACAGTTCCTCCTTGGTGTGGGCCGCGGAATGGGGCCAGGAAGCGACAGCACGCAAAGCGCTCTCTGCCGGAGCACAGACACAGTCCAGAGCTCTGCAAGCGGCGCTGCTCGAGGCTGCTAAGAATGGGCATGTGGCCGTGGTCCAGTGGCTGCTGGCCACCACCGGGGTGGATGCGAATTCCAGGAATTCTAAGGGAGAGACGCCCCTTTCACTGGCAGCGGGAAATGGGCGCGATGAAGTGGTCAGAGTCCTATTGGCAACAAAGGGCATCAACCCCGATTCTCGAAATCACAATGGGAAGACTCCACTTTGGTGGGCTGTCTTGGGTGCACATGAAGGCATACTCAAGCAGCTCCTTGCTGTGAGAGATGGTGGCGGTGTCGATCCAGATCCCAGGGATTCTCAAGGGGAGACGCCGCTTGGGTGGGCAGCACAGAAAGGACTTCTAGAAATCGTCAGATTGCTGCTCGTCACAAAGCGCGTCAACCTGGATTCGAGGAATCTAGAAGGTGAAACGCCATTGATGCAAGTGGCCCTGACCGGACATGCAGCAGTTGTCAATCTCCTGCTTTCCACGGGATATGTCGATCCTGATCGGAAAGATCAATGGGGAGAGACACCACTGATAAGAGCAGCTGAGAAGGGCCATGAGGCAGTAATTGAAATGTTACTTGCGACGGGATGTGTCGATCCTGATTGTCGTAGTGATGCCGGACAAACACCTTTATTGTTGGCAGCATGGTATGGATATGACAAGATAGTCAGATGACTACTCACCACGGAAGGCGTCGATCCTAACTCCAGGAATGGACGTGGAAAGACGCCATTAACGCTTGCAGCGAGTCATGGACATGAACAAATAGCGAGGTTGCTACTTTCTATGGGAAGCATCGATCCGGACCCCAAAGATGAAGTTGGATGGATACCCTTGATGTTTGCCTCACGAAATGGACATGAGGGGATAGTCAATCTGCTACTACAACGTGCAGGTGTTAACCCCCACCATCGTGCAGAGGATGGAGACGACGCTCTGTTGTGCGCGGCAGAAGGCGGCAACGTGGCAATAGTCAAAACGTTGCTTATGGCTGGAGCTGACATAGAGTCCAAAGACGCTGATGGAATGACACCCCTTACTATAGCGGGATATGAAGGACATGAGAATGTAGTCAGACTTCTGCTTGACGAGGGCGCCTGTCCAGATGTCAAAGATGCCCGCGGGGACGGGGGAACACCCTTATTTTGGGCAGTGCACCGTAATCATGAGGCAGTAGTCAGGACACTTTTTGCCACTGGAGAGGTCAATCCTAATTATCAGGACTCTAGAGGACGGACTCCCCTGTCAAAAGCGGCAGCCTTCGGGTGTAAAGAAGCTGTCGAGTTGCTGCTCAGTACAGAAGGTGTTGATATAGACCGTCCGGATGTTGAGGGACGAACCGCATGGACATGGGCACATCTTACGAATCATGTTACTTTGGCCAGCTTAATCCATGACCGATTGTGGTTCCTGAGCAATCAAAACACGAATGTGGCCTGAGAGGCAGAGAGATCTGGAGGTAATACTTGAGACGCGGAAGCTTTTCGTTGCTTGGAGGAATGTGACTGCGCTTGGAGAACTGGAGTATTTCACCGCCAACAACATAAACTATTATCAGCAGGGAACACTTCATGAATTACCTTCCACATATATTCTTGAGCATCGTATCTAGTGGGTGGAGGAAACTCCATGTCTTGTAAAGAGCAGGCATTAATCGATCACACCTGGAGGAAGCAGAACTACGTAATCCACCGGTGCAGGCTCGACTCCATTTGCTTGACCAACAATCTTCAACTCATCTCCTTGCTGGATCTCTATCCCTTTGAACGTAACTCGAGTGGCCGAGTGGCCGTCCAGATAAATAGACGGGGTGTGACCGAGAGAATGATGATCCATGTCCCCAAGCCATTGACCAACCACATTGCCATTCACCGACAATGTCCAGTGGGATTGCCCGCCATAAAGGTCATAGTAGTTCACGCCTATGTCGTATGTTCCGGATGGAGCTTGAAGCGTTGTCCTAGCTACCCCTGTGGTCGAGTTAGACGTAGTGACAATTGCTGTGGTGTTGGAAGCAGCCTCAAATGGGCTAACTGTGTACAGTTCGTAGCCGTCCAACGCCATGCTCTCGGCTTCGATGCGCCAGGGGTGGTGACCGACGCGTCCATAAACATCGGGAATCCCCGTCATGTTGTAGTAGAAGTTGACAATGGCATCGCGCCAGACTATAGAATGTCCTGCCTGATAGACGAGTCGCGTCCCCATGGCTTCGTATCGCTCCTGATCTATCAAACCCTTCAAAGATTCCCACTGGCTGATAAATCCTTGCGCAGTTTCTGCCCCCGCATAGTGAGCGTTGTAGAAATGCTGAATAACAGTCTCTCCGGAATGCAGCCGATGGTTCCATGGCACATGGTGGAACCACAGGACGAGATCATCTGGCGTGGCTTCCAATGACTCGTATACGCGCGCTACCTCCTCTGGGTATTGACCGGTATAACCAGTGCCGTTCCCGACTGTCCGATCCATGCCGACTGAAAGGTGGTCGGCACGCGTCCATTGACCCCAACCGTTGTTATCTTGTGTAGCTGGATTCGGACCATAGTGTGTATACAGAATATCGGTCAGAGTCTGTATGCCCAGGTTACCTGTGTAGTTCTCGTAGGCTGGCCAGGAAGCCATGGACATATCAGTAATCGTGTCGACTACCTGATGAGATTGACCGAATGTGAGGCGAGTCCAGTCTTGAAGAATCTGCTCGGAATCATCTGTTGGGCTCCAAGCCAGACGGCCGTATGCATAGAGATTGGACATTGCAAGGTGGCTACCCAACCAGGTCCTGTTAGTACCAACGTTGACAACCGCAGCCCAGCCCCCGAGTGATCGGTTAAATCGCTCTCCAGAAATAATGTCGCGAACCACTGACGGCTGGTGATCCACACGCAAGTCGAAATCCAAAACAGTCTTCCAGAGCGGAGGTAAGTACACTAGATGGCATTGCTGGCCCAAATACTCCTGGCTGACCTCCAGCTCAATGGCCGTATTGGTGTGATAGAGGTTGGCAAAAAGGGGTGATGTAGGCTCACGCACTTGAAAGTCGATCGGGCCATACTTGATCTGTACCACAACATTCTCTTCGAATTGCCCGTCTAAGTCCTTGAAGTACTCCACTGCAGCCTTGGCACGATCGGCCTTCCAGTCTGATTCATTTAGGTTGTCATCATAAACAAAGGCACGGAACATAAGCACACCACCATGTGGCTGTAGGGCCCGCGCAAAAAGGTTGGCCCCCTGTGCCAATGTGCGATTGTACGTGTCAGGGCCTGGCTGGCCCTCGGAGTCTGCTTTGACAAGGTATCCAGCCATGTCCGGGACGTAAGTATACAGGCTGTCGGTGATATTCTGCCACCATGCAATGACACCAGAATCGAGGGGATCGTAAGTGTCGAGGCTACCCACGTCTTCAGGAGAAGCAAAGTTGAGGGATATGCCAATCTGCACGCCGTATGGTCGACAGGTATCTGCTATCCGGGCCAGGCCCTTCATGTTTTCTGGTAAGAGTAGAGTTGCGTTGGCATTGACGTTGTTGACGACAATTGCATTGACCCGAATAGATGCAAGCAATCTAGCATACTGCTCAACTGGTGCCAAGTCATCGACCACTGTGCCGTTCTCAAAAAATATGGACGCTCCACCGTAACCTCTTTCAATGCTTCCGTCCATGTTATCCCACTGGTTCACCCAACGGATCGGAGCGTGCGGGCTGCTGGCATAAGCGACGTGAGAAAAATTGCGCTGCGCTACCATGGATAGATATTCGTATGCTCCGTACAGGGCGCCTCGGTCATTCTGGCCTAGGATTCGAACAGTATCACCTCGGGATTGTAACCAGAAGCCATCGTCATCGAGCGCGGGTACGGTGATGTTGCCGTTGCATCGTTGTCGGTATTCGTCAACGGTAGCCACCAGTATTGATGCAGGACTATCACATTGTAGAGGCAGAGATGACAGGTTCTTTGAAAGAATGGATTGGAAGCCTGCCTTGAGTTCCCGCCCCGCAGTCTCGATTGGATTCCCTCTGGTGCTATTCAGCAACACAACGTGCGACGGTAAAGCTTGCAGACAGCTGAGATCGCATGGAATTGGTGCGTATCGAAGCCAGCCATTGTATCCATCTTCAGCCGCTGTCAGCGACCATATAGAAGCTAAAGCCAGCGAAGTGTATGCAAAACCCCTCATGCTGCAATAGCCTTGTCGATGACTCCATGGAGAGCAAGCCTGAGATTCTGGACCCCTGCTTCACTCATATACAAACGCATTCTGACCGTCTGGAAGATTTCCCCACATCGTCAGGACACAGATGTGGGGGATTCATGCTAAATTTTGCAATCAGGCTATTATTGCGCTCGGGGTAAACTGAGCCTGGCCATGGCTGTATGGCTATAAGGACTTTTGCCGGCAATGCCGCATGACTGACTGTTGGATGGAGAATCGCAGATGGCTCGGAGATTCTCCGGGTCATTCGATCCAGAGAATGGCCCTTGCCTGATTGAGGAATGAACATCACGAGATGCACTTATCCCAAAGGGTGACGTCTAGCCTAAACGGGAATGGTCTCCAACACGGTCGGGATCCGGAGACAACTTCAGCTTACTTCATCTAGTTCGTCTACTCCATCTCAACAACAACTACTGAGGTACTACTCAGCCAGGCAGAGTCGGTCGAGTATTGAAAAATGGGCTTTGATAGCTGGACATGACAATGACTGCCAGAACCCCGACCCCCGCCCGCAATTCCTTCCGGGCCCGTGCGGTATGGCCTCATTGTCCACACACCAGTTGTTTCCTACTACTAATCTGGTCCAGTGCGAAAACTGTCGTCTCCGAAAGGTATTCTACTATGGATCCTATTTGTTCCTCACACTGGCTGATAATCTAAGTTCAGATCAAGTGTGACAAAGTAATTCCCTGTTCCAGCTGCAGTGTTCTTGGGATCGCCTGTGGTTCCGCCAGCACCTCAGTGGGTTCTGGTCCTTCACGAAGAGGTGATTCCGACGACTAGTAAGTGATTTGGATTCGATCAATGTGCCAGGACTAAGATGAAGTATCTCATTCAGTGAGCAAAGGTTTTCAGCACTTCAAGAACAACTCACGTCCCTCCAGAAAGCGCTCCAGCAGATAACACAGCCATCGGCTTCAGTGCGGGCATCTGTGCAGCCAGTCCATCCGATTTCCGCCAGCCCAACAGCTCCTCCATTTGAAGGGCAGTCGTCATTTCATCATGAGACTCTTGTAGCTAGGGATGCAGCTTACTCTGCCGCCAACACTTCCAGGAATGGACAACTGGGTGACTATGTTTCTGCCGCGCTGTCGTCTCTAAAGACCAGTCTCGATAGGCACCACGCCTCCGTGGCCCAAAGCGGCGAACAATCGCCTATTCAGCCAAAAGAAAAATTGCTTCCGGTCGATATGGTAGTAGCTGTCGTGAAGAAGGTCAAATGTATGCATTGCCTCTCCGCCACCCTATGCCACTGACGCGTATAGCCCAACCTCCCTTCTTCCTGGTCAGTCAGTCATGGATAAACTCTGCCCGGGTTGAATCCTTATGCCAGTCAATATACTTTCCGCTCAACCCGGTCCCTGCTGGGACGTTGACTCTCTTCTATGGCCTTCTCTTCTACATCATCCGCGACTACCTGCATGCGGAAGATCCAGATCTCGCACGCTTTGATCTTCAATCAAGCCTCAAAATTTGTGAGCATTATTTTGCTACCGGCTTGAGCATGCCTGAGATTATGGTCGACCCAACACTAGAGAAAGTACAGGCATTGCTACTAGGGGTACGTCGATGTCTTTTGTGTCTACCCGTTCTGACTCTTGCAGGTCATGAAAGCACAAGAGGGATTTGACATCCAACGCTGTTGGTCCTACCTCTCCCTGGCATTTAACATGTGTCAGAGTATGGGCTTGCACCGACGTTCTACTTTGGAAAGGGACGAATTTCCTTCGGCCGAGGAAAAGCGCCGTGCCTTTTGGGCACTTTACACAATCGACAAGAACATTTCTCTCAATATTGGAGTGACCTCCCATTTCCAAGATCACGATATAGATGCTGATCTTTTTACCCCCTCAAATGATCCCAAGCATCGGCCATGGGACTTGATGGGGCTTGTGATTGTGGAATTTGCTGGTGTCCAGGGTAGAGTCTATGATCAGTTGTACTCTACCTCTGCTTGTCGAGCGGTCGATCAGCAAAGGTCGGCTTCCATAGATCGATTATCTTCCGATCTAATGGCCGTGCGGGACAGACTTCTTGCAGTATGCTTGCTTTTGTACATCAGCAATTCATTTACTGACGTCCTCAGATTGATGTCAGTCCGGGTCTCTATGCCGACTCTTTGCATGGAATGGCAGCCTGCGCAGATTTCATAGCATACTCTGTGTTGACCGTTATCTACCGTGCGCAGACACGTCCACGCGATGCCATGGCAATTTCATCTCGCTGTTATGAATCTGCAACTGCCGCGTTACAGAGTCATTTGAAGTGTTTCACCTACTTCCGTGGCCGTCAGACGCACAAGCAGACAGAATATGTCACCTGGTACGTTCACCGCCTCTGTGAAAAGAAATAGTACTAACAAAATAGGATTCTTCTTTACCCTTCCTTTACTCCATTCGTTATCGTCTTCACTCACGCCATTACAACGGCTAGCACAGCTGATCTGGCTCTGCTGCAAGATACGGCCAGCTCTTTGGAACTGATCAAAGGCCTTTCCCGTGGATCAATGCACCTCTACACAGTCTGCGAAGCCTTCGTCCGGGCAGCGCAGATTCTCGTTAATTCACAGCAGACACTGACTGGGTTGGAACAGCACCAAGATGGGTCCCTTGTGATGCCTACAAACAACGGGCTGGGGAATATCGCCTTGCCCGATGTCCCGTGGCCGGAGAATACATTTGAATCCACGATGAACCAGGCGGATATATCCATGTTCTTGAATGACTTTATTGGTACAAACCGGTCGGTGATGGATATTTTAAGTTCCGAATATATCAACGATTCAATGCAATAGTTACATCATGCCTAGTCACTCTTGCGCATTCACTACGTCGTCCAGCCCCCCAATAAGCCAATAAGAATGGTCAAATGTCCGACATGTCAAGCGATCGCGAAAATCCACTTTCAAGGAAAGCCAATGAGAGACGCGCCTCAGGACGCGTCGATGAACCGTGGGCCAGTGACAAATCCTGTCATATCTGATTAGATTCTTTAGTTCAATTAACCACTAATGTACATGTAAGTATGATGAGCAGTGATTCAATAAGTTTTGGGTTGACGACATTATCATGCAACCACCACATCCATCCACAACCTGAGTGATTTGCCTTCTGAGCCTAGCGACTCAGGACTTCATTCCTTTCCGGTAGAGGAATTGATAGCTCTCTCACTATTCACGGGGAAAATTCTTTAAGAAGGCACTTGAGGTGGTCCGCGTCGAAAAGCATCAGTCAACACCCGAAGTGATCATAGTACATTAAAAGACATACTTTTTTGGTTAGCTTGGTTCAAAGGAAAACTAGGAGAACTCACTGGGATAAACAAATACGGAACTCTTCGCTCATACTCGCGCCAAGCTTCTCCATATCTCTCGCGACAGCGTTCGATATCCCGGTGAGCACGATGAATAATCATCACCGTGAAGAAGGCCGAGTAGAACCACGGGAACGGCGAGTTGAAGCCAGTTATAAGGCCCCAAGAAAAGGCAAAGAACCAATCGCAGCTATAATGGACCTTTCGCGCCATACCATCTTTATTCATCAGTCATGATCCAAAGTCCACAAGGGGCAACTTACACCATCCATCACACAAAATCGAATCTCCCGTTTTTGTCTTGATGCAGACAGGGTTCTTAACCGCCTTCCAGGGGAGCTGAGGAAACGTCTTTCGATTCACGGGCTTTCCTCTCTCTTGGGCTCGAAATAGGTTCTTCTGACTGTTGCAGGTATCCCACACCCAGTACGCGAAGAGATACATGACGAACAACAGTCCCAGCGCTAGTGGGTTCCACTTATAGGTCGACGGGTCATGATTCGCCAAGTACAGGGTACAATGACAATAGCTCATGGGAACACCAGCCAAGTTCCAGAAGATGAGCATAAAGCCCCATTTCTCATAATACATATCCCTGTATCCAGTTAATTTTGTCCACTCACGGAGTTAGGTACATACCAGCTAGTGATAATCAGCTCTTCGCCCTTGGCACATGCATTGGCGTATAGAAAGTGCGCCATAAGCATGAACGACACCGGTCCAGACACATACCCATAGTCCTCCCACTGCTTCAGTGCAGTTCCGAGTGTCAACAGAAAGAGGATGTACCAGGGGATGCGAACTTCGAAGAACATCTTCATATCGAGCCACCCGAACAACCGGGGGTTCAGCTCCGCGCCCATGAAGAAGTCATAGACATGGGATCCTGTCATTCGGTGTTGTACACCTCTTGCAAATGCAGACACGTATGCAATGATCGATACCAAGAAACCCGAGCAGATAGCCACGGACATCAACGGGCCGAACTCATCGACAAGTGTGCTCAAGCGGAAGAGCCCGGAGAAGTGAAGAACCAAGGCAGCAACTATGGTGACATACCACGATGCTGCAGCAGAGCAGTAATAATCCAGTTGCTTTCCGTTCAAGTGAGGGAGACATTTTCCCTTTCCGTATACACCGGGGAGGTAGAGGTACCCAATTCCTTCGAGAACCAAAAAGGTCCAGTATATGATCCAGGCTTCGCGGTAGGGGTAGGCGTGGGTATAGGCGAGGTTGACGAGATGGGAGAGGAACTCTGAGATGGACTGATTATCTTCAGGTAGGGGGAGGTGGCCGTCATACAGAGTCGCTCCTATGTACATGTAGTACATTAGGAGGGGGAATCCGATGATCGCGAGGGTAACCCCGGGGGCACCGCCAAACTCGAATGTTATTTTTTCATCGTCATGCTTTTTATCTGAGGTCTCGGGTGAGGTCTCGGGTGAGATCTCATGGGAGGTATTTTTCGAATCCATGCTTGCTTGATGGCTAGGGATGTATTGTTGGTCAATGTATCTTCGTGGGATTCCTGGGGACAGGTATAGACTCACCTTATCGCCGAGTTTACAGCAGACATTCTATTGATTGAGATGATAGTCATGTAAACGTACACCCCTTTTGTCCGGGAATCGAGCATTTAAAACCACCCCATTGCTGTCAAGTTGTATATCTTCATCATTTCCGAAAGACCGCGCCCGCCGTGCTCCCCGCGGACTCCGCGGCGGGCCCGGAAATTTCGGCAACAGGCGAGATCCCTACTCCGTAGTAATGAAATCCTCTTAGCATAATCATCGAGTAATAAAAGATAAATCTATCTTATACCTCACCCGAGTAGAATCCATGACTTCAGTATCAGGACTGAATTCTGAATCAGAGGGAGCTGGCGAGACCGTTACTGGCTTGGTAATGTACTGCATAAAACACAGCGCTGACTAAGCGTATGCTGATTGCCGGGAAACAATACCACCTCGTGATTGGTTGTAGAATGATTTCTCTATGTAGTACTAGAAGTGAATCATTATTTCCGTACTCCAGCCTTCAATATCTGTCATGTAAGCTCGTTAGTTCCCTTTATATATCTCACTTGGATACCTTGTTGTTCAATCATCGCAGGTTTTCCAAAGGGTATAGCTTCATCTGCCTAGATACGGACGAGACTCATATCCCACCCACCCGACATAAAAATAGCTCACCATTCCCAACCCCAACAATCCTCTACCTCTAAGAATACCACCTACCCCTCCCATCAAGAATCCTCCTAGAGAATCCGCGGCCATACAGCCCTATGGATGACCACCCCGTGCGCGACTTTCCCACCCACAGCGCTAACTTCCACCGTCTGATTGGCCCTTTCCACCCGCAGTCCTCATCCACCCCCTCAAACCAAGCTTTACCGGGAAGCACCAATCACCGTTCCCGCTGAAATGTGACCAGCCCAGCGCAGGTGAACCCGCCTGCATATCACCTCCAGGGCTGACTGCACCATCGAATCAGCATCCCCCATGAAGCGCTCATCCAGCACTCATGACAGGCACTTCCTGCAGTCGCCGACCCAGCATACCCCCCGTGCTAGGCTTTTTTTCTAACGCGACTGCCTACGGGTAGGGCTGGGGCTGTCAGACAGAGAGTATATAACCCGTGCGGGAGGTCTTGGCTTGAGCTTGTTTTTGTCAATGTTTATTTCTTTCGTTAGTATATATTTGTCTGGCCGAGACGAAGTGCTTCTACCGGTCTACCTATCTACCTATTTACCTTCAAACATAATTACATCTACAATTACATCAACAACACAGCCGAATCTCCATCTTTTTGATCCTACTCAACCACAACCACAACCACCCTCCCAATTACACACCCTCACCAACCAAACAAAACCACCAAAATGAGCATCGGCAAACTCATCGGCAAAATCATCATCGTCCCTATCCTCTTCATCATCTTCGTCTGCGTCTGCATCTTCCTCGTCATCCGCCACTACCACCAAAAACGTCGCGATAAGCGCGAAGACAAGGCTCGCGCCCAATACTACCGTCAACAGTATCAGCAGCAGCAGTTTATGTATCCACCACAGCAGGGTGGAGCACAGTGGGTGACGACAACGACGTCCTCGGGGGCTGGGGCGCCGCCGTATTATTATTTTCCAGGGCGGGAGTATACTACACAGGGGCAGGGTAATGGGGGTGGGGTGGAGTATACGGAGGCGATGATGAAGAAGCCGGAACCGGTGTTTTATCAGGTTCAGGGACAGGGGCAGGGACAGGGGATGCAGCATCCGGGGGAGATGGTGTAGGGTTCAGAGTGGGTTTGTTTGGGTATAGCTTGATGAGTGTAGTATAGGAGTTATTGTGTTTGATTGTTGGGTCTGTTCTTGGATTGATGCCTTTTGTTGGGGTTGGATGGGTTATGGGCTTATTGTCTTGATAATGGGTTCATGGCGGACTGGGTATATGTTTATGGGTTATGATTTTGGATGAGAATATGATTTTTTATCTTCTGCGAACGTTTCAAGGAAAGTCCATGCAGATGAATGTAGCCAATCTCGAAGTATCAAAACCGGTGGCAGCTTGCACTGGGACGGAAAAGTGCCATGGTTACACAGGGGGGACTGTCAGTTCCCCTGGGTTGAGTTGAGGCTGGTCTAGTGTGCCGTGGATGCATCCAGATGTCCGTGAACCATTCCAGTATAGCATAACATAGCATAGAATCCAGCATGATGCCTTGGCAGTTCCCCGCTCGGCATCAAGGATTATCCACCGAGGCAACCCCGCTCGACATTGTCGTTGCCTGCAGGAAGAATTAAAAAGGCATCGGGCGCACGACCGCCTTCACGCTGGCGCAGAACGGCATCGACGCCTTGTCGCTCTTCGATCTCGACCCCGCTCTTCTCCAACTCACCAAAGACCAACTCCAGGCCTCACGCCCCCATGTCCTCGTGGAGACCACCGCCGGCGACGTTTCCAAGGAAGCATGTGTCGAAGAAGCCGTCCGTCGCACCGTCGATCGGTTCGGACGCATCGACATATCCGTCCACTGCGCCGGAATTATAGGGAGTATGGTCCCAACCCATGAGCTGACGGTCCAGGACTGGCAGAAGGTCATCGATATCAACCAGACCGGGGTGTTGCTCTGCGAGAAAGTGGTCATCCGACATATGCTGACACAGGAGTATGTCTTACCAGCCTCACTGAGCAGATTGCTGCTAAATGGGTTGCAGATCGCGCGGCTTTCGAGTCGGTCGGGGGACGATCGTGAATGTGGCTTCCATGTTTGGGGTGGTTGTTCCGACCGGTGGGTCGGGATTAATGGCGTATACGGCGGCGAAGCACGGTGAGTTGACTGATTATTGTGAGGATGATGGGCTAATAAGGCTGATGTGCAGCTGTGGTGGCCATCTCAAAATTGGTCGGTCGCATCGATGAGCTTGTCGGCGCAGGCTAACCGGATTAGGACGCCAAAGCGTATATCCAGCACGAAATCCGCATCAACGCCGTCTGTCCGGGGTACGTGTCCTGTTGGCAAGCCCGGTTTGTGCTGACCTCTTAGATATACGGATACCCGCATGACCCGCACCTGGTATGAAGGCGGCCACTTGGACCAAGAGTTGGAGCACCGAGCCGTCATCGGTCGCCAGGCCCAGCCCGAGGAAATCGGCGATGTGATACTCTTCCTGGCCTCCCCCATGAGCAGTTACATGGTTGGCTCGGCCCTGGTGGTGGACGGCGGCTATACGGCTTAAGCTCTGATACTGTATATCACTGGTGGAATTATGCGGATCAACAACCTAACGGATGAGACGAATGCTCCATTGTATATACTAAACCAGCATGGCATCATGAATATGTACAAAAGCCATCGTCAATCAAAGTTGGCTCTGGACTTTGAGGAGCGTCTGTGTCGATTCTGCAGCAGGCTCATAGTCCACATAGTGGAACGCATTATCCTCAAACGGCCCATAGAAACGGGTGCGATCGTACGGGGCAAACGGGATGCCCTTGCGCAGTCTCTCCACCAGATCCGGGTTGCTTGTGAAGTATCGCCCATACAACAGGGCGTCGTACTTGCCCTCCTCCAGGACTCCCCAAGAGTTGGTTTGGTCCCAGCCACCGGCCGAGAAGAAGGGCGTGGAGCCGAAGATCTTGCGGAAGGAGGACAAATCGACGTTGGGGAGGCCCCAGCTGCTGAGGAACCTGTCCTTTTCTTCGTAACTGAAGATTTGCTCGTAGCGCTAGAAACATCAGCAGGGGAAGTTAGCTGACCACGGATCTGCTTACCGGCTCAACGAAGCTGACATAGGACAGATGAGGGTGTGTCTGCTTCAGCGATTCGCACAGAAATGTCCAGGTTTCCACACGCTGCTCGCCACGCGCCTGGTTGAACAGACCGAAGGGGGTGAGTCGGATCGCCAGGTTTTCCTCGCCCACCGTCTGAGCCAGTTCGTCCATCAATACGAGCACAAATCGACAGCGCTTCTCGGGGGTACCGCCGTACTCGTCCGTCCGCTGGTTGATGTTTGAGTTCAAGAATTGCTCGGGGAGGTATCCGTTGCCTGCGTGTAATTCGATTCCATCAAAGCCGATCTCCATGGCGGTCTTGGCTGCTCTGCAGTAGTCCTGGATGGTTTGCTTGATGTGCGCGACAGTCAGTTCGATCGGGGGGTGGTCGGCATAGCGAACTGGCTCGGTCGATCCCACCGGGGGATGGCTGTAGCATTCGTTCGGGTCGTCCCAGACACTGGCAGAGGCTGAGACTGGCGGGTATCCGGTCATCTGGGGGATGGTAGCACGACCGGCGTGCCACAGTTGGCAGTAGATGTATCCTCCCTGGGCATGGACCGTCTCGACCACTTTCTTCCATCCGACGGCCTGCTCGTCCGTGAAGAGACCGGGAACGCCCGGCATTCCATTGCTCTGCTGGCGTGTTAAGAACAAACGAACAACGCATCAGCGTGGGTATCTGGACATATTTACCTCCAGCGATGGCGGAATGCCCTCCGAGATGATCAACCCACCTGGGGTTGCCCGTTGACGATAATATTCAGCCACCAGATCCCCAGGATACCAGATCCGATTGGGGTTTTCAGGGGTGCTATTTGGGTTCAACGGCTCGCCCCGGTTGCGAGTCAGAGGGGCATGCACCACCCGGTGGCTTAAAGTGAGTTTGCCATTGGCAATGGCAAGGGGCTGAAAGAGCCTGGAGTCGGCGCCTTGAATCTGAGCCACGTTCATTATGCGATTCCTGCAGGTTCAATCGATGGGATGGCCAAATACCTGAAGCGGCAGTGAGAAGCGAGAGGCAACAGGCCAGTGCAGTAGCCCCTGGTTGACACGGGCTGTAGGCGTTCACAAGACCCCTCAGTGCTGCGGCAGCTCACATTGCTGATAGTCCACTCCTATTCTCGACGGACTGAAACGGGGAGATGCGGAACCATTGCCATATAGGGTGACAGATGGAGCCTGACAGGTTGCTGGAACCCAACCAGAGTGCTCACGACACGAGAAATTGGAATGGCGAGACGGGCTGAACCTTGCCAAGTGGAGGCGCGGCCACGAATGTTACCCAGTAAACCGAGGTTGCATAACAATTAATTAATTGTTCATTTGGTGCCTCACTTGTTTTGTTTTGCAAATCGCGTGGCGACCGCGTGGGTTTCAAGCATTCTGCAGGCTTGCTGATCGGAGGCAAGGCTGAGTTCCTGGAAGGATGGAAGCCTGTCCGCCACGCTTGTTGAGAACATGACCTGAGGCGTAATCTTCACCAAACATACGCAGATAAGTTGAACAATGTGAGCCATCACATCGACCAGGAAATAATTGGAAGGACGCGATCAGGGGCTCCACTATTGCAAAGCAAGCGAAAGTCAAAATCCCCTATCGCGGCTCTTGGCGGCTGGTTAGGGCACGCTAAGGCACGGGTCGGTGTCCCAGCCGGAAGAACAACTTCCGCGGCAACTCGATGGCGAGGTTCCATCCAGACGGGCTGGTGAGTGGTGACTCTTAGACAGTTAGGCCATTGGATGATGGAATTACTGATTAGTCTTACGATGGAGCCCGAGTTCTCGACTCTCGCCAGAAAGTGCACGACCCCCTTCCCAAATTCCCCTGCACCGAGTTCCCCGGTTCGGTTTGGCTCAGGACGCGTCGATCCCTCGGGTCTCTGCTGCAGCCATGACAGATAGTGCATGGTTGCCATGGCCTATCTGCGGCAGGATCTGGTGCATAAGTAGTTTGGCGAGCTATTGGAACGAGCGCCTGGGGGCGTAATAATCGGCGATGGTTATTCCTCCTGATCGCAGGGCCGTGATATCTCCGACGCCCTACAGCCGTGGCTCCAATTTCCATGTGTCCGGGTCTGGCCCTGGGAAACGCTAATTATATAATGAAATCATTCGACACTGCGGAGGCCGGAGAGACCGTCACCAAACTCAAACGGGGTGTCAACATGAGACATTCCAGATAGCCGATCTCCCCCGACGGGTGTCACTTTTGGGTGAACCATGGTTGGTTTGGGGCACCGTCGGAGCACTCCCGATTGCAGGCTACATGATTGATAGAAATCGCATGCGACGCCCCAGTGGCAAGCTTAAACACGATGGTCTAATGCAAGCTGCATGGTTGCTTCTCCCTGCCCATCATCTCCCAAAAGAGGTAGACGTTATGGCCTGCTGAGACCTATCACGATCGGTTCGCTCGGCTGCTCCATAGTCGCCTCCCAGACCAACTGCATCGGGGAGATGCTGTCCCCCTCTAGAGTTTTCTAGTATCTACACCTGGGCGGGACGATCATGAGCCAGCGCCATTGGGATCATTTCGCGGAGTCGTCTCCCTCATTCCGACCCAAAGATGGGCTTCTCTAGGCGGCTCCGCAGGCCCATCATGGACAATGCAGCTGTGCGCTTGACCCGGGCGCCGACAGACAGACCAAGCGTCTATAATTGAGCCTATTTATAAATTCTCGGGGCTCCCCACGGTCATCAATTCATAACTTCTCCATGTTGTGCCTTTTTCAAGAGGCCGCATTGACCACTGGCCATGTCACTCAGTGACCCCAACAATGTTTTGAACACCATCAACTTTGTGACACAATGTCTTTGTATTCCGATCGTTAGCGTTTTCGTCATTTTGCGATTCTCCATCCGCATCTACTACAAGCAGTTTGTAGCGGTTGAAGACTGTACGTGTCGGTTCTTGCTCCAGTCCTATTATACTAACCCCAACAGGGTCATGTCTAATCGCATGGGTACGTAGAGCGCTGCTTGCTGCTTCACCCCGCTAACTCGGGTAGATCTTGTTCATGGGATACTGTGGGGTTGCCATTGCAGGTACGTATCAATCACTTTGTCGCTGACCCTTCTGACAATCTCCAGTGGGTCACTATGGCGGAGGTTACCACATTGACGATGTCTCGGAAGCACACCAGGTGCTCTTTCGCAAGGTATGACCCTCGCGCGGTGCCGAAATTTTACTAATCGATAACCAGTACTGCTACGTCGCTACCGTGCTCTACTGCCCCATGGCCCTCTTAGTCAAAGTCGCCCTCCTTTCAATCATCATCCGCATCTTCAGTCCCTACCGATCCAAAGTCCTCTTCATCTACATACTCCTCGGCTGTCTCTGTGTATACTATGTGATTGCGGAGATCATCAAGATCCGCATGTGCGATCCGATTCCGGGCTACTGGACGCTCGACCCGAAGGCGTCGTGTCTCAACCAACGGGCCGCGCTGATTGCCGACTCGGTCATCAGTGTGGTGGCGGACTTGATCATCTTGATTCTGCCGCTACCGTTGACATGGTCGCTGCAGATGTCTCGGAGTAAGAAACTGCGGGTGATTGGAATGCTGTCGGCGGGTGGGTTGGCGACGGCGTTTAGTCTGTATCGATTGGTGCTGGTTTTACGGGATGGCAGTTCTAAGGACCAGACAATTGTTTTTACGATTGTGATTCTATCAGGGTGAGTTCTATCCATATGCCTTTGGGACATTTCTAACCCGCTCAGAAACGCCGAAGGAGGAGTTGCTATGATCTGCGCCTGTCTTCCTACCGTCAACATCCTGATCAACAAGCTCCGCAAGAAGGATTACAGCTCCCAACGCTACTACGAACCCGAATCGTCGGTCAATTTAAGCAAGCTCAAGGGAAGCAACAAGCGATTCTCACTGGGGACATCCCGGCGCGCCGATGGCACCGAGTCCGCCTGCGACCAGTCGCATCTGATCACCTTCGCGGGGACAGTCGACATGGAGGGCAGTGCTGATGTGGGAGGTATCCATAAGACAGTAGATGTGTCGCAAACAGTGGAGATGGTGGTTGATGGTAATGAAAACCATCACCGTGATTATCACTCATGATTATACTTGGGAGGCATTTTGTATGGTTTGGGGTTATACTGGCTTTAGCGATAGACTACATTCTTTAATAGATTCCTATGTAATTATTCACCTTTATTCTCCTAATGCTATGAATTATAAATACGTGGGTAATATTAGTGATGTCCTGCCTTTCACGGGGACTAGATTCACCCCGATTTCCATTCTATATTACCCTCGATAGATTCCGATGATTCATCTCGGCCATTAACTAACTCTGATTCCCGTGTCACGGCTATATAAAGCCCAATCCCCCTCCAACTCTTCTTCCTCCATCGTCCCCATCTTGGAGCGTCAAAGAAGAGCAATCAGTCATCATGACATGATTCCTTCCATTCCAGTATACTATGGAGATATCTTATATCTACCACTATAACCTCCCCATATCCAGCTTTGTCCCTACCGCCATCAATACTTTCTCTCTACAATCCATGGATTAACCCCAATTCCCAAAGAAAATACATCTTCCCCCAGGCCCGAGATTACACAACAACTGCAAAGCACAAACATGGTGCATACGTTATTCGACGCACTCGGTCACATCTACCATTGTTAACCGTTTTCACATCCACAATGGATGCGACCAGCTAGACATGATCTCATTAGAGACCTTTACAATGTCCTAGAACATACCCACGATAAAGCCCACCGTGACCATTCTATCTGCTATATAGCGATATACACGTTGTCGGCTCTGTTTGACCTGTGGTATATTAACTCATAGCTGGCGATCATGCATCAAAACAACCAATGACATACTCCGGTGCCTGAAGGGGATTCTTTCATGGATGCCACAGAATCGGGACAGAGGTTGTCTCTACATTCAATAACAATAACATGCAGTGAATATCAGATCAAAGTTCTCGCTATCCCCGATGTCTGATTTCTCCGGACGAGGATAGGTATGATATCGCAAGACGTGGGTTATATGCGTGTCACCGAAGTCATTCCATAATCTCACATCCAAGGAACGGGTACGGGAAAAGCCTTCACTCATCATCAAGATGCGTCTGATACAGAATTCCACAACAATAAGAGTGGTCATTCGATCGCTTGAATGAAGATATGATGCGAAATGTGATATGCTGACGTATTTTGAGCCCGAGCAAGTACGTCGACGATATGAAAGCGGACTATATTTGAAGCATGAAGCAAAAGCCGTCTGTATGATATGCTAGAGATTCGTCGACGACCAACTAGCCTGGGGTGTGCTATCTCTGCATATTACTTATATTTTTAGAGACAAAGAAAGAGATATCTGATGCGATATGATTATGATGTGGTGGGGAGAACGTCCATGACATCTGCATTCGTCTGCCGATGTTTCTGGAATATGCTATGGTTGATGCTGTAGCTTATGCTCGATACAGAGGGTGTCCATGTTCGTGCTATAAGCTCTGGATGTCACCGCTCGAGCTGGTATTGATCTCAGGTACCGAGATATATTCTCCTTATGTAAAGGAGATCTATATATCAACAATGTGCTATATGAAGCATAAAGGGCTGCTATGCCCGGCTACCCATTGCATGTTCGTGATTCTCGCATGTGCGGAGTTCTCGGGTGTGTATATGGCATATGGAAAGGCTCATAAACTCGTCTTAGGATCATAATGGCTTGTGATGATCATGACCGAATAATAATGATCTCCAGGTTGGGTACGACAAGACACCCGAAAGCATACAACAGATATAGCACACATCTATCCCTCCAATCAGCGGATACATGACCGGCGTCATATTGAACCAGAATCAGAGTCATGGTGACGAATGCTACGCAAGAACCATGCATGACAGAAACGCTGATCTCTTATGGATATTCACGAAGATCCTAGGGTATAGACCTCCGAGGGTATGGGTCAGCAACTCTTCTTGAAATGGCTTGCTTGGCATCGAGACCATCCAATATCTATTGGAGGAAGAACCACACAGAGATATCAAAGCTACCTGTCTGCTGGTCTTTGAAGACGGATGGTTCTTTAATGACTTTACCCGGGTGGTCAGCTAAGCTCTTAGTTAATGGCTGTGTGGAGTCAAACATATCGTTTATCATCACCCAGAGGGAATGTGGAGCCCTGAAATCTATTCCTATGTCTGCAGACTTTCCTATATCCAAGCAAAAGTCCACATTGAGAGACTGTCCTTGCTATCACCACAATAGACACCATGCAAGGCAATGGCTCGGCTCTGGCTGCCGGCGAGTATGTCCTCGATAGGAGAGAGAGGAGGAGATTGAAGTTGATCGACCAACAGACGAGCACATGTTGTTTCAAAAACAGCGCGCAAATGTGACTTTATCAACGCAACGATCTTCAACACTGAGACATTCAGTGAGAGTATGTCCACAGTGAGGACCACTAGAAAACATATCACCCACTTCGACTCATATTTATCCTCCTCCTCACTCCTCAATTGCTCTCGCTATGCCAATGAGAACTCGCTCCCTATTGCGGAAACAAAGAGCTGTCCAACGATGACCCTGAATAATTCACCCGCCTATGTTACTCAGATTGACATTTTCTGTTTACTCGATATCGTTAATGGCTGGTCGAATACTAAAGCACACAAACGCATCGGCACTCATGTATCACCAAATCAATATACAAGTTGTATTGCCACGAAGCCATCCATATATTCAACTCAGAACGCTTTGCACGGTGAAACCAAACTTATTTAGGGTCCGTGGCAGAGAACAGCCACAGTCAAGAAAAAGAGTTGTCTGCGAAATTGAAGCAACGGTACAAGGCTGGAAGATCTGGCCTCTTCTGATAGCGTGTCTGCCTTCTTTGGCGAGACGAAGAAGAATACCAAAGGGATATGCTGATCACGCATTCCATCTCACAATAAAGCCACTGGACTCCGTGCCTTGGTACAAACACTAGATAGGTACTATCCAGCCACACATCCCAATTCTAGCGTGGCATCTAGCAGACGCCTTCGACTGTTACGCTATACGTTCATGGTTCTTTACATGGTAGGTAATGTACAAGAGATTGGAAGTCCTACGTGCTGATTGTCCTACAACAATCTGCATCAAACTCTCAAGTTATGCTGGACTTGAGACATTGAATGATTTTGTATGCTCGCCGCCAGTCCTGGCCCCTACGGCTTCCAAAATGCCAGGAGGTATTGATCTGGCGTCCGAATATACCCTATTTCCAGACTATATGTTTCTGGTCATGGTTGGTTTGAGACAAGCGTGCTAGCAAAGTATCGACACTTTGTGGATCTTATAAGAACTTGAAATCAGGATCAACTTGGTGGCAAAGTAGCGTCCATGGACGACAAAGCACAGCACAGATACTCCAAAAGATCTATTCAACCCGACAGTAGATGAAGCCAAGGAATATCCGCGAGTATATATATATACGGCGATAATGAACGACTGGAAGAGGATACATGTATCTCCATGCATGTCAATCTGGCATAATCTGTGCCCCTCGATGGCATGAATTGCACCATGGCAGAAGCAGAGAAGCTGCTGGTTCAGTGTGAGCCGAAAAGGTTACTACGAACCTGAAATCAATCAGTTTGTGCTCGGAATCTGCAGTTTAAGTCCATTGCGCGGCAACAGAAAGCGATTTCCTAGTGGGGTTTTCATTGATGGAATTAGCCCTAATAACACTGCTTTTACGTCTACATTGAATCTATCGACTGGCATCCCGGTATGCCACTAGGTACATGGACTGCACTCATGCACGCAAGAAAAGGCCATTGTATCAACCGCATGACCGGCAGATAATGAAGAATAAGACCATATTCCACTAACAAGTACCCAGCTTCCCAACGTTTGGCTATATTGCATGGTGTATACTGTTTCTACAACGCCGCCAAGACAATAATGAACGCAATGGATTCTACACTCATGCCCACATTCTACACCATGGATAGGAAAGAAAATATCTTCCGTGTTGAAACCCCTGATTAATCCAGAACAAAGTTCAGCTAAATGTTCTTGATGGAGCAAATAACACTTGACTGGTAAATCTCACAGCGAAGAAGCCACTCCGTCTATGGATGAAAGGAGACTGAGAGAGCAAGACTTGCTATTTAGAACGTTGCGAGATGCCTAAATGGGGATGTGGATACTTATTTCCGATCAGCTGACACATATCAGGGAGTTATCACCACCATCTTGCCTAATGTTGGGGTTCGATCATGGTATATGGGTAATGATATGTCCTGGTGTGTAGCCAGACGTTGAATATGTTGATACCAGAAGATCTTCGATGATGCTCGCTGTGAATCATCGTAGGAACTCTACGGATTCACTGTGATCAGAGTTCTGAGTAACGACCACAGAAGCATATGACTGAGATGGTAAGTTCCTCCCGTCACATTCCAGTGCTGCCATGCGGGAATGTTTAGCTGACACGGTGTGTGTCTCTCTCAATTATAGCTCCCCCGCTGCTGCCAGTGTGTAATTCCCGATGAAGGTTCGTCTGCCGAGAGACCGATTGAGATCCTATCTTCGGACGCGGAGACCACTCCCTATACTGATAAATAGGATATCTTAATCAACCATGCCACAGTTCTTTGAAGATTAGGTTGGGGACTACCACACGTTGACAAAAGCAAGATGGAAGGACATAACAGTCCGTTGTTTGAAGAATAAGGCGTCGATGTCTAGGGCGGTGCCATGGATGATGAATTCCATATTTCCAAAAGGATAGCATCGGTGTCCTCGGAACACTCTGCGGGAAGAAACACGCGTTTTAATTCTCCAGTTTTATACACCGCCGAAAATTGCGTGGTTCATGTCAAAGACTTCGGTTATTTGTCGGTCTGATCGTCCTCGAAAGACGTGATGAGTACCCTAAAGCGATGGAATGGGGTACTGACGGCAACTTATTACTCTGCTTTCTGGAGAGATCTCAAGTTGATATAGACTACAGACACAAACACATCAAATTATTGCAATATCCATTGACTCGCGAGGATGTCCGGGAGTCAGGGGATGTTGAGAACGAGCAAAGAATATACACGACGATGAAGAACGACTCGGTGAGACACTATTCTTTTAATGTCAAGGTATCTCTGTCTGATGCCGAAAGAAGCATGAAATACTTATCCCTTA